CGGCTCGTCGAGCTACGCAGCCGCGGTCTCACAGTCCACGAAAGCGCAGCTTGGACGAGTTCCAGGAATCTGAACAGACCGAAGATCATATGGACCAGCGTACTAAGAACCTGATAGTGACACAGTCTATTGTGCAGGATATGTTCAACTCAACATGGAAGATGGATACCCTCCATGAAACCCCATTGGCTGAGGTCAAGATGCCGGCCGCTATATTCATTCGCAACCCAGAAACCAAGGACCTTGAGCAATACAAAGGTCCTGTGCCAGGTGGCCCGGATCCCCTTCCAGACATCAAGGTGCTTGTTCGAAAGCCATGGCCTGGTGCGACTGTCGAGAGTCTCCCATCCACCTCTCCATCAAAGGAGGCAATCTGCTATATCGTGCGGAATCACGATATCCGCGGAAAGTTCGACCCGAAGAAGGCCCAAGCGTTGAACGTCGAGAAGGGTGCTAAGTACGCAGCTTTGACGAAGGGTGAGAGTGTTCAATCTCTGGATGGCAAGACTATCACCCCAGAAATGGTCTTGGGACAGACACGAGCAGGAAAAGGCGTTGCTATCATGGAAGTACCATCGTCCGAGTACATTGAGGACCTGGTCACCCGGGCCGAATGGAAGTCACCAGCTGTGACGACCGAGTTGCAGGCCTTCATCTGGATTCTCGGACCAGGTGTGGCTGAGGATCCTAGATTCCAGGAATTCGTTACCAGCATGTCCCACTGCAAGCACACTGTGTCGAGCACAGATCATTGCCCGAACTATCTGGCGTTGACCAGCTCCGCTAGCTCAACTGTTCGACTCGCCCGTCTGAAACCCGATAGCTATGCAGTTCCTGTTCACGACAATGTATCCCTTCCTCAACCTGGTGCCCCAAACGCCAATTCGAAATCTGCAATTGCTGCTCGCCAGAATTCTCCACTGGAGCCTCTTGAACCTGGATTCATCCTCAACATGGAGCCTACTTTCGGGTTCAACAGTGACGAAGTGATGACCCGCTTCAACCCAGCGACTGTGTTGGATAGCATCCCGCGTTCTGTCGAGCACCGGATGGATATCATTCGCAAACGCGTTGCTAAGCCTGATTTCCAGAGAAAATTGCATGCCCAACGAACAGAATGGCCCGGAGCGGATGCAGAAATCATCGCCTTGGGCACTGGTTCCTCTGTTCCATCTAAATACCGAAACGTCTCTGCTACACTAGTGAAGGTGCCTGGATATGGCTACTACTTGCTTGATTGTGGCGAGAATACTCTTGGTCAACTGAAGCGAGTTTTCGAGCCTTCAGAACTTCGCGAAGTCCTTCAGAACCTGCGAATGATCTGGATCAGCCATTTGCACGCTGATCACCACCTAGGAACGGTCTCTGTGATCAAGGCCTGGCACATGGAGAACTTCAAGGATGGATTTGGCTCGCCTGCTAGACGTGAAAACGATATGGCGAAGGTCCTTTCAGAGAAGCGGCTGGCTCTTGTGTCTGATGATGCCATGATTTCCTGGTTGGAAGAATATTCGCAGGTCGAAGATTTTGGATTTGACAAGTTGCTTACTCTTTCTGCGCATCCTGAAGTACAAGGTTCTACGATCACCACCCAGTTCTCACACCAGCTACCTAATGGTTATCGGCATCATGTTAACTTCACGGACGCTTCCTCCCCCCTCACTCCTCTTCTAAAGTCTGCCACCGGCCTTTCAGACCTACTTACTTGCCGCGTCAAACACTGCAAGGGTGCACTCGCTGTGTCCTTTGTCTTCTCAAATGGATTCAAGGTTTCCTACTCTGGCGACTGCCGGCCGTCGAATAAATTTGCCGCCATTGGAAAGGGGTCAACCGTGCTCATCCACGAGGCCACCTTCCAACCCGATATGGTCGGATCGGCTAGAGCCAAGCGGCACTCGACCTCGGCCGAGGCAATTGAGGTCGGCCGCCGCATGCAAGCGCGCGCCGTCCTTCTCACTCATTTCAGCCAGCGCTATCAGAAGATAGCCTTTGTAGAGAAACGAAACCCAGGCAAATTCCAGTCTAGCCGGGATGCAGCTGCAAAGGAGCCTGCAGATGCGGATATCCCATTCGACGACCCTCAAGATCAATCAGTGGGCTCCAACGACACCGCACTGTCCGATGACATCAACATGGGGATATCCAGCCCAAACCTGCAAGTTTATAAAGGCTATACCAGTCCTGTCGCCGGAGCGATGGACTACATGCGTATCAAGGTCGGGGACTTCACCCTTGCGCAGGCATATGCGCCAGCATTGGAGAAGCTCATCGAGCTCTTGGAGCGAGCGGCGACCGAGGAAGCCGAGCGCGTGAAGCAGACGCGCCAGGAGGAGGAGAATGCCCGCAAGGCGAAGAATAATAAGAAGTGGGCTAAGCAAATGGCTACTGCTACCGCTGCGGCAGTCGCAGCTGCAGCAACTGAGACTAGCGATGCCCAGAAGGCGCCTACTCGATCTGTCTGGAGTGCCAGTGAAAGCGAGGAGGGATGGGAGACGAGTGACTACGAGGAATGTTGTGCCTAATTGTATGTCCACTATACCATGTCAGATATGCATAGCAAAAGTCTTTTTTTCCATCTCGGAAATACTACTCCGTAGTCCGAGGCTAGTATGACCTCAGTACCCTTCGGCGAACTTGCCGAGGTGCGGAGACCATAGATCGTTGGATTCTTGGGGGTTTCCAGCTTATCCTATGTTGTTTTAGATGCTAATGAATATAAAGAGAATAATCTCCGCTCCTAATACGCCTGAACTACTTAGAATAGTACAGAAAGTATCTAATTCAACCCTTGTTAACATAAATGGCTTATCGGTATACCTGGGTAGCCGCTCTACCCCAAAAAATGGTCCCCTCACCGCCCCCCCATGAGGGCCGTCTATTTCCGACTTGGTTTCATTTTATAGATTCCTGGATATCTCTGCCAATTGATTCGAGATGACCACCCTCATTCCACGTGAGCCCTATACTCAGGATGAGCTCGCTCGCCTGTACCCGGCAGCTCTGAAGCTGCAGTTGGTGCAAGTGGTAAGTGCTTTGGTCCCCTCATTGACGGAAGACACAACATGGCTAACCAATACAGTTCCTTCGTCATGGTGAGAAAGATCTATTTACAATGTTGCCCCTGACAGCATTGCTAACTGATCCTAGGTGAACGCACACCCGTCTCATCGCGATTCTTAGATGTATGTTGCAATTGACTACTCCATCCTCCAAATCCGCTCTCCGACGGTCTCCGCTAACACTCCCCGAAGACAGGCCTGAGCCCATGTATGGCAATTTCCAAACACCGATATCGGCCGAATGTATACTGACAATCTCCATTGACAAGACTGGCCGTACTGCAGTGTCGCGAGACGCATGGTGCAGATGGCCTCGAGCAGCAAAGACCTCTCGGAATGGAACGGGTTCCAATGGCACCGGAAAATGGAGTCATTCGGCAGCAACGACCAGGCGATGATCACAACAGGACCGGGGGGACGAGTCGAAGGGATGTGGTAAGTTCCCCGCGGAGCCATGCTTTGTATGTGGAGGGAAGCTAAGTCCCATCTGAAGCTTGCACGGCGAGCTCACAGACAAGGGCCGCGAGACGACATATGCGCTCGGACAACGGCTGCGCAATTTATATGTCGATCAGCTCGGGTTCATGCCTGAGATCAAGAGCGATACCGAAGATATGTACCTGCGCGCCACGCCTATTCCCCGCGCTCTGGAGTCGCTCCAGCAGGCCTTCTGGGGAATGTATCCGGCTAGCGCGCGCACGCTTGACTTCGCACCGCCGGTGATTGTGGCTCGCCAGATCAATGAGGAGACATTGTTCCCAAACGAGGGAAATTGTAAACGATTCCGACAGCTGGCTCGGCTTTTTGCCGACCGCGCCGCCACACGATGTATGGGTTTATCAGTGGGATATGAAGATAAGAGTCTTGGCTAATGATTTCAATGTAGGGAACGACTCTGAACAGATGGCGTACTTGAACAGTCTCTGGTCAAAGTACATGCCTGAAGAGTCGCCCAAGGTTGCTGTCGATGCCCACCCCCGTCTTTCCGGAATCATGGACACCATCAATGCAACCGATGCCCATGGCCCAGCCACCAAGCTCCCATCCGAGTTTTATGACAAGAAGGGTCGTGGTATCTTGGACCGAATTGCGGTTGAGGAGTGGTTTGCTGGCTACGGTGAGAGCAGCGAGTACCGTAAGCTGGGCATTGGTGCTCTCATGGGTGATGTGGTTGACCGCATGGTCAGCACCGCCGTAGAGGGTGGCTGGCGCAGTGAGACCGCAGCGTCCGGGTCAGGCAACCCGGAAACTAGCAAGAACATCAAGTTTGCTATGAGCGGCTGCCACGACACTACCCTGGCAGCGATCCTGTCTAGTGTTGGTGGGTTCCAGAACCAGTCATGGCCTCCATTTACTTCCTCTATTGCAGTTGAGCTCTTCTCCCAAGCGCCCGGCTCCGATTCCAACGCTGGCACCGTGCTCGAGGAGTTCCTCAACCCATCCCTCCCAGCCAAGAAACCTGGCATCCTCTCCCAGCTATTTGGTAAGTCCGCACCGAAGCAAAGCGCCACCTCCGGCACAGCACGCGCATCCCTCCAATCTTTGCCCGAAGGCGCACGCAAGTCTCTCCAGAACCACTATGTCCGTATTCGCTACAATGACCAACCCGTCCGCATCCCCGGCTGTGCTGCTAAGCCCGAGAACCACCTCCCTGGGGATGAGACATTCTGCACCTTGGACGCCTTCAAGGAGATTGTCGATAAGTTCACGCCAAAGAATTGGCAAGGCGAGTGCACAGCGAATCTTGGCGCAGGACTCCATGGCCCAGACGATCGTGAAAAGGCCCCGGCTGGCTTCTAAACATTATATAGACTGTAATGCTCTTCTCTTCAATTGCAGATATTTTTTTTTCTCTCGTGTATTTTCAGATTATCGGGTGTGCAATGTGTTTAGGATAGGGGAGAGGTAGAGACCTAGAGCCACAGCATACTAGCAGCCATCTCAGCTACTCTTCGCCTTGGCATCTAGATGCGCTCTGATTGCCCTGAGTTTCATTGCAGCGAACTTGATCAACACCCAGTGCGGTAGATACTCAAACGACAAGCCCTGCAACCAATGCCAGAAAAAAGGCCATACTATGTCTTGTCCACACCCAACACGATTCAAGGCAGCAGCAGCCAGCACTCTAGGTACAGGAACAAACAAGTTAGTCTTCACATCGTACCCAGGAGTGCTGACCTCCCCAACCCGCAGTCCCATAACCTCGACCTCCTTCCCTTCAGATGCAAACTCCGCGCGCAGCGACTTTGTGAAGGTATCCACAAATCCCTTGGTAGAGCTATAAGTAGTGATATACGGAAGTCCGATCGCCGAAACCGAAGAAATATTCATCACGAGACCAGGGGCATTCTCTTCCAACTGTTTGCCTAAAACACGTGTAATGTGAGTAGCAAAGGCCGCATTCCGCGAAATTGTCGCCTGCACATCCTCAAAAGTATAATCCCTAAGGAGGGTAGCAGGCTTAGTCTCACCACCGACATTGTTAATAAGAACAGTCAGCCTGCCACCTTCACCCTTGGAACCAGCAATCTGATTACTGGAGCGAATAATATCGCGCACTTCAGCATCAACGTCATCGATATCAGCAGTCAAATTCTGCGCATCGCGCACAAGTACAGCAACATAGACTGCGGGGAAGAGCGCTTCGAGTTCGCGACGACGACGCTCGAGTTTCTCACTGTTCCGACCGTGTATTATAACGTTGAAACCGCGCGCGCAGAGCTCCTGAGCGAAGCCAAAACCTATCCCGTCTGTTGCACCGGTGACGAGGGCCCAGTTTGTTTGGGTGGGGTTGTAGCGTTTGAGGAGGGTGCTGGGGAGGAGGAAGTTTGTTGCTTGGCGGGTTATGGAAAAGACGGTTTTTGCGAGGGTGAAAAGGCCTAGGTAGGCTAGGGGTTTGGTGTAGGTTCCCAGGTCGATCATTTTGGGTGGTTGGTAGTTGGTGGTTCGTGGTGGTTAGAGGAATGGTGTTATGATATCTCAGATATTTGATGCGTGGAGGAATCGCAAGGATGGATCAAGGGATGTCACATATATTTCTGTAATTATTTCTATAGGCATTCGGCGCAACCCCCTTTTTAACATGTCGGTTTCTCGGTCAATGGCGGAGTCCGGATTCATCTCAGATCGGCGATTTGGTTGTCATCGGCCCGGCCTATGAGGCCGAACACCGATCTTGACGAAAGGGCTGAATACTACCCCGTACCTAGGTAGTATTATAATACGGAATAGTACATTTGAGTATGTCGTATCTAAAATAAATTAATATTGAAAGTCTTCTCCGAGAAAGTATGAACAAAATAGTCGGATGAATGAGGAATTATATAGAAAATACCCAGGTATTTCCAAACCCTAACATCACCATTCTTATGTACGTTGATCTATAGATACATAGGTACTTTTGGTGATTTAGAGATTCAAGCATATCATTTATTCTACCCCAGCCATATCCTATGGCCTAATCCTACCCTAACAATGATTAAAAAAAGACGAGTCTCATCAAATGAGGACCGTGAAAGTCAACGCCAGCCAGGTACCTTGCGGACGATTCACGCTGGCCACTCAAAACACAGCAATTAGTATCGCCATTTGAAATCATGCATTTCATTGGATAAGCTATAACTCCACTGGTATACTTTAAACCTTGTAGGGTCTGTATTGACATTTGTACTGTATCAGAAGTGCAACCGACAGCGTTAGAGGTGAGGAACTTGGAGACGGTGCGTTGGGAAGATGCTATATAATGTAATATCCTAGAGCCTCCACAGGCTCAACTTATCTCTTTCTTCTTCTTCTTGATTTTTATTTTTAACTACAAAAGTTATCCGCCTTCAATATGGTCATCGATGCCGGAACAGACTCGGTCTTCTATAATGTCCCGACTCCTACGGAGCAGAAGATCAAGACTCGACAGATGCCCGTCACCTTGCTTTCCGGCTTCTTGGTATGAAATGAGAGCAATTGTATCAGCATTGAATCATGTTCAGGACACTGACATCCCTGTATAGGGAAGCGGCAAGACAACACTCCTCAAACACATCCTCAAGTCACCTGGCCATGGGTTACGGATTGCTGTAATCGTCAACGATATGAGCCAGTGAGTCCCACATTGAATGAAGAACATAGGATGGAAGCTAATTGCTTCGTTCTATCAGGCTGAACATCGACGCTACCCTCATCCAGAACCACAGAGTCTCCCAGACTACCGAAAAGCTCATTCGACTTCAAAACGGATGTATCTGCTGCACTCTACGGGGAGACTTGCTGTCTGAACTGGCAGCTTTGACCAAACAAAACGAGGTTGACTATGTTATCATTGAATCAACTGGCATAAGCGAGCCCATGCAAGTCGCCGAGACTTTCACGGCTGAGTTTAGCTCGGCCATGCTAGAGGCTGAAGATCAGATTGCTAATGATGACGCTGATGCAAAGAAGATACTGAATGAAATGTATTGTTTTGCCACTACATCTTCCCTTAGAGTGGACTTGCTGACATATCTTGATATAGTGTGGATCTAGGTGGTTTGCACACAATGGCTCGATTAGACACTACTGTCACTGTCATTGATGCCTTCAACTTTCTTTCTAGCTTCGATACGACAGAGTTTCTCTCTGATCGCTATGGAAGAGAACAGATCGTGCCTGAGGATGAGCGTACAATATCTGATCTCATGGTAGATCAGATTGAGTTCGCCGATGTGTTGATTCTCAATAAGGTCGAGACAGTCAACCAAGCGACACGCGATAAGATCATGCGTTTGCTGAAGCTACTGAATCCAGCTGCAAAGATTCTCGAGTCTAATTACTCTCAAATCGATGTCCAAGAAATCATCAACACAAAAAAATTTGATTTCATCCGTGCTGCTTCTGGTCCTGGGTGGTTGCAGAGTCTACATGAAATGACAATACAGAGGACAGGCAATGGTGATCGGATGGCACCGAAGCCAGAGACATTGGAGTAAGTTTTCTGGTAATTCATTTACGAAAAATTTACTTACTGCTATAGGTATGGCATCAACAACTTCGTCTATACTGCTCGTCGACCTTTCCATTCACGCCGCATCTTCGCTCTTCTTCACGACAAGTTCATCATTCTCCAGAACACCGAAGTCGAAGAAGAAGGCGACGAGGAAGAGGAGGAGGAGGAGGAGGAGGAGGAGGAGGAGGAGGAGGAGGAGGAGGAGGAGGAGGAGGAGGAGGAGGAGGAGGAGGAGGAGGAGGAGGAGGAAGACGAAGATACAATGAACACAGAATCTGACTCTGAGTCAGTAGAAGACTTTGGTCAGCCTGATCCAGTGGTCAGTCTGAACAACAAACGTACGCACCCGGCCTTTGGTCCAGTTCTCCGCTCCAAGGGCTTCTTTTGGCTCACAACCAGGCCCTGGCAATTTGGAGAATGGAGCCAAGCAGGTGGTATGCTTACTCTTGGATGCGGTGGACCTTGGTTTGCTGAAGTCCCCGATGAAGCGTGGCCAGAAGACCAGGATGTGCGAAAATCCATCCAGAATGACTTCCAAGGTCCCTGGGGCGATCGTCGCCAGGAACTAGTGTTTATCGGTGAAGGCATTGACAGTGCAAATATTAGTGATTTGTTGGATGAGTGTCTTCTAGATGACAAGGACATGAAGAAGTGGGAGAAGGTGATGAATAACAAGAAAATTAGCAGACAGGAGAAGACGGATAAGTTGACAAAGATGTGGGAAGATGGTTGGGAGGAGTGGCCCACACTTGAAGACGAGAATACGGAAGAGGAAAAAGAGAATCAAGGGCAGGGGAAGCATCGAATCAGCGATTATCTGAGTCCTCAACATGGGACTAAACATGTTCATGGACACAGCCACGGGATGGTTGCCGTATGAACTTGTTGAGGCTATTTCTTTTAAATTTCACCAGTGTGCTTAAGAATAAGATATCATTCTCAAAGGAGTCCATTGGGCTATATTTTCTGGCATTGCCCAAGCATTGTAAATGGAGTTAGAGGTGTGTAATGGAAGCTGATTGTGGCCTTGAAATATATTGGCAGAATAGACAGGCGGTCTGTGATAGATTAGAATCGATAAGATAGGATCAAAGATAACGGCTCCGCCTTCCAAGGTTCCAAGGTTCTGCCCTTCCTCTTCCCCCATCCTATCTTAACAACAATTTCATGCTAAATCCTCCTTCATATCAAAGAAAACACTACATCTTTCAAAACAAACCCTTCTATCTGATTTGCTGTTCTATTGTGCGCGTTGCACATCGGTACTCAACCGCGCTTCGACTCACTTCTAGCTCCGAGCTACTCCAACCCCCGCACTCTTCACATCATAACGGTTACTCAACGACTGCCCCAACCAATCCTATTCCGCCGTGGATTGCATTATCAACCTTGAGACAATGATACAGGTCTGACTGCAGATATCCGATTGCGTATCACCATCCCAGGCAAAAACTGGGATCCTTGCGACTTTCGTCCTAGGCGACATTAGCACATGCAGATGTCAATAGTCGGTCTTTGCCGTTAAATTGAGCTCGACCAGTTCCTTTTGCCATCCTTCTTCGTGATTGTGGAGGAGTATTGACCTTGCATTTGTCCAACAATCCCTGTCTAATACAAATAAATTGCGTGGTAAGTCCACCCATTCTATTCTTAATGCATACCCCGGATCCTAACATCCCATATCTAGATGTCTACCCGTTCAATGGAGGTAAGAAATTCTTTTTCCTTCCCAAATCACACCACCTCGAACCATACCCCCTATAATGCCTCGAACCACGGCCGGGTCATCCGGCGAAGCTCGGTTAGCTACCGCGTGCCGCTGCATCCATGCACGGGCCGTTGTGAGACAGCTTCTTGGTCCCGGTCCCTTTTTGCTACCTCTCAGGGGATAACGAAGCACCAGAGGCATTTCTAAGCAGCCAAATGGGCTCTGAAATAGACAAAGGACATGGATTTTCAATTTTGGGGCGTCTTGTAACGGTTGCTGCCACAATGGGCCGTTGCGAGATAGTGCCGTCTTGAATCTACGCGTCTCCGTCTTCAACCTCAGGCATTTCCTTGCTATTGCAAGGGATACCAGCCTGGTTCTGCTCGCTGACTGCCCAATTCCGTCTTTCTTTCCCGACATGTGATGGGTTGATTTATTTCACCCTGTCCCTAGCTCATGAATCCTCCATCCTGATAATCCTGAGCTGTCTCTTGCTTCACCAATTTTCTCAAAATGCATGCCCCTTTTGTTTGATTAAATGTCCGACTCACCGGTAGCCCGCGTGAGCCGGCCTCATGGTCCTTTTATAGGACGCGAGTCGGATTTTTGGAAGCGCCGGCGTGAATACCCATTCCAAAAAACTGAAGCCGAGCTAAGCCTTTTGGATAATTTACAGGGAAATCACCAAGTGATTGCGCCAACTCAGGCCAAATCGGCCTCTGTGCCCAACACCAAAGGCCCCGATGTTAAACCTCGTCTTCTTCTAATGGGACTCCGCCGGCAAGTTTTCTCTGCCGCTCTTGGACAGCAGAGATATTAACCATGTACTAGGAGTGGCAAGTCATCTATTGCTAGTGTGGTATTCCATAAGATGCCGCCAAATGAGACACTCTTTTTGGAGTCTACGACCCGGATTCAGAAGGACTCGATCCAGTAAGTACCAAAGGAAGGACATGCTTTATGCACTTTCCGCTAATTTAGGCTTTGTAGCTCTTTTATGGACTTCCAAGTCTGGGATTTCCCGGGTCAGCTCGAATATTTTGAGTCCGCCTTTGATCTCGAGGATATCTTCGGCAGTCTAGGTGCCCTGGTTTGGGTGATCGACGCACAGGATGACTACCTGGACTCGGTGGCGCGGCTCAACCGCACCATATTGACTGTCCAGCAGTTCTATCCCGGCATCAATATTGAAGTCTTCATTCACAAGGTCGATGGACTGTCAGACGAATACCGCACCGACACGTTCCAGGACATTGTGCAGCGCATCTCCGACGAGCTCAGTGACGCTGGATATGAGAATGCACCTGTGCACTACTATCTGACTTCTATCTACGATTACTCTGTCTTTGAAGCCTTCAGCAAAGTGATTCAGAAGCTGATCCCCAACTTATCTACACTTGAGAACCTTATCAATACCCTTGCCAACAACTGTGGATTTGAAAAGACATACCTCTTCGATGTTCTGAGTAAAATTTATATCGCCTCCGACACCCGACCTGTTGACATGGCTTGCTATGAGATGTGCTCTGATTATATCGATGTGATTGTCGATATTTCTGAATTGTACTCTTGGGATCACCCGGTTCGCAAGCGATTGGGTGACCAGATTCAAGAAGCAGAAAGTCACGTGGTATTGCATGATCAGACGATGATCCATTTGATGGAAATGAACAAGTATGTACTCTCAGCTAGTATTTGTATTATCTATACTGACTTTGTTCTACAGGTACCTCTGTTTAGTGTCGGTGATTCGCAACCCTGAAGCCAAGGACAAGCGAGGCCTGATTGATATGAACTGTCGTACTTTCCAAGATGCCCTGAACGAAGTGTTCTCGCGCAGCTGGGAAGAAGGGTCTACAGCCCAAGCAGGGGGACCTGCAACGACAAGCAAGTGATGGGAATTAAATGGAGGCAATTTTGGTATTGGAACTAAAAAGCAGGGTGTATTTCTCGGCTTATGAATTCAAGCCTCTTGTATCTTTAGCGATGAAGCTTGGAGAAATAAAAACAATTGGATTGAAAATCCAAACCAGTTCTTTGTACTCCGTAAATGCGAAGTGGATAAGTTCAAAGCCGCGCAGATCCAAGTTTTGTCAGCCAAGTCCTCCACCTGTACAACTCCAACAATTCAAGTCTGATCTTACGACTCCTCAATCGACAAAAATTTGTGAGAGATGTCAGAACTCCGCCAGCGACCAACAACCACTTCGAAGCCCAGCAATGGGCCTGATAAAGGGCCAGATTCCGCACAACACTCCAACGATGAAATCACCCAAGACCACGGCATAGGCCTGTTGGATATAATACGTGTGATTGTGATCATCCTCATCGCCTGCGGTGGTCTCTCTTATTACATGACTTCATCCGAGTCTGTGCTGTGGGGTTACAGGCCATGGTACACACGGTGGCCGGTGGTGAAGCAGTGGGTGGTATGGCAATTCTGGCCCTCATGTTGACAGAAAAATAGTCATGTCTGATTCAAGCTAACAAATATTCTAAAAATAAAGAAAGGCCCTGTGGCCCTGACACCAAGCCAACTATCCCTCTACAACGGCACAGACACCAATCTCCCACTCTACGTCGCGGTGAACGGGACTATTTTCGACGTTTCAGAAAATCGCATGATCTACGGAGCGGGCGGGAGCTACAACTTCTTCGCGGGGCGGGACGCAACACGTGCTTTTGTCACGGGTTGCTTTGAGGAGGATCTTACGGCCGACCTGCGTGGTGTCGAGGTTATGTTCCTTCCTGTTGAGGATGTTGAAAATGAGGCTGTGACTTCTGCGCAGAAGAAAGTCCGCCGGGAGAAAGAGCTACGGGCTGCTAGAGCGCGGGTTGTGGGGACCGTGGAGAGGTGGACTGAATTCTTTGCGAATCACAAGAAGTATTTTGAAGCTGGGAAGGTTGTGGTTGAGGCTGAAGGTATTGATGGAGAGCCATGGCCGCTGTGCGAGGGTGCACAAAAGCAGCGACCGAAGAGAAGTGCGATGGTGGAAAAGTCGTAGGACTACTTTGTGTATTCTGGTGTGTTGGCGTTGATGGTGCAGAATGGTAGATGGTCGAGGTCGGGAGAATTCTACGAAATATGACGCATGTCCTTTTCATGAAGTTTTGTAGATTTTTTGATTCAGTTCGCACTACCTGACGTATACCAGGAGTGCGAATGTTCCACACTCTTCAAGAGTCCGACGTTAATCCACTATGCATCATGCCCAGCCGGGCTTCCCATGGTAAATGATATCATTCGTAGCAAGGAAAAGAAAACCGCGAGAAAAGACGAGACGAGACGTTTATTCGGCGGTGACGGCACGGGCTATTAGAAAAGATTATCAGTATTAAGATTGCGAGGTGGATTATGTTGAAGAGAAACGCACTGTAGATGCTCATGCTGGAGTGACCAACGACCTTCTTGATCTGGCCGTTAGCCTCAAGGTCGGCAAGAGCCTGGCGGGCAAGGCTGCCGTTGATCTTGAGACGATCGACAAGGGTGGCGACAGTGATCAGACGGTAGGACTGGACATCCTTCTGAAGCTTGTCGTTGGTGGCCTTGTCGAGAACGACGGCGTGCTGGGCCTTGTCCTTGACTGTAGGGCGAAAGACATGTTAGTAAATGTTGTTCTCGGTTCTATCGCGTATCCCCAGCTCGTCCAACGATTTCTTTCGTGTCTTGTGGGAACTCGGCGGAAATCGTCACGGTCGCATGGTTGGTGATTGCGTACCCTTGCCCTTGGACCACTTCTTCTTTTGCTTCTTGCCTCCGGTTGCTGCGGGCGCCTGTTCGTCACATTTCGATTAGTATTGTTGTCTCCGGATTGGTATTTTGAGATGCTGGGGAACTCACCATTTTGTCGGATGAGGTGGATGTTCAAAGGAAGAGGGCGACGTCCAGAAGCCGTTCAAGTGCGAAAAGGCAGTGGGGCGTGACTGAGGTGAGCCCTAAGCCCTTGATCGGTTAGTCTGAATGTTCTCATTGGCTGATATATTAATTACATAATGTAGCTGACATCATCTCCAAATACATAATTAGTTCCTGCCTGAGGTGTCTATTATATTTACGACGGACGATATATCATTTCGGAGGTGTTCTTAGAGAACAGAATACGAGTACTCCGTAGAGTGCTTGACAACAAAGGAAATCATAATATTTGCTTATTATGCCTGCAAAAGACTGTCTACATTCCTTGTTCAATAATATCAATAATGACGATCGATCCCTTACAGTCAATCTTCGCATAATGTCATCGTGCATTCCAAATTACATACAGCGGACACCACAACCCTCGAAGTTAACTAATGAATAAAGCCTCAAATCCCGCCTTGAAAATCTTTTCTTGGTCCTCACTCATACCATCGTCGTCCAAATCGTCGAGGAACTGAACGGCATCAAATTCTTCTTCTTCTTCTTCATCTTCTCTGTCAATGTCTGGTTCAGCATCATCATGTTCCTCTTTGACCTCGGTCTTGTTCGGTGAATTGTGGTCGCCCATCGCATCCTTGCCTTTGGCAGAACTCTGATTTTTGCTGTCATTGTCGTCCGTATTGTTGTTGGATGGGTTGACTGAAGCAGGTTGGTCGTTATCATCCACGCTCTTCTTCACTTGCTTCCTAATTTCGTTAAGGATCTTTAAAGCAATGCTGAATCCAAAAATTGAGTCTTCCATTGCCATCGCCAAATGTTCGAAGAGAAGGGAATTACGGGTCAATTTGGCGTTCTCGCTTTCTGGTCGCAGATTTGCGATACATTGCGCATAGATCTCTCGATAGAACATCAACGTATCCGGTGAGTCTTCCCACATACAACTCTCGTCCTTGATTCCCTGTTCCATCTCTTCACTCCACCTATATAAGGCCCCAGCCCAGTCGCGCATCAGCCATAGTGGGTATGTCTCATTCCCTATGCTTGGCGGTTTAGCAGACGCGCCGTGCCAGTCGAGGATTGCTCGCACGGAACCGTCCTTTGAAAGAAGGAAACTGAAGATACCGGGGTTTGGATGACTCAAAACAAATGATTCCCCACCACTTGACTTTGGAGTCCAGTCGACAAACATTCGAAGAAGCTTTAGAAGCCCCCTTTCATACTTCTTACTCTTTTCCTCCCGTAGGTCCAGATAGGAAGTACAGGCCCCTCTAAGGCCAGAGAATAGATCCTTGCGTACAGGCACAACACCTATCAGGCAGTCTTGATCGTCAAATCTCAAGAATGTTTCTTCGTTGAATGTGTATTTACCAAGCTGGATATATGCAGCAGCAATATCCTGCAAACAGCGTGTGCGCCTAGCCTGTACAACTTCTTTTGGGGATTCCCGGTCATGCCAAACGTCAACCAAAGGTAGAGCGTCTATGAACTCCAGGAGAATGAAAGGAACTTTGAGCTTGTTTTTGCATGTATTGTCGTATGAAAAGACCTCGGAAATTGGGATCGTTGTCTCACGCCGCAGCATGATCATTGTCAATGCTTCTGAGCGAAGGGCCTCGCCGTCATCTTCGTCAAATTGATCAGGGGTTCCGATAATTGGAACTTTGAGGAGCCAGCTAACCCCATCAGCAAACTTAACCCTATAGCAAACGTGTTCCCCACAGCGAGTAGGAGACTCAACCTCGCTGACGGGAATGCTTTTTTTGCCATTCGGTTGAGTCTTTGCTCGAATCGCTGCCACATATTTACCAATGTGCTTCACTTTCACCCTTTCCAATACTGCTTCGAATGGATCTATGTCGAGAGAATCCAAGTCATCATCATCATCATCCTCCTCCTCCTCGTTGTCAGAATTCTCATCTTCGTGTAGTCGTTTTAGCGTGACATGATCCACAATTGACGATGAAAGTGAAATGATTTTCCGACTCAGCCCCCGAAGGTGCTCAGAAAGAGACTGCCAAAGATGCCCCATAATCGCGGCTGTAGGACGCTGCCACGGGGATTTCGGGCAAATGTGGACTCCTCAACAAACAGCAAACTTGGGTTTAGAATTGGTAGGATGTGTTATGAGAAGAGTGCTTTCCACGAAGTCCGGCAATGTGGAAGATGTTGAGTGAAGTCGGGCATTATATGGGGCATTGCTTTTCTAAATATTCTTCCACTGCCCACGATACACGCAATTCAGTGGAATGCAGGGCTTATGGTAAAAGAAATCACCCTTTATCTTCAATGAATGTGTTCCAAGAATAGATTGGGAGTACTGTACTCCGTTGACAACAAGGGTAGCAGTCACCAAAGCCCGCCATTTACGAATATAACCATTTTGATTAACTCGGACTACTCTTTAATAATTCTTTGTACTCAAACTATGGGTGAATATTCGCTCAAGGGGTGGAAAGTATCGACGTCTCCAGATGATTCAATATAGGAGCCATCCTAAAAGGCTTGTGCCGTCATAGTATTTGCGAAAATGATCATAGAAAGTATAAAACACTTATGATGGTGAATCTATCAAGAGAGATAGAGGGAGAAAAAGAGAAAGTTGGAAAATCACTAGGTAAGGATAAACAGACGTGAACAAAGGAATCCTAGTCACAACTAAACAATACAGCCCATGAACACTATCATGAAACATAAGACATAAAAGCGTATTCTAAAATAAAAAAGAAGCCAGGACCCCACTCCAACTTTGTGTGACTACACCGTTAGAGGAGGATAATGCTAAAAAGGTCTTCGCAGCCCTAAAGCCAGGAAATATACATCAAAAAAGCGTTCAAATATAGCATTGAAAGAATGAGACCATCTTCGACGCCACTTCAGGTGAGGCAGATGAACTACCTATTTTCACACCGAAACCCTCCAGTCATAGAATTTCGCCCTTCTCAACAACTATATATTGAAGAAAGCCGGAAAAGGCAGTTGAAAAGAAGACAGAAAAAAAAAATTTCATTGTGTGTAGTGGAGCGCCCTGGATTGAAAATTGAATTAGACTGTAGTATCGGGCACCTGGCCTAGGCGATATTCCGACAAAGGTGCTTTCCATGCCATCAATCTTTCATCATCAAATATAGCAAGACCTAGGCGCCATACAGATTCATGTCCACCTTCTAAATCAATCGCGTCTTCAAATGTTTGTTCGGGTGTATCGGGCACCAAGTGCATCTTTTTCCACCCAAGGTTAGGTTGCTCGATATACGGCAATGTTGACCAAAACTGCTCATAATTCTGAAGTGCATGGCGATCTGCAGGATAAAGAAAAGGAAGCTTGTCCTCTTCCAACAGCCAAGAACCAGAGAATGAACTAAAAATGTCGTCTTTTGTATTAAGAATGACCATATCGCGCTGAATCAAAGGCGTGCTGTGGAGAAGGCGATAGACAAATTCTGGTCCCATTGAAGCAAGTGACTTTGACTGATCTGGAAGATTCTCAAGACTTTGGAGGCTCTCCAGGCCCCCCATAGGAAGCCTTGCTTCCTCAGGGAGAAATATAAAATATGGTCGCTGCCAAGCATCTTGAGGATCTTTGCTCCTATACTTCTCCACAAGGTCATATAGGCCCGTAGTGATATCCTCGTAAATAGGGTCGAACATCGTCGTGAAGTATACCCATACACACGCCATTTCGTGGTATTCCCAAGGAGGTATTGTCCCAAAGAACACCCGATATGCCTCTTCACCAGAATTCCTATCATTGCTAGATTGCTTCTTAAGGTCCCAATTGTTCCTAATCCATTCCTCCCCGCCTCGGCGTTCAGGATACCCAAAAATATTTTTATAAGTTTGTAGTCGACATAAAGCTCTGAGAAGGCGATGCTTTTCAGTTTGAGACAGCTCAATGGGAAGAATTGAGGTTTCCAATTGATCGTCTTCCATCCACGGCGGCTGCGGTATATTTTTTGCGTAATCTTCCAGAAAGAAATCGAACGCCTTATGAAGATACAACAGGTGCAAAATCTCTTCTAGGCTGCCGGGCTCATCTATTCGATTCGATGAAGTCCAGGCAAGATTTCTGATTTCTTCTTTGCGACGCCAGGTATCTAACACAGCAATTGCTTCGTGCTTGCGGCTATCGAAAAAGAGACCACGAGACCGCGTAGCAGCCATCGCATCTCCTAGCAGGACTCCCCATTGACTCTTGACAATGTGACAGAGAACCCTCTGTCGCGCTGTGAGATAGACTTGGTAGAAAATCGGCGATGAAAGCACGACGAACTTGAGAGAAGTCAGATCGGGTATTTCAAGCAAGATGAGAATGAGCAGCTCTGTTGGGAGTCCTTCTAATATCGGCCTGGCCTTAAAAAGGAGGTGAGCATGCTATTCTTCACTATTTGAGTTTAAAACTTACCATTTGTTTTATCAAGTTTTGATAAATTTCTGATTTAATGAAGTGAGAAAATAGGGGGAATGGTCAACCCGATACCTAAGGGCTCGTGCAAGCGCTTCCGATGTACTACCGCATCCCCATCCCAACTAGAAAGTAAAAATAAACCTGATCACTTTATTGAATTACGATACCATAAATAAAAATATTATATAGAGAATTACTTTGAGTTATTAAATCAATTAAAGATCTAAATGAGAAATAAATGAAGAGCTATAAAAATGTATAAACCCTTTTCTTAAAAACTATACGGAGTACAATTATTCCAATAGTAATAGGAATATAGCTATCTGATAATATATACGGAGTACATAGTTTAGATTGATTTCCCTCCCTACGGAGTAGTTATCCGGATATTAAGGTATAAAATTGTAATAAATGGATTAGAAGTCTAATTTGATTTGTTAATGTATTCTTTCAACTACTACTAGTATATGTATGTATTTCTTTATCTACAGTCAGTGGACATAAATAATTGCATCCCACCCCACACCCCTAAGATTACCTAATATTCTGCCCGTCAAAAGAATCTCCATAAAGTATAATTATCTCTACTATTACTGCACGTATAAGAGCACTAGCTTTAAGAGTCAGGGAAAAAATAAGACAGGAATTTGCCTACAAAAAACCGCTGCTTCCAATACTATTTCCAGGTAGTTCTATCCATACATGTTATATATTTTAGGAAGGCGGTATCAGCGGTGAGTTGGGTGGGGCCAAGGGGTATGCAATTACTTATGTCCAGTCACTGTATAGTTACATATATAACTACATCGATGTACGGAGTATTATCAACCCTGATATCTTGTATATATATATCTTATAGTAAACTCTCTAATTCTTTAATAGAAAGATTCCTTAGCCTTTTTTCTCTACAATAATGATTTAATCACTATTACACTATAAATATATGGTATTATCGTTAAATGAAATGTTTAGGTTGATTTTTGATTTTTGGTTAGGGCGGGAACCTTTTGCGGTGTGACTGTATTTCTTTTTTTTAGCTAACCGCCGAACTAGTCCACCGTATTTGCGCAAGCCACAAGACTAAAAGTTAAGTGTCTTCCATCCAGTCATTTAATTATCTATGGTGAAAATTCCATTCTGGTCAATCAATCTCATTCTGGCGGATTGCTAGCAGAAAATTGGCCATCTGCGTGATTTTCTCAATTATATAGCGCAATCATTAATTATATAAGCACCTCTAGTCATGAATTATAGATGAAAAGCTCTTTCACACCTATTGTATTATTCACCGTCCTAATGTAGGTATAGCTTGTGGCTAACTATTCTAAACAGACGTTTATACGTATTTATAACCCCATCTTCAAAGATATGTATCAAAGGATGCCTTGAGGAGATTGAAAATATATCAGCAAAAGACATCGTGGTGAAATCTTGGGATTTCCAACATCACAATAAACCAATTAGATATACAGATTTTCTAAGCCCTATATCACTAAGTATAGAGATGCATGTATACTCAGCCCCCTATTGGGCTTCTATATAAATGACTACCTCACTATATTTCTATAGCAACTTCTCGTCGGGTTGACATAAAAGTAATGGATATATGTTTAATATACAATGAAAAGAGGCAGAGAAGCAAATGGTTAAAAAGTCGATAGAATTATAACCATCAGTGTTCGCTATTCACGTAGGAACCCCCTCATCTGTGAACTAGCTTCCAAGCACCCGCAGACTACGACAAGCCTTAGTAATTTGGGTAGATACATAGCTAGGACCATACCTACTCCTAACTTATGAAGCCTAATCCGAATGTTCCTCCTTCTCGCCGCCAGCCATCACCTTGATTCAACACACAGCTTCTTTTCTCCATAATTTTCGATAATAATGAGACCAGACTAACTAGCTGAGCTAGGACAATACGACGACCACCCAGCTAGATCATTTGTTACAAAAAGCCGAAGAAGATGGACAAGAGCGCTGCGATTTACATTGCGGGCAATTCATAGGACAAAGTCTTGTTTGCTTTCTCAATCTAGGCCTTTGTGGTATTATCTTTTTATTGGGGAATAGGAAATATTGAATTCTCCCAACAATCAAGTCTGACGGCTTAGCAACATCCTGACAACTGAAATCCTTTTTTTTTGCAGGATCAAATGGCAAGAAATCAATATTGTGTGGATTTTTATTTTTGTGGAGCACATCTAACGTAGAAAAAAAAAATAAACTAGCCATCATTCTCACTACTTAGGAAGGAAAGAAATCCAACGAAGCCTAACTTGTACAACTCTCGAGGGTAACATTGTAGATGCCATTCCGTAGAAGTAGATGTTGAATGTACTTGAGACATGAACTTTTAATTCGGTAACTTCAAAGAAAACCAAGCTACGTATTAGTGGAAATTGTCAGACAATAATATAGGCTCCCTAGCCCATAACCAGATACCTTAGGTTTAGCCATGTCTAGCGGTGGAATTCTGAATTACTTTCAACAGAAATCTTCTATTGAAAGCATAAAGCACTAAGAAATGACACTATTTGATTTATTATAGGTATATAAATCCTGCTGCCTTTGGAATAGTTCTATATCTACCTAAAAAGCCTGTGGCTCCGGCAAGTTTGAACTCAGAAGGCGCTTTTCTGGATGATGGGCTATTTGCTCCACATCCATCTTTCAACAAGTTGATGTCAAACCCTTAGCCATGTGTGACTCGTAGCATCTCGTAGTCTAGAGCCGAGACATTAGTCGGTCTTGAGATTCAAAAATAAGAGGGCGTCTATTCCTTCCGCTAGTTATAACATGCCCCTGGACTGGCAAGTTACACACTAGGCCAAAAAAGACCACTATATCTGAGCATTACGCTCAGATATTCCAGGCTCCGATATATATAGTGCGACATAACACGTTATTTACATCCATGGATGTATGTATAGATTAATCCACATGATACATATTTATCATGAGATGATAATACGGCTATCATGGGATGGGGGAAACAACAGGAGATGATTATAATTTCAAGGTAAAGCAATACTCTCAACATAACCAGGAAGACAAAAAGATGAAATGATTCGGAAAATAAGAAGGTAGCCTAAGACCATAGACAGTGCAAAACAGCGAGACAGCTGAGTCAAATGAAGCATGTCATCTGTCTCTGTCCATAAAGACACATCTACCACCAAAAGGAGCGGCTTCACTTTTTGGAAAAGTGATCGACAGGTTGTTCCGTAATGTGCTTCCGCCTCTCCTCGCTGGCTTTGCTAGCATCTTCCATCAAAGCGATATCGACGGGACCGATGAAGGTCTTGTTTTTTTCGGGAGTGAAAGTTTTGGCGCGCTTTTCTGCAGACTTTTTACCTTTTGCATCCAGTTTTGCTACTTGTTCAGCCGGAACATCCAGCTGATAGCCTGCTGATTCGCGATCAGTATTGCTCGTCATCGTGATTGGACCGCAAAATATTATTAGACAATATTCGAATACGATGCGATGCGAAAGAAAGTTGATAGAAACACGAAGAATACACCAATGATCTCGGAGACGATGGCAAGGCTTTTTAGGCTTTCTGTGATGGAATGAGATAGAGTATCGGTATTGCAGATATCTAGAGAAACAGACTTAAGAAAGGCAGGAGCTTATTTAGATTCGATTACGGAGAGGTGGGTTGCGGACCGCCCATTTATATCTGAAGGGGGAAGGGATCAAGTACTGTATAGGGAATGAGGTTACCCCTGTTCTCGAGACTAAACCAACTCAATACACGAGGCAGATATAATGAAAAAAGAACCAATACGATGCATATTCGAGGACAAACATATTGTGGTATATCAACTGAAGTGCAGCTACTGGTAGCAGGGGTATGAGTCTGGCAAGTAATAGTCAGCCCAACACGAGCCCCTCAAGGCGAATTGGCTAGAGATGTTGCTCGCTTACGGTAAATATAATTCCAACAGCGCTAGATGTGATGAGTGTTAGTATTAGGTGATAATGCCAACATATCCCTCCACTTTTGTCCGCTGTGCCAACCTAGACCGCGAAAAAGTGTGAATGATGCACTGATATTGCTTCACATATACGTCCACGGCCTTTTTACTAGGCAAATCCAGAGAATCTTTGAAACAAATTCAAGCCATGGAGGGACTAGTATTGGCTTAGACTGCCATGTCATGAGGAAAAAGCCCTTCCTGGGGGATACAGTACCTAAATTCCGTCCCAACATCCGAGAGTGCGTGAGCTTTCACACTCGAGCATCGAGAAAAATTGCCTAGAGTCCATGTCTCGTGATGTATATGAGTAATGTATATGACAAGTAGATATGTTTCACAGATAATCATGAGGGCTGATCTAATTTTGTGATATTAAGATGGTGGATATTACTGAGAAATGTATCATCGATATAGAAAACAAAGTTAGTGATAATAATTAGATGGGGAGCAGTCAATTACTTATTTCGATATGAGGAATTAAGAAAACATGCAGGGAAATCTTCATATGATGAAGGCCGAAAAGTGGAGCTTTATATCCACATACATATGTAGCTGTATGGAGGACGAATCTGACATAGTAAACGATGTACTACTAACTATCTGTCAGACTGGGTTATCGCCCCCTTAGGCCCTAAACAGGAACCAAGGTTTTTGTAATGGTCCAACGGTAAAAATGGCTGTGTTTTTTCCCCACACTATCCATATGGATGTACATACATGTCTACATATGTGATTTATGCGCTCCACCTTGTAGTGCCTGGCTTTATCACATCTGGCCCAGAAATCGAATCACACGTTTTATTCATAGTAGCATTCTAGTTGATAAAGAGATTCAAGAAAGTGATATATCTACCGATGCCATAAGGGATCACTAAAGATCATGTGATTAAACTTTTCAAAGCCCAATCCTACTAGTGTTTTTGGGAACGCCCCTATTCCAGTTTCATCCTTTCTCGCTTTCTCTACTAAACTGCTTCCTATTATATCGACCATTCTGCTTTTGAAAGGCTAAGTATGCAACCACGCATGTGTTTCGATGACGTTGCCTGGGAAAAAAGCGAAGAAATAGCCGATACATGGGCTCGCCAGTGTTTTGATCCCAGTATCGCGAGAACGGTTGGAGACTTTCTACTTAAAAAGTATGAGCCAGATGATCCAGTTCGATTTGCTTTCTTAGAAAAGGGTTCATTCAATATCACCTTCTGGATGACCTACAAAACCGGTGTCGCCGCCATTATAAGATTCCCCCTACCAGGTGCGGCTATGTTCCCCGAGGAAAAGCTTCGAAACGAGGTCGCCATTATGCGATACATTCATGACGAGACTTCAATCCCAGTGCCATCTATTCTCTTCTCCGGTTGTAAGACAGACTCGCCCCTGGAGTTGGGTCCTTTCATTATCATGGAATATATCGAACATGACGCGAGCATGTACGACTTCCTCAATATCCCAGAGTGTCCAATCCAGGAAAGGGGAAGGCTTAACCCCAACATCGAAAAGGATACTCTCCAAGCTCTATACGGGGAGCTAGCTGGCGTTCTTTTGAAACTTTCAACCCCATCCTTCTCGCAGATAGGGTCATTCAGTCAGGCTGATGACTCTACGTGGGGAGTAGCAAGTCGTCCTCTATCCATAAATTCAAACGAACTCATCCGACTATCGTCCCTACCCCAGTCAAAACTACCAAGCTACGAGACAACATTCAGCTCCACATCTTCGTACCTTGAAGCTCTTGCGGAAATTCACATTGCCCATCTCACACATCAAAGAAACGACGCAATAGAGTCTGCCGATGATTGTCGACGGAAGTTCGTGGCTAGATACCTCTTCCGCAAACTAGCCCGTGAGCGTAAGCTCACTGAGCGATGGGCGGCATTCGATAAAGGACCGTTCAAAATTTGGTGCGATGATTTGCGACCAGCCAATGTTCTTGTCAACAATGACCTCAAGATTACGGGTGTCGTGGATTGGGAGTTCACATACGCTGCTCCAGTCGAGTTTACCTACGCGCCACCTTGGTGGCTTCTTATTGAAAAGCCCGAGTACTGGCCCCAAGGTCTCGAGGACTGGACAACCGTGTTTGATAGCCGTCTCCAGATATTTTTACAAGCGATGATCGACCGTGAAAATACTGCTGCCACAAAAGAAGAAGAACGACTCTCAGGTCCAATGCAAGAAAGTTGGGAGAGTGGTGACTTTTGGATTGCATATGCTGCAAGGAGAAGCATTGCCTTTGATTCGATCTATTGGAAAAAGATTGATCAGCGCTTCTTTGGACCAATAGAAAATGTTGAGGATGCGTGGAGGCAGAGACTTGATCTCTTTAGTGATACGGAGAAAGAAGAGATGGAAAGCCTTGTGGCAAAAAAAGTGAAAGAGATGGAAACCAGGGTTCTGGCTTGGGATCCAGATGAGTATACTTTATCTCATATAGACATTGCAGAAACTTATGCCGCAAAAAAAGAAGCAGAAAAGAAAACCGAGGAGGGCAAGGAGGAAGCGGAGAAAGACAACCCTAAGTCAGAGGACAAGGAGGTTGAAGTTCATGTTATGGAAGCAAGGCCAGGTGATCTTGATGTTGAGCAGATGGCTGAGAATTTGGCAGAACTTTCGGCTTAGTTAGTATCTTGGCATAATTGGCGTTTGGTTCCTAGAATAGTATCTAATATCTTTTCAAGTATATCTAGATATCTACACTATGATTTTGGCTCATAGATGGTCACATTTGAGATATAAAACCTTCCGATAATCTCCCAGGACCATCTGTCTCATTTTGCAAATAAATTCTAGTTTTAAAAAGCCTTTCCATAACAATGGCGGCAGAGACTTGTGCAATCATTGAAGATTAGGCTTGCAAATTCATTGTGTTGCATAATAATGAGTAACTAGCAGACTATCTTTTAGTTATTGCATTTATAAATAGACCTCTTTCATATAGTAGTAATACATATGTACTATATTGTAAAGAAACTAGGATACAAGATACTTGTAATTTGAGACTATATACCAGGCAGTTCCAACTTACCTTCGCTAGTGATTTGGTCTTCGGGTAGAGAAGTGTCGAGAGGTTGGGAAGGTTCGACTTAATTCAGCATATAAAAGTCAACCTTTTGCTAACAGCGCGAACCTCTTCAGTATCAGTTCAGCAAACCCGATTACAACCACCCGTGGACTCATCGGATATATTCTGTTACCAATTCCCCACGGTAAAGTTTAGTAGAATACACCCAGTTCAAGCCGAGTCGACAAACAACCAACGATGAGCGACCTACTGGAGCTTTCTCAGTCTCGCAATTCCACCAGTATAAGTTTATCGGAGTTCAAGCATTTTTACCGCCGAGACTATCAAAAAACAAAATATCTATCCCGACAGAAGACGCTGGGCTGAAACCAAAAGTTACCAAAACTTTTGATTCGGGATATACCTTGGGCGTATTCAATAAGAACCATTTGAATGTCAGCTGCAATTTATGGTTTCTGGCTCTAATGCAGAACTGCCCCCCCCCCCCAGCTTGAGGAAAAGGGACAAAAAAACCATCAACAATGCTTCGCTGAAGTTCCTAGAAGCCTGGTAATCAACGGAAGTATTAGATATACAGTGCTAATGGTCATCTGCCCGATTACCTTTTCGAGAGGTATATATCGGTAGCGAAAATTACATTGCACGCGTTGAAGACTCTTCTTTTTTTTGAATATTTGATAATCTGGATATATTTGCAACGACTAAAGTCAAATCTCATTGTTAACAATGACTGATACATTTCAGTCGGGAGAGACTAGATTCTCCAATATACACACCTACCATTATCGAGGTACTGAAACCACTGTGGAAAAAGTCCCAACTGTGCAGTGCAAGAGAGCTAGGCTATGATATTGGGGGTCTTCGGGCTGAGAAACCTAGCTAACCGAGCCGCCATATAAGTGCTACGTATGGCACCCGTCGACCTCTGGATCACACTACGGTGTATGAAGACTGCGCATCAGTATGTTTGCTTGGATACTACTGGTATTGCGTTTTGTATCCAGGTCAACAGCCATAGACATCGACTAACTTATATCATAATATAATCAGGAATTTTCTTGACGATTGCTAGTTCTCATGATAATTATATACGGAGTTCCGATGTTGTACTACCTCCTTCACCTTCTTCCCCACATTCTTCTTACAAATTTAGGAGGCAGGGATACACGTTAGAAAAAATCATGTAGATTATTGTTTTATGGTCTTGCATGCCATTGTTGATGTTTATAACGGACATATGATCCACCTCCTGAGGCCATTCTCCAAATGCGCGTCATTAAACTACTCGATACAAGAAACTGATTTGAGTCAACAGCATTACCCCGGATTGAAAAAGAGATATCGTGAAAACTGGAAACCTGGAATTCTTGAGTGGGTTTATTGAGTGTGGTCCTTGTCTGAGTCTACTTAACTATTCCTATCAATGGTACAATCCATCGAGACAGGTATAGCCGCTGACCTCACTGGCAAGTGACTGTCAGATATGTAACTCTCCTCCTGAGACCCCCTATCGCATTTGTCTTGCCATCCTGCTAGGCACACCAGAGAGGGAATATGTGGTAGCCCAAATGAGGATCCAAAGTCAGCAACGTCATAGGGGAACATGGTTCCACAATGGCGATGAATTATCGAAGCAGCAGCAAAATCACCCCGACAAACAGAGGAGCTGGATGTCGTGCCGATGGTTTATCTATCAGTATTTTACTATTGAATAATCTCTAACGCCAGCAAGAAGGAAGTCGATCAGTGCCGTTGTCAAAGAGAACGATAATTCAGCATATTCCCCATGACTCTTTCGCATATTGCTCTTATTGATTGCCATTAAACCGGAAAGAATTTGCTGCAGAGATTACAACTTATGATGCAGTCGTTGACGGGAGACAGCCCAGTGAGAGAGGCTAAAAGCTATGGTTATCACATATCACTTAAAAGATCTCGGACCGTTGAGGAGTGCGCTTAACTATTGCACCCTTGCCCCTACCTGTGAGTTCGCTCTTCAAGACAGCGCTTCGCTTGATCTCTTGGTGTACAAAATTTGCACCTTGATACGAGTATGCATATTAACCACAATAAGATTGGCGATTTCTCAAGACAGCGCACTGACCTTATTGCCGGATCGGATATGAGCGACAAAGATGGGCGCTTCGAGGATACAATGCGATTGAGAATTCAAATGTTGCGTAGGGGTAATGGTCGGCGAGCTCAGTGCCACACTGGCATATGGCATATGAGAGAACATGAACAGGAATTTCCTTTGCGGTGTTGCATGATTCCCTGGAGAAATAAAAAGCGGTGTCTTGAATCATAAAAATCAATAAATTGAATTATAAGAATGTTATTCGCTTCAGTTGTAAATTAGTTGAGCATGCACCTCGCTTTGTCTTCCATCACCAAATCCCAACTCCTACCCCTATATAAAGAAACTCATCCCTCACCCTTCAATTTGAAGCTTTGTCTTGTCACTCACCAGCTCTAACATTTTCCTAGTAGGCCGGCTCTCAGCCCGATTCGAACGATGCTTCAACAACGCCAGAATTGTAGTCTTGTAGTTCTTTCCCAAGTCTTTCCAAACAAAATTCGGATTAAGAGCCTTAATAAAGACTCGCATTGCAGTGACAGGAATATTCATCATATGACAGACATTCTCGGCCGACAAATGACTCTGCATCGTCACGATGAAGCTAGACTGCATTGTCGATTCAAATTGCACGAATTCACGCCCCGCTTCGGTTTTAATCACAGCAGTTGTCTCTGTTTCCAGTTTCTCGGCTGAATTGACGGCTGGGAGTGATTTTGGCTCTTCTCCGGTCAGAATTTTGTGAAGGAAGACCTCGTCAAGGGGCTCGATGTCATTGCCAAATTCACCGTTCTTCCCAACTTGCCAAGGAACGCGCTGTTTCTCTGAATCGCCAAGAACCTTTCTGCTCAGTTCGAGATTTTTGGCATTGGTAGCTTTATCGATATAATCACTCAAGTCTGCGCCCAGAAGGTCTTTGTATACCTTCATGTTTTGAATCTTCAACGCATCAGGCTTGACATGCCAAAGAGCAGCAATTTCGGCATGTTTGTCCAGAATTGCTTGGCATGCATCTTTCATCTTGGCCCATTCTTTGTTTATACTAGCTTCCGATACTTTAATTTTGAGTGAGGCGAAGGCAGCTGAGCGTGAGGTGTAAATGCTTGCGGCGACGAGGTCGTCATTGGCACGTCGTTGGCCTCCCTTGGCGAGATGTCCAAGGTACTGGATCATCTGGGTATAGCTCTGGCTCTGTCGCTCCAACTCATGGGGAAGCTGCTGTAGCAGACGAGTAGCGATGGTAGCGATTTCGGCCTCCTCCGTTGTAAGCATTCGCATAAAAACGGTAATGATTGTTCGAGAATGATGAAGCTGAATGTTTCGAAGCTTGGAAAACCTGATCATCTCATCTACCCGGCTTGATCTCACCCCATCCACATTTTCGTTCTTGGTCACCACCCGGATAATGGCCTTGTCGAGGAGCTTTTCCAGATTTTCGTAGAATTGCTCTAGAGGCCATCCAGTGTAAGGATACAAACTGACGACAATTTCGTACCAAATCCACTCAGAATTGGTTTGGGGAAGGTCGTTTTGAGAGTCCAGACCGAAGAGCTGCCAGACCATGCTCTGAGGGCGCACTCCTGACCCTGCTATTGTCAACAAATTGCCGAAGAGTCCCCGCATCAATCTTGTGACAGTATCCTCGGCTCGCTGTGACACGACTGGCGCAGTTGTCCTCATCGCTGCGAGTTTCGACATAGCTGCCATCAACAAAGCGCTCATAAGATGACCGGTTTCTGGGCTGTTAGGTTTAATGTCATAGTCTCTAGCCGCCACCGCTTGACTAAGAGTCGACCTCATAACGATTCTGAGCGCGGCAATGTGCTCCTCGTTGCACTTCTCCATCCATCTAATAGTGTAAGGGTTTTCGAGGTTAACAAATTCATCCCAACAGACCCAAGCTAACATTGATCCTGTTCCTGATTGCTGGCTCAGGTACGGTACCGCCAAAACTGGCTGGGATAGACCGTTCCCACTTCGGAGTGGGCCATTGTGATTGGCCTGCGACTGCTCTATGATAATCCCAGCGTCGAATCCTACGAGATGTAGAACTCTCGAGTCAAGGTCGCAGCATTTACTGCAAAACGGAAGTTAGCACTGTATAGCATAGATTCCCATGACAAAAAGAGAGGAAAATAGTCGAATATCTGGTCCACTTACCTGGCATTGATGTTGACGTCTGTCAGATCTTTTAGGAGCAGGGAATATGAACTTGTCTCAATATTCAATAGCATGACTCCCATATCCCCTGCATATGTTTCAAGATATCCTGCGAGAGTGTCGAAAGTCATGGACTTGACGGCCTCGACATTTGCCTGGATCTGGGTTTGGCGAACAAGTCTCTTCAGATCGTGCGTCCGCTTTGAAGTCATTTGAGACGACATTATGTTAGCCAAGCCCGAAATGAGTGGCTCGGTCACAATCTGCATCTCCCTGGTGAGATTCCTCAATTTTCCAAGCATAGCGTTCTTCTTCTTCACCGATTCTGGATCTGTCACGTCGTACTCCTGGGTTAGGTAATTGGTGTAGGTGCTTCTTAATCCAGCTGTTGCGTTGCTGATCTTTGTTGAGAGTGCGAATACCAAGGTTTTGGATAGTTCTCGTAGATCTTTCTCATTTAAAAGGATCTGTAGCTGGGAAACTGCTGCTGATATGTCCTCTCCCAGCTCTTTCATTTGGTCTATTGACATCCCTTCAAACAGCTTCTGGAGATCTTTATGCTTGACCAACTGACCTGATGTAGGCAATATGATTGAGTTTGCATCGCCGAGAGTAACAATCCGCTCAATCCTTGGGTCTAGCATGGATTCCATACCGACAGCCTCAAGTATGGATGTCACATCAAAGCCAAATTCGATTCTAGACGTGTTGATGTATGCCCGATTAGCAATACCTCGGTAGAAGTAATACCTATCGGATATTTGTATTAAAATCAAGGATTGTGGTCCCGCCAGTGCTGTCACCGCGTTGATGTTCGCTGAGTTCAGCAAAGACAGAATATCATCGGTGGTCTGCGGCTGATTTTGTGGACTGAGTTGTACAATGAAGAGAGCATTGATTCTGTAGATAGTTGCAAGATTTCGGGCATTGTCTGTCATTCGCTCGTCAACTACCACCACGGCATTCTTGAGTTGCTTATAATAGTCCCGGAGAGCAATTTCGTCGAGAAAGGGCACATTTGAAGGGACCGCTCCGGTTGCCAATAGAAATGGGCCTTGAAGCTGGGAACCAAATATGCATGGTAAAACAACGGTGGATGGGGTCTTCGTGGGGAGTTGTTCGCCTGGTAGCTGGAACTCAATGCCAACCCCGAAACGTATTATTTGAGTTTTCGCTAGATCTATGAAGGAAGGGAGACTGGCAGAATCGGTGATAAAAACGGCATTTTCTTTGGTGATCTTGCGCGGGATTTCCAAACTCGAGCTGGTTTTCTCTTCGGCTGAATTGTTAATTGGAGCTTCATGTATATGTGTATCAGCTTTTGAAGACCCCTCATCTTAATACCTACAAGACTTACTCTGTGTAGCAGCTGGTGAAGGAGCGGAGATAGTGAAATCGGCGCGGTTGATCGCTTCCTGGAAGGCAGCGCTTTTCAACTGGTTACTGTCGCAGCTTTTCTTTACATCTGTCGTTGCAGTTGGCAAAACCGAGCATATCAGGGAGTCTCCGTCGCGCTTTATCACGAGTGGGCAACAGATGGTTGCGTCTCCAATTGTTGCCGCATCCAAGGGTACCGGGACAATATAAAGCACCTGCCAAAATGATTTAATCAATGCCCAAAGGAAGAAATTTTTTTGAAACATACCTTATCTACGTGATCAGCAACGAGCAAGGCAGGGCTGGTTCCTAGGAATCTTGTTATGGGGGTCAAATGGAAGCCAGATATGAAAACACAGATTTCTTTCTCTGTGAGAGTGTTCTTGTTGATCTTGACATATTGTAAGAGATCATATCCGCTGTTGTTATCGCCGCTATGCTTGATTCCAGGGAAAGTACTTCTTGTATTATAACAACATGTGTTGTATGATTCATCCGCTAAGCAAAAATCGTAGTAGGTGGGCTTTCTTTCAGAGATTGCCAGGAGCATAATTTGGCCGGACACTATCGGGATCTCAAAGGTTGAAGCTGGTGCTTGCAGCATTTGGAAGTCCTTGAATATCCCTGCGAAGGGTTAGTGTTCATTCTTTGATTGAAAGGGAAGAGAGAAGACATACCCAGTCGAGACTCAAACCCAGCCATGCGCCTCAGAAGAATCTCGCCCATCTCGCCCATGTCCACGGCATTGAAGAAAAAGTCCTCTAGATACGAGGAGATATCGATTTCTTGAATGCCGCTCTCTGTTCGAAAAAGCAGAAGTCGCTCAGGACTGAAAGGGTGTGCAGAGCCGACTGGGAGTTGATTTAGGATCTCTCGAACCCGAGCCTTCGATGTTGCGAGCGGGTCGAAGAAGGTTTTCCTTATTCGCTTCATGGTTGGTAGGGTGGCCAGTCACAAATTTCGAGGTTGGAAATGTCGGGGCAACTCAGGATGAGTGGGAAGAGAGGGAAGAAGCTGATATTCTAATACTGGAAGGTTGTAGTCTTTATAGGCGACAAACGAGGTCTAATCTCAGTGAGGCTGAAAATACAGTCATCTCCATATATGAGTCACGCCAAAAGCACCACACAATTTGTATTATATTTAGTTATCATAAGAGGAATGCAAAGCCCTGTAATAATAGATACTACAGTTCCATATGTATTGAAAAAAAATAGATTACGGCTAAATTTCTGAATAGCATTCAATACCTGTGTTTCTCGCCATTCTACTAGGAAAGTCACCCTGGCTTATTTTGGGTCTTTCAACTCACTACTTAGCTTATCCCTATTGCAATCCATGCATATAGCTATATACATGTAGGGACCGAGGCTGAGACAATACTCTATCACTACATTAGATGTCTCTATAGCGCAAAATATTCTTCCTAGTACTTATGTGTAAAATACTGTAGCTCTCGAAGTCTCCTTAGGGTCTAGTCAGAACATCAGTGAGTCATAGTTATGAATTGCCTGTTCATCTTTGAGCGGGGTATACGAATTACCAGACCATAACTATGTACAGCTCCTCAAAAAGGATAAGATGTCGATGCTTAAAAGGAAATAGATTGTGCAAAAGTGAAAATGGGATTCTTGAATACTCGAGATAGCATGAAATACATGAGATACATAAAGGCTTCTCTAGCTCCCGGGCTTCTTTTAGGAAGATTTATGCATTTGGACATTAAATAGGTATGATAAAATCCTATGTATCGTCCCTTGGCGTGGAGACAGACATAGGTATTGGGCTCCTCAATCTTCAAGGCTAATAAGCTTGGATTATTTCAATGATTCAAGAAGCACTCAGTCTTCTTCCATCTATTTCTAGCCTAGACTAGCGTTTCGTCTGATCGGCCCGCCCAGAAGGGTAAAAATACATACCTGTGGCACAGTGTTGGCTTAACCCCCGTCGGATGATTTTCGACGATTTCCTTCCCTTAGAACTCCTGCCTCTTCGGTAATTAAACCCTGAATGGCTCTAACAGTCTTTTGGTGCTCTTTCCCCTTAAGGTCTGTTCTTTCTCTAAAGATTTTTCGAGTAGTTGTCAAACAACTGATGAGTTGAGATCTCCTCTGGTATATTCGACCACCAGCGGGAAAGGCGAACGAACTTCACGATTTTTCGTTGTCAGGTACATGAAAGAGAATCTTGGAACCCGGATTTGAAAACTTCCCTCCCTTCACCAGACGACCTCTTGCATATGTAACATGACAGCATGCTCGAGGTAAAATGGTTTAAGTATGATGTCCACATTGCCATCCCCGACCCAACGGGTTTGCCAGTTTGGGTGATACATAGCCTTAATATATTCCAATACTCGGGATAAAATCTGGACATCTCCCAGTCGAGTATTCCAACAACCCGATCGCCCCTGACGATGATGTTTCGGGGAGAAAGTTCCGCGTGCGTGAGCACTGTTCCATGGGATGGGATGACTCGAATCAGCTTGGTAACATGGCCAACTCAGGAGTCCTTCCCGCTGAGGTTCATTGCCCGGATCAACCCCTTATTGAATTTGTTTTCCGTCTTATATGGGCCAACCCCACCCTGTTCGGCACAAAAGACAGGATCCTCACAAGCCGAACCATCAATGGAGCCAATAAAATCACCTTTAATAGACCGGATCTCGGATATGAAGCTCTGAAATTTCGAGATGATTTTGTGGCGCCGCGTGTCATGCATGTCGTTGATGGCATCGCGAAGGACTTTCCCTTCAGTATACTCCATAACAATGACTCCGCGGTTCATGCTTTCATCAACATAAATGTTATAGACTTATGGGACTAGAACCGAAGTTTTAGAGCGGATGAACCTCAAAGGTTCTGCTTCAGCAAGACGGTTTGGGTCGCATAATTTGACTACCGTTCTACCATCCATACGAAAAACATTGATCATCTTATCTGCAAAGAGGCATTTCTGACTCGGTCATCTCTGATCGTGCTATTCTGCGATCCATGGTATATTAAAAGGGATGATTCGTGGCTAGATGAATGCTCCGTATTCCGTAGAAGACAAAGATCGAGAAGGGGGTTGGGTTTCTTGGAAACGACCTCGTATATACAATAGCGCTTTACTAGAAAGGGCCTAGCTCATATTCAACCTATTTAAGAGAATCACGTGGCTCTATGCCATTATCTCGTTCCCAGGTCAATTGAAATACATTTTTGTATCTTAATCTCAATCATAATCATACAGCATCATCCATCATTTATCCAGATCTAGTTCATCTGCGCAAACACCTCTAGCGCCTCGTGTAACCTTCCAAATACACCGCTATGCCACCTCTTCAACGCTTCCCACTCCTCCTCGGGCAACATACCCCGACTCATGCGCAACCAACCCCCCACAATGAAATCCGCATAACTCGCCCTATTCCCCATCAGAAACGGCCCGCTCTCGTCACTCATATACAACTTCGCAAGTCCACCCAGGGTCTCGTCAAATGACCTCAACAACTCTTGCCTCTCCTCCCCATAAATTGCCAAAGCCTCCCATGGCGCTCCTACCCTCTTCGAGAACATCACCTTGCACTCCTCTGCAGTAGCAGGATCAAAAGGCATCCCATGCGCCATCAGGCGCGCATGCGCACTAAACACAGCGTCGACATTCGTATTAAACTTCACGTACATCGCAGCAGGCCCCTCCCCCACCTCCGCCTCCGCAATCGGCGCGAAAAGCGCCAAGTCGCGTCCAAAAACGAACCCCAGCTCCTGTGCCGGGAACAAGTCGCCTGCCCCCGAGGACGGGTATTGTTCCTGCAGGTATGTCGCGATTCCAAAGGAATCCCCCACTATGCGCCCGGTGGCTGGGTCGGAGATAACGGGAAGGGTATGGTAGGGAGATCCGTCGGCGAATTTGCGCGAGGCGGGGATGTTGAGAGCGCCGCGGACGGAGCTGATAGCGAGTAGTGGCACCCAGGTTGTTTTGTAGGGAATATTTTTGAAGTTTAAGGCGTAGCGGGTTTTCCAGGGGTTTGGTGAACAGGCAGATTTTGGGGCAGGGGATGCGAGAGCGATGTCGTAAAAGGTTATTAAGGACATGGTGGGTGATACAGTTGAGGTCGACGACGTGGATGTCACGGTGGAAATTTCACGAGGAATTTGAGTTTGATGAATTCGAGATATACTCCGTGAATTGGAGTTGTTTTTAGACTGCTGATTTATTACTGGAAAGGCGGTTCTATATACCAATTGGTGTGGGTGCTAATTGAGTCATGAAGAGTCATGACAGGGGTGTGTGTATATTACGCATAGTGACTCAAGCATTGTTTCATCTAGAAACCTGAAGGCAAGTATTCATAAATATAAATCTTCTAATGTCATGGAATTGAATTTATGGTAAGACCCCGGTTTAGACGTGACATCCTAAAATTCAGGTTTGTTAGGAAGCATTTCCATTACGCATAGATGCGATTTAAGCCCATCGTTTGACTTATGTTTTTTTTTCTATACAGAGAGATGGGTTGGAAAATAGTATATTCCATGGGCTCCTTTTCTGGCATGAATACAAATCTTACGAGATTTAAATTATGAGGCAGTATAAAATTGAGTGCAAGCATAAGCTCTTTTTATGTTAAGGTTATTCAGATCAACCGAACAAAATCTTGGAATCCCCGTTCGGGCTTAAATGTTGTGTATAACATGGCAAAGCAGTACATACAGTTTCAAAAATGTCGAGCGGAAATGATCTTGCTACCCGAAAATAATGCAAATGCGACGGATTTCACGCCAAGCAAAACCATATGATGACCTCGTAAAACAACAGACGAAGCAGAACTTCGATGCCGCTGCAGCCCCTCAGTTCCCTCGGGCTAGTGGTCGGGATGTGTTGGGCAGAAGGGGCCAGGCCTGGAACAAGACTGGATCCAACGGCGAAGGACTGGAAGTGAAAAGTCACAAATGTTAGATAGACACAATGGCCGCTTTCTACTTTTCCTCTTCCTCTTTCTCTCTATCCCCCTCCACGCGCTCCAACTCTAGCGCTGTGATAATTTGACAGACAAGAGTTGAAGCAGTGAACCGTCCCACAACCCCTAACGCATCTAAAGTTCCAATAAAAAGGACCGATGAAAACATCAACGTCCCGAAAAGAACATGTACCGCACCTACAACATTTGATAGAGAATAAAAAAGTCGAATCCATAAGACCCCGCCTTTGGGCTTGCTGCAAATACATTTAGACCCCTCCATCCATGTAGCCACCACGGCCAAGCATATTGGACCTAATGTGGTGCCAACCCACACAAGCTCAAGATATGAGGACGTACATTTCCAACTGACAATTGTTTGTCGGCCTAGAGTCCAAGCGTTAAGAAAAACATTGACCGCAGCACCAGCCGCGATCAAATATTTTAGTAAACGAGGTGAATATTTCAGCCAAAATTTCCATATTGACTGTGTCGGTGCTGTGCTTTGCTTCGCAGTAACTTTCGCACGGCAGCAAGGAATCAAATGAAAAATCCAATTAGAAAGCCACTTCTCCCCAGAGGCGAAGGCGCTCCGCTGAGTAGGCTTCCGAGGTTCGATCTTTGCCCACGGCATCCCAAAAGCCATCGAGGGTGCTCCTAGGACACAAAGAAACCCTAGAATCGGGTTCTGAAACCACAGTTGCGCCTTGTTGTTGATGGTTGGGCCTATCTGCCCTAGGACTGTTGGCGTTAAGCCGAGCAACACCAGGGCAGATGACATATCCGCCTTGTCGATTTCCTTGGTGTTGCTATAAATGCAGCTGACCAAGTTTTTGCATGTCATCGAGTGTTTTGAGCCCAGTTCCTTGACAGCGTCCGTGTAATTTTGAAGGCAGGTGGGAGCATCTCCCTCTTGAGTTAGGGCGTATCGGTAGAACGGATACCAATACTCGAATTGCTTTGCCTTACTGCCATGGGAAAACAGAGCTATCATACCGAAGAGAACTAGGAAGGTTGTAAGTAAAATACTTCTGGACTTCATTGTGTGTTATTCGAGCATAATTACCTAGAAGCCACCGCATAGTGTTTAATTACACAGCAAATGTAAATATGTCTGCGATCCACAATCCAGAGCACATGGTAAAATCCACCGAAATTAAAATGGATCAAGGGACGGCGTATGTTGGGGGGACGAAAAGGGAGATGGCGAGGGCACTAGAATTAAAACTCGCGAGGGAAAGGTGATTTCGGAATCATATATCCTGGTAGATTTGCGGCTGAAAAATTACATTTATACCGAAAGTGAAAAGTGAAACATGAATTACGAGGCGCCACAGGCGCTTACCCCTAATCCTCGAGCAAATCTCAGCGAACCACCCATATTCTATCTATCCCTTCTGGCCATTCTAATCACAACTCCTATAGAAGCGCATGCAGATATGAAGAAAGGAAAATCGACCGAAATATTGTGAGAAATCAAGGACAGAACGGGCTTTTATCACACTGTACAGCGACGACTATTGGGTTTTAGTCTGCGGTGTAGAATTTACATATTAACCAATTCATTGTCAAAATATACCATCTTAGAGTCTGAAAAATATGCAGTGCCTGCCATTTCTTTGCGGTAATGTCTTGCAGCTGAACAGGTAGACCGCAATCCCAGCATTATAGACAGATGCTCCAGGGGAAACCCCCTATTCCACGAGAGAAATGCATGATTATAATCAGAGCAAAATTTTAGTGGCAGATTGTAGGCAGAGTCAATCTCATCGCCGTCGCTGTCACTGTCAATGCAAGATTCTCAATCAGACTGAAGGGTATCATTGCTAAGGCGCTTGTTAGATGAGCGCTGAGGATTCGATAGCGGTGCATCATGGTCTTCAATATATCCTCGTTCTTTATAATTTTCTCCATTGTTCAACCCTGGTTCTTTCCCACCGCCAAACACCATTGAAGCCAGGTTCTAGGGCTACTCCGCGCAAAGTCGGAGACAGTACACCCGTTCTTGTCCCGCAGGTTTGGGTCGCAGCCAGCGTTGAGAAGAAGAGTAAGGCGTCCCTGTAGGGAGTGGAATCCCAGATCACCATGCACGGTCCCCCGGATTGAATAGGCAATTGGAAGATGCAACGCGCCTTCACCAAAATGTGACTTTCTATGTAGATTTGGAGCTCATTCCAAAAGTTCCTTCAGTTCTGTAACACCATGCAATCCAGGAATACAGTCGTTGTAGAGCAAAGGGAGTGAATCGGCGCTGTTCTCATGTTCGATCTTGCAACCCAGGCAGACTAGGAGATTGACAAAACATGAGATATCCTTTTTGTCAATGATTTCCGATCTAGGTAAAGTTCGACTGACGGTAAAATGGAGAGGGTTTCCACCAAGAGCGACAGAGCCGATGTCACAGCCCAATCGAATAAAGAAGCCTGATTAGTTGGTTGAGAATGGATTTTGACACGTTGTATATACCATCTCTCGGTACTAGAAAGCGTTATGAGCTGCATAGATTGCATTGGTGCCATCTCTATAGACCCTAGCGTTTAAAAATGGCACTAGTTAAAATGCGGGATGACATACCAGCGACAGTGACGGAGATCTGCCACTTCGCTGATCAGCAACTCACATATTTCCAGCCGCAGATAGTCAATATTATTGGATTGAACACATTCAAGGATTGGGGAATCTGGCTTGACGACGTTATATATCGCGATAGATCGGTGAATTCGAGGCTACCGGAGCTTCTGATTCAGACGTGCTAAGGAGATAGTGAAGCCATATTTATGGACCGCTGGGTCACGCGTGAGTAGTAGCATGATATCACATACCGCTGTGTGCCTGGTGGCGTTCTGCAAAGCCTATAAATGGGCCCGAACCCCGGGCCTAAAGTCAAACCCGCAGTGGGCTGTGGCCCTAACCTTCGAAGCCCAGTCCAACCCACTGCCCATTCGTGGGGGCCCATAAGGCCCATATTAAAGCCCATTAAGAGGGGTTCAACAGGTATCTTGTAATCGCTATATGATATTATATTCTAGCCATTCTGCTACTTGTATAGAGTTTAAATTCAGAATTTAGAATTTTAATAACTATATGATTATATATTCAAATTTTGAATAAAATCTGACCAATAGAGGTCAAGATACTACGAAAATGGCTTAATATTAATGTTTTGATACTCGATATATAGTATTTTAGATTTGTAGGAGTACTATAGTACTTTCTAAGGGAACTTCTCTAATTTATAAATTATCTAAAGAACGCGCTTTCTCCCGTTTTTAAACGTGATATAGAGATATAACTAGTAATTTGTTCTAAAACATTTAAACTAATGAAATATTACCTTCAGAATAAGGCCTAGAATCGGGGGTAAAACGAAGGGTGATTTTAAAACCCCTGAATGGGGGTTCAACTTCTGAATTCTCGGCATATTTGTACTGTTTGGGGCCTATTTTGGGGGCCCATTAACCCACAGTGGGCCCGAAGGTAGGGCCCAAAGCCCAGCCCATTTGCGAGTTGGGTTGGGCTGGGCTATGGGCTTTATGGGCTTTGCGGAGCTCTAGTTCCTGGAATCAAGATTTCTAGCACACTGGATTTGGACCGAAAAATTACCAGCCGGAGACTCCCGAACAAGAAACTTGGTAGTAGTTATCTCATTGGTTCTCCCTACTAGGTGCGCCTTTTCAGCTCTGCATTGGGAAACTGACCCTTGTGTTCTCGTTGGTTATGGTGATATGTGATGCACTAGATTTAACTGGGCTATTTTGCTTTTTCAGTGCAACAGCGGCCGTCTCATGACAAATAACGAGCAATTTCTCTAGCTCTTCTCGAATCTAGTTTGTGTCCTGTTTAGACAACTGTGCTTCGCCTCATTACTGGTTCTCCTGGCCGAATGCCAGAAAATCGACTCCTAACTGTCTGATTCCAAAGCCAAGGGTATACCACGAGAATGGTTCACCTGCCTCGGGGGCATGTAGCGTGACAAATGGGATATGCTTTCAACCTATGTATCATATGGATCGAGTGTGTGTATCTTAGACAACACGCCGATAGATCAATATGAATACCTTTTCAGCGAAGCTACTTACCACAACGTATTTCAGTCAGGGTACAAAGAGATACAACATCAGACACAATCCCCGATCCAAAGATAATTATCGTGGCACAAAATGGAGTTATCAGTGATCTTCGCAGCCAATGTGTGTGCCGCTGCATAATTGCTCACACATACCGAGAGGTTGGTGTGGGAGGATGATCGAGTTGGCAATACTAAGCTCATTCAGAGAATTCTATCCAGTAAAACAGATCCTTAGAATGGAATCCAAGACTTGACGGAGGGAGGATTACAGCTGTGGAAGGAACAATTATTATTCATGGGAGAACACGAGGATATCGATCCGCACGCACAGTCGATTGCAGGGAAGGCAGGGCAAATTATGGGCGCAATTGAGGCAAATAAATATGAATTTTATATAGGATAACTAGTTTATGTAAAAGGTCGTAACTCAGTTTGGACCAAATGGGCCGTCAGTAAAAAGCTCAACGATAAAACATACTATAATAGTAACTCTACTAGGACCTAAACTCGGTATATTTCCGAAAGGAGGATGTTTTCATTTGTCTTCAGTAAGGTTGGCAGAACCTTGAAAGACACCTTCGCAATTTTGTCAACAGCATATAGAGTATTAGCCACGTCATGCTGGCTTCTCGATATGGCCTCAAAAGGCTCCATGGCATTTTAAGCAATTCGTGAATAAACTTGGAAGGGTTTAGTTAGCCATCAGGAGAAATCAGAAAAAAGTCCACTAATTAGTTAAAGTCAATATGCTCGCAGAAAGAAAAACGTGGACAATCACGCCCTCGATCTAAACGAAACACCATTAAATTGAGCGCCGGCTCTACTATTTCTCTTGGGTCTCTCTTGGCAAACTTAAAATGGATTGGCCGATGTCAGTGAGAGTGTTTCGGAGATGGGGCTTGTTGACGATCGCCTTCCCAAAGCAACGATAGCCACGGACTGATCGGCGGTGGTAGGTCCACCGTCGGGATCCTCTCATTCACGGCTTCCGAGACCACATCCACTCTCATTTCGGAGTCTACTCGAGTACTTTGTAGAGCTAAGGGGCAGGCATCAAACGGCCGCTAAGCACACATAACTAACCTAAAATCCCAGTTATATAAGTAAACATTATCTCCAAGATTGTCTATCTCTCATCCATTCCTTTCGTTGCTCTCCTTTTTTTCGCTTCATAGTTTTGTTTGTCTTATTTACAGTCACTCTTTATATACCACCTAAATTAACTTCAAAAATGAAGTACGCATTTGTTCTCACGGCTATTGCCGCTGTTGCCTCCAAAGTCGCCGCTGTCGGTGTCTCAGGCACTCCTGAGGGTTTCGCTTCTTCCGCCACTGGTGGCGGTGATGCCACCCCTGTCTACCCTACCTCCACCGATGAGCTGGTCTCTTACCTCGGTGATGATGAGGCCCGTGTCATTGTTCTGAGCAAGACGTTAGTACAGAGCCCTTGCCGTGGATAAATAACGGCTGACAATCGCGGAATACTAGTTTCGACTTCACCGGTACCGAGGGCACCACCACGGGCACGGGCTGTACCCCTTGGGGTACTGCCTCCAGCTGCCAGGTTGCCATCAACAAGGATGACTGGTGCACCAACTACGAGCCTGACGCCGCTACCACTACCGTCACCTAGTGAGTATTCCATCACTCAGGCTATAATTGCCATGCCCTTCGAAGCTAACATGTCTCTCCAGCGACAATGCCGGTATGCTCGGTATTACCGTTGGCTCTAACAAGTCCTTGATTGGTGAGGGCACCAGTGGTACTATTAAAGGCCGTGGTCTACGCATTGTCAACGGTGTGGAGAACATCATTATCCAGTGCGTTCAATCCCTGTCTTGGTTCTAAGCACGAAAGCTTCTTCAAAATCCACACTGACTGGTTTATCATAGGAATATCGCTGTTACAGACATCAACCCCCAGTATGTCTGGGGTGGTGATGCCATCACCCTCAACGAAGTTGACCTAGTCTGGATCGACCACGTTACCGTACATTGCTCCCATAGACCTTCCTAGCGATTCACATGGACTGACTTTATCATCTAGACTGCTCGCATTGGTCGTCAACACTACGTCCTGGGCACTGAAGCTGACAACCGTGTCTCTCTCACCAACAACTATATTGATGGTGAATCCGAATACTCCGCCACCTGCGACGGTCACCACTACTGGAATGTGTACCTTACCGGCTCCGGTGACAAGGTTACCTTCAAGGGCAACTACCTTTACAAGACTAGTGGTCGTGCACCTAAGATCCAGGAAAACACCTACCTTCACGCTATCAACAACTACTGGGACGACAACTCCGGCCACGCCTTCGAGATTGGCTCTGGTGGCTACGTTCTTGCGGAAGGTAACTATTTCTCTGACGTCGAAACTGTTCTCGAGGAATCCTCCTTCGAAGGTGCCCTCTTTTCCGCCGACACCGCCTCCGGCACCTGCGAGTCCTACATCGGTCGCTCCTGTGTCGCCAACGTTGGCGGAGGCACGCTGTCCGGCTCCTCCATTACTGTTCTGGAGAACTTGAAGGGCGAAACTCTTGCTACTGCATCTATTGCTAGCACCGACCCGGCTGGTAGCGCCGGCCAGGGTAATTTGTAGATAGTGTCGTGCGTTCCAAAGGTTTATGTTGGGGAATTTGTCAAACTTTCTTGTAAACAATGCAAATAACAATAGAACCACGTGATCTGCATAAGTTATGTATGGAAATTATAGATACTACTACTAGTATTAAGTATTGCCACGCGCCCGTCCCCGGGTCCCCACCTGGGCACCAGGCTTCTCCCCACCCCGCTGCCCCAACTCTCTGCCCCCATCAAGCCCCCGGCGCCTCCTCGCGCCTAGGAAGACCTGCATTCCTTGCTTAATTGACCTCAGTCTATTCGTCCAAATTAAGTCTAGACTCAGATAGTTACGTTCACCTCGTGTATAAAGCATAATACCGAAAATATATGCATACTGACAGAAATCCGGTCTGAAGCAAGGTATGGTATCTTCAATGAATATGCATAACTCTAAATACTAAAATACGATAGAATATGACGTTTGGTCTCAAGAGCATCAAGCAACAGCTACATTACTGCGGCGCCATACAACTTGCGTTTGTGCGTATAACACATACATCAATTTCAATAATCGCACAACACTAACATACTATATGGCAAACTATAGCCAACCGAAGGTCCCGCCTAGTTGACACCTTCCTCTGCCACGTTCCGCAAAATTACCGCCTCAATGTTCGCCTCCAATTTCATAATTGTAGACTCCCATCTGAGACACCTACGCTGCCGCGAGAAACTCAAATCCTATACTCAGTCTCGAACAATCGTGTCCGGAAACGCAATGGCTAACTTCTTCTATTTAGTGGACGTGTGGTTCGCTTATGTATGGTGTCGGCGAGGTATATCTGGGACTTAGTATTGTTCACATTGGAACAGTAGATGGTTTTAACTTACATGAGACCAAGTTGAAACCGAGGACTGAGTGTTATACAAAGGATCAGGTTGTGTGTCTACATAGCATGGAGGATGTTGGACAAATTGAAGGGACTGCTTATAGTCCGAGAGGACAAGGGCCGAAGAGTTCGCTTCGAATCTGGTTACACGAGGCAACGAAGAGTCATAAGCGTAAAGTCAAAGTTTCGAATAAGATAATATGTCACGGAGTGAATCAATAAAATATTTAAATATGGTAACATCAGTGTATTCTTGGAGGCCTCGCGATATCAAGATGATATCCTAGTAATATGCCAGGAGGATCTGCGTAGATGATGACCCTGACTCGCTGGAAACGAGAAACGGGAAATTGGAGACCGAGATGAGTGCTAGCTCACTCCATGGGGAGACTGGCGGGTCTTCCTGAGCCCGGCACGTTTTATAGACTGATTTTTCTATTGACAGTCTACTTCCAATCCGATGCACTTCGGTTGGACTGTAGCGATTCATGGTTCCCAAGGGCCTCTGGCTCGAATTCCTGTCAGAATCTGGGGTTCTTTGTCTCCCTGAACGAGAAGCACATCTTCATGTCTCACACCGAATTTATCCACAAGATAGATTCCGGGCTCCGAAGTGAAAGCCATGCCGGTCTTTAACAAGCTCGCTGTATTTCCCTTGTTCAAATACGGGCTTTCGTGGGCTGTTTACAGTGGTCAGTCTATTAAACTTGAATGGCGGGGTTTCATAAAATGGGACCTTTGATTCCGATACCATGACCCACGCGATGCGTGAAGGTTCCGTCATATCCAGCGACTTTGATCACGTCGCGTGCAGCAATGTCTACACTGGCTGCGGTCATGTTCTCGCGCATTTGATTAATTGATTGAGTTTGCGCCTCAAAGACGATATCCCAAACCTTGACCCAGGTCAGTGATCTAGATATAAATAAGAAACTAGAGCAACTCACTTTCAGCTTCTCACTCATGCGCGGTGAAAGCACATCATCCTTGGAAGGCTTCTCCAAGAACGGAGGGAAAAATGTGCGGCAAATATCTGACGGGTATCCATAGAGATGTGCACTATCAGGGGGTTAGATGACAAAATTTGAGGCTGTTTCTGGGGGATACGAACCCGACATCAATCAAGACAAAGGTCTCGTCTTCCAAAACCTTAGTCCCATTGGTTCCACCATGTGGGTTGGATGCATTCTCATCGAAAAGAACGATGTCGAAGAAGGGCTCCATTCCAGCGGCTCGAAGGGCATCGTCGAGGGCAGCAGCCATTTCATTCTCCGTCAACCCTGGGTAGAGGCATTTTCTCATCTGTCGCACCGCCTCAACAGTTCCGGTATTTACCGCGCGCAAAATATCAACCTCTCTAGCAGTTTTAATCTGTCGAACTTCCTCAACCTGGCCCTGTAGACCGACTACATCAAATCCTGCGGATCCAAGTCCGCGCTGGATGAAGTCTCGCATTTCTTCGTCCACCATCAGGCGTGCGGGTCGATCGAGGCCTAAGAACACATCAGATTGCCAGAGAGCGGCGTACGGATCCCAGTGCTCCTCCCAGGGGACGATTGAGAGTTCCTCAGAGAATGGCATTCCAAGTAGACGGGCGCGTTCAACCTCGAAAGATGGGCAGAGAAAGGTGGTGTTAGCCTTGACGTTGCCTGTGGCCCCATCGTGGACTGGGCGTACCACCATCAAAAAAGGGCGCTCTTCAGGCTACATTGGTCAGTGTAATTGGTCTATGAAGATCTGAAAAGTTATCCTACCTCCCACACTTCCCACTCAGGCTGGCTCACGTTGCCATAATACTTGAATGTATACCCCGGTTCCACCACAAAGGCATCAGCTCCCTCGGCGACCAGTGCTTGCGCCAATCGATCCCGTCGCTCTTCAAAGTCCGCAACTGCAATTGGCGCGACGTTGTTCATGAATGGAAGACCCGTCTCGAGAAGATTGTTAATTGCACATTGTTGGAAGGTTTTCATGCGGTCGGGGTTGTCGTCATTCCATATTTTTTGACCAGTCGCGAGGGGCTTTTGACATCCGAGTGACCAAGAATGACAAGAAAAACTGTAAGTCGTGACTAACAGACCAGCACCGGCTATAATCAATACCAGGTTGCGAGCAGAGAAGCGATTACGGGGCTTAGCCCCCACGGTGCTGAAGGGTAATTTCGACATGACCCGAGAAGTTGGATCAAACAAGGAGAATTCGAGAATTCCTCAGGCAATCAAAGCGGTTTCCTTCGTAAACTCGGTCTTTGAGTGGGGGTTGTTGTCTCATTTTGACTCTTCTACTTTCGCTTCACCTTCCCGTCTTGTTAGCGCCAAAGCCCAAGTTCTGTGGCGTTACTCCGCAGTTTCTCCGTCGCCAGTTTCTTGGTGGCCCCTTGATTGGTGCAGTAAGCTGCAACAAGTGCAAAGATATCGGAGAAATCAGGTCTTTGATGTTGCGGGGATGTATTATTATAAAGTGCGGGCCATGTCCGAATCTGCTAGCAATCTGCAGAAAGTGACATTCCCATCATGAGTGAGCCTACGGTAGTCGAGATACGTGAAACGTGTGGAAAGAACCCAGTATCGAAAGAAGTAGACATTCAAACGGAGAATTCACTGTCACCCTCCCCAGGTGCGACTTGCCAAGATGCGACAGATAATCTAAACAACGGTCGAGGCTACTCACGCCTCTCTACAGTCATGATGATTGTCTTCAGTGGCCTTGCGATTGGCTCGGATGGCTTCAATGCTGCGATCATCGGAAACCTTGAGTTGATCATGGCGGTTATTTATCCAAAGTCACTGACCACAGATGTAGCTGCTCGCCTATCCAACGCATTTATAGTCGGCATGATTATTGGAATGCTCTCATTTGGTTACATCGCCGATAAACTGGGCCGCAAGAGTGGTGCTGTTCTAACAACAACAATTTTGGTCCTGGGAATTGCACTGAGTGCCGGTGCTAGTGGGGTGACTGAGGGTGGCATGTTTTGGATGCTGATCATAGCTCGAGGAGTCGCAGGTGTTGGCGCGGGAGGGTGAGTGAACTTTTCCTTGCTGTCTATTATATCTTGCAGTCCGCTAATCTGATGTAATCAGAGAGTACCCCGTTGCAGGTGCGGGTGCTGTTGAAGCCACAGATGAAGCTCCAGGAGTTCGTAAGCGAAGAGGCTTTATTTTCGCAATGATTGCTGACTTGTCGGCCTCCCTTGGCTTTGCCTTCGGTGCCCTGGTGCCACTACTTTTGCTTTTGTGTTTCCATCAACAAGTGAAGCATTATGAAACAGTCTGGCGAATCTCCTTTGCCATGGGAGCCATTCCTCCTCTCTCGATTTTCTGGTTCCGCTATCGCATGGTCGTCAGTTCTGCATATCGCAAGAGCTCTATGAAAAAGCAGAGGCTACCGTATTGGCTAGCGATCAAGAAGTATTGGCGGCCGCTGGTGGGCGTTTGCGGTTCGTGGTTCATGTGAGCACCTCGATCCCCGCGGAATTACATTGCTGTGGCTAACCACACGGACTACATCAGTTATAACTACATCTCCTATCCTTTCGGCCTGTTTTCATCTACCATCGTCGGTCGGGTAAATCCAACCTCTTCCTTGGCCCTCACAATGGCCTGGGGAACGTTGATAAATTGCTTCTATATTCCCGGTGCATTCATCGGTGGTTTTCTCTCGGACCGTATTGGCCGCCGCCGCACCATGGCACTAGGATTCTTCCTTCAGGCAATTCTGGGTTTCATCCTAGGAGGAGCATTAGGCCCGATCCAGACAAAGCTGCCGCTGTTTATCGTCCTCTACGGGATATTTCTTACCCTCGGAGAGATCGGCCCAGGTTCCACAATCGTTCTCACTGCCAGTGAAAGTTTTCCCACTTCGGTTCGCGGCCATGCAGTCGGATTAGCTGCTGCTTGTAGTAAGGCCGGGGCGGCAATTGGAACTCAAGTCTTCAAGCCAATCATGGCTAGTTGGGGCGATGACGAGCTTCGTGGCACCCAGGCTGTCTTTCTCATTGGATCAGGGTTTGCCGTTCTCGGGGCATGCTTGGCCTGGTTTGTCCTCCCGGACAGCGATACAGTCCTCGATCATGGTGACCAGGAGTGGAAGGACTACCTGGTCGCTCATGGTTATACAAACATTGAATGGGGCGCCGAAGGACAAACGGCTATACCAGATCAAAAATTAGTTGACTAGAGTCTTAATTGATACAGCGTATGATGATTGACGAGGGCTTGAAAAGATGGAGGGTCTAGAGCAACTGCTGGCGGACATTGATTGCGTCCATGTTTTAAACTGGATTCCTTGTTTCTATTCTAATCCTCTTGCATAATTCTTATTTTTACCTTCTATTTTCGGATATTTCGATCGTTCCAGTCAACGTATATTTGTTGAGTAGGCTGAATTCGCACACCGACTATCAATGCCAAGATGGTGAGTTGTAACTGTACCTTCTCATAGTGTCCCAAATATATATAGTGGGCTAAGTTGAGGTCCTTCTCTACAATTATGGGGCTTAGGGTAAACTGTAGTTGGATACGGATACGTATCCAAAATAAATAGCGAATTTAACAAAAAACTATCACAACCTATGATAGCTAGTTGGTTGTCATAATGTGTCAGGGTTTTAATTCCTACGCCCTCCTATCCCACTGTTAGACCATAGATACTAATCAGACCCAGTATTGGAGCAACCACAGAGGACCCAACACGAACCCGAGGGATATATAGAAAATACGCATTGGAATGCACAGGAGCAGGTCTAAACTGAAAGTCAATATGCCAACCCGAACTATACTGTGGCCTCGTATTGGCTCATGTAGCCAATTATCGTTGTATCTGTGACCCAATGTCCGATACGGTGTAAACGGAGGTTGTGATAAAATAACCACGATATTAATAGAATTGCATGGTTTGGAATTAGAAGATTGTGTTTCCACCTAGACATTGGTCGTAACTCCATGCATAGTATGGCGCTACCGTCGACGCCACGCCCCGTGGGCGCTTATCGGGAAGAAATGATTAACCGAAGATTCCTTAGAAAATTACATATAACCTATAGGTCGGGAGTGATTTGTGATTCATTATAAATCATACAGATTGAAGAGATTGGACGATTTCCGCAGAGAATACATCGTGACTTGAAATACCCATTTTATGAAATGGACGTGAGCGAGACCATTATCCACTGGACATCGCCCGGCAGGAAGCGCTGTTTATCCCTGTGTATTAGCAACGTCTCAGGATTCTAATTCTAGATAAATCGAGTACTATAATTAGTTTGTGTCATTTGTGGGCGCGTACATATCTGGATGTCTGCAAATAGACACCATCAGCTGCAGCTACTGGCCCCGCAAGCCTTCCCCCTGCCCTCGGCTGGGCAGTGCAACAATTTCTGGGAGCTCATAAAAGGGGCCTTTCAGAAAAGGTTCTGCCTTTCTCGCCTACAATCCCCGTTACGTCTCGCAAAAAGACTGCAAACGAGCAGTGTTCGAAGGAAATATCATGAAAATCACACCACAACCAGCAACAGTCCATGAAGTGGACAGATATGGCAACCCGGTGCTTCACAGCGATGTATCTGCGACTAGAAATCGCGTGGCTAAAAGGAAACCGACATCGTATTCCTTGAACAAAGCCCAGCGCAGGCTTAGAAAGTCACAGGACTGTATCCAGGGCGAGTGCACGCGTAGAGGCTCACTGGGTGAGATGGTCAAGGCCTTTGGCCAGAACCCGACATTTCCCATGACTATCTTCACTAGTAGTTGGGACACGGATTCAGAGCGTAACCAAGTCCCCGGATACCGGTTCAGAAAGGTTTCTTTCCTTGTTACATACATAATGAAGACCATATAGATCCCAAAGTCTACGTGGAACAACAAGTTTATCAAGGCATGTACAATGGTATAATTGTCCATGAACTTGCTTTTGGAGGCAAAATTCAAGTTGGCAAGGAGTATGTGTTTCAGGACTGCGGCGACGAAGATAGGATTTTGGGGAAGCTTGATTTGAGGCTCCGTGTTGTATCGGTAAGTTGAATTCTCAAATATATACATATGTACCGTCTGAGAAGAATCGCTAAATTTTATTCAGCTTGAGCAGGAAAGCTTCAATAACTACGTGCAAAGTCACACGACATACTACGGTTACGATATCAAAGACTACTTCTATTTGGACGGAGGTAGCATCTCTAAGGAGTCACCGCATACGACAGGGCGAGAAATGAATCATGCACCTTACAAGATATCATTGAATGCGAAGGATCTGCAAATTCTTCTCCGAGCCAAGTAAGAGGACCCCAAAAAGGCAGACGTAGTATGTGGCGATAATATCGAACTTCTTCGAGTGCGTTTTGCCGGGCAAGGACATCCCACTGACGACAAGTTGAGCGCTGGTGATCTTGACGTCCGTGTTATCTATCGGGTTTGATGTCAATTTGTTATGGTTAGGTTGGATGTTTACGCTGTTACGTTGTGTATTCAGAAGGGCTTGCTAGGGAGTCAATCGATTTTAACATCTTATTGCCAAATCGAGGTTGAGCACAGTACTGTACTATCTACATACCTGTAGTAGTTTGAAATTCGTTTGTTTCTGGATCCGTAGCTGTAGAGGAGCGTAGTCCAGGTGTGAGGTATGACAAGGAGACAAGGTCAATGAGAGCAAGCCATTATGAGAAGACAGTAAAAGGGTGAGTGAGGACGAATTGCAATTGTGGCGGTGCGGAAGGTTAGTAGGAGATTAACAACAGACAGTGGACTTGATATATAGGACAAGGGTTGAGGATTCATATAAGCAAAATCTACCGTCCCTCCAATCATCTGGTGCCATGGTCTAGTGGTATGACGCTACATTGTGGTGAATTCTGTATCAGCCCCGGTTCGATTCCGGGTGGCGCCAATCTCTTTTATTTTTTACTTTTTTACTACTCTCAACTTCAAAAGAAAAGAAAACGGGGACGATCTAAACAAAACAAGAAAGAGCTGATAACTATGATTTCCTTGGGTTTCTTTTCTACATTTTAACCCACATTTTGTAATAAGTCAAGTTAAGATGTTATGAATTATGTACATAGTCTACAGAGTAACTATGTCTTTACGCTAACTACATAGTAGTTATGCGAAGTTAGAAAGCGTTTTTTTAAACTCCTATCAGGAGAGATGATTTAGCCTAGGTAACCCGCGATTGGGTCTTTTTTTTTAGGTAAGATTCATATTTACAAGATAGTTACAAGATATGAGGAAAGTAAAAAAAAAAATGAAAGGGACAAAAATGAAATGGCGCCACCCGGAATCGAACCGGGGCTGATACAGAATTCACCACAATGTAGCGTCATACCACTAGACCATGGCACCGGAGGATTGAAAATTTCGCAAATCTGAAAATAATCAATGCAAAAGACAAGCGCGCTTATATCTATAATGTATCGATACAAATACTTCTATACCAATTGGAATTGGTAGCATCTATGGATAGCTTGATAGTCTTGAGTCATAGCTCATACTCCCTATCTTAGAAGTTGTTTGATCACCAGGTAGCGCGAACTGTAGCTGCCAAGCGACGGCCTCTATCTTCTGCGCACTTCCAGCACGCCGGCGCCATTAGCTGCGCCACTGTCCGCGCTATTGGACTGGGTTCCAGGGCTGGGCTCGTTTGCGTCAATAGGCGCTATCCGTATCTCGATTTTTGGAATGCTGGAGCCAAGAGCACCATCTTCACGTTGTGCCTTGATATCGATATCAGGAAAATTGCGATCATAAATGGCTCTTGCACAAATTTCAGTCATAACAAAACCCGGGGTGATGAGGTCTGATGGTGAAACTCCCAGGCTTTGTAAATGCCTTGTGACTCGCGCATCAGTATCGATATTGTGAGGCTCCCCGCCAGAAACCAAATAGAGTAGTTTGCTCAGATCAAATTCTTGCTTAGCCTCTTTGGATGTCGTATCCAACATCATTAGAAGCTTGCACAGGAAAAAGTCCGGGGCGAAAGTCATGCTGACTTTGTGCTTGGATAGCAACCGCAGGAATAGCAGTGGATTGCTGAGCACCTCGGGTGCCTTGATGTGAATCTGTTCGACTCCCGCATACATAGAAAGAAGACCACATACATAGAAAGAAGGTGTGTTTCCATTAGACTGGCAACGTGATCTAGACCGATCCAATTGAGCACGGAACTGCCATTGCTAACAGGCATCACCGTCAATTTCCCACGAATTGAGGCAAACATTTGCTGGTGCGTCAGGCACACGGCCTTGCAATTTCCAGAGCTCCCAGAAGTGAGCATGAGGACAGCTACATCACTGTCGTTGGCATGACCCTCACCGTCTCCATTGGTCTGGCTGTAGGTAGCACTGTCGGATTCCGTTTCTTTGAGGCCATAATCTTCAAATTCCTCCACTGCCACAGTACGTAGAATTTCGTTCTCCCCGAACGAGTCTGTAAGTAAATCTCGACGACTGAGCAGCAAAGGATCTTGCAATAAATTGTGTAGATGTTTGAAATGGGCTTTACGGCCCTCGATTGTGCTAACCAAAGCAGGAGATAGGGTTGGAATACTACCAGCTAGGATAGTGGCCCAGGACCATGTAATATTATCCAAATGACGCCGGAAATGAACAAGGATGACACCCCCCGGGCGAAATTCCTCACGCGTTTGCAGCCAGGATGCTCTCTGTAATGCCTGATTGCGCAATTCGGCATAGCTAAGCTTTACCGGATCAGTTCGATCGCCTTCAGGGTAGGCAATAATTCCAGCAGACAAGACGGCTACTTGATCTAGAAGAGATCTGATATTGAATACCGAGACAGGATTCATATTTGATATCATTGGCACTTTAACAGATAAAGGATGAAACGAGAAGTAACTAAAAGGAGCAATTGACCAAAGTATTATGCGTTCATTCATTTATCTTTATGGGAAACAGGGGACACAGCGGCATCGGCTTGTTTAGCCTTATACCATCATTCAGTTATCGCTACAGGTAGTTAATTAGCGCAGAATTTGACACTAGGCTTGAATCTATTCAATAATCAAGCCAAAATTTACTCCATTTCTGTATATGTACATGTTCAATTGGGTAAATCGACTTTTGTTAATACGCCTTTTGGGGGCGGGACCTAGTCTTGAAGATAACAGGAGGCACGCTTGAGCAAATTTGGTTACATCGCTCACATGCATCATGCATTAATACCCCTGCCGGGGGCCACGCAAACATCAACCTAGGCGCGCCAATTAGCCATACATTGGCCGACTAAGAGAATGAATTTCAAAAGTTCAGAACGATCCCCTCCGTTTAGACTATTCAAGAATACAAACAGGCCACTTATTCCTATCATGACTGCCATCTCCTCTTCCAGCAACTCCAACTATGGCTACCTATGAGCAAATCGATCACATCGCCATTGTTGCCTCTGCGGTAACATGGCCGTTCACAGGCATCAGCACTGTGCTATTCTTCATGCGCATGTTTGCGCAGTTACGTCATACAACTCAGAAGTCTTACTGGGAAGACCTCATGTTAACCCTTTCTTGGAGTTTTGCTATCGCGCAAGCTGCCATTTTTCAGGTAGCGCTGAATGCCGCGAGAGATCTCGACGAAAATAATCTACCGGTCACCGTCCCCAAGGCTGCTTTCTGGGCAATCCTGACGAACAATTGGTCCTTTTTAAGCATAGAGCTTCCGAAAGTCTGCGTCGCTATTCTACTTGTTCGCCTATTTCGACCGGCACCATGGCTCCGTATTATCATCTGGGGTCTTTGTGTGATAATCAACGTATTGGCAGTTGGTGGCTTTATAATAACCTGGGTAATGTGTAACCCGGTAGCCGGACAATGGGATCCCTACAGATACCCCACGGCCAAGTGCTGGCCTCGCTCGATCCAAATCACCTACGCCTGCGTATCATGCGGTGTCTCCTCGTTCATCAATATTGCCTTCTCCATATATCCAGCCATTGTGGTTTGGAAGTTGCAAATGCCCCGCTGGAAAAAAATCAGTACAATCGGACTTATGAGCTTGGGTCTGGTGTAAGTAAAACCATCTCCTTTACTCACAGCTCAAAACTGATCCAAGCAGAGCTTTCGCTTTTTCAGTGGTCAAGCTCTATCATATGACATTTTTGCTTGCCGGTCCAGGTCCCTTGGACCTCATCTGTAAGCGTCTCTCCCAGTTAACACTTGCCAATTTTGAGCCTAAACTTCGCAGATCTCTGTGCCCAACTCGGCATTTGGAATCGTATCGAGAACGATTTCGTTTTGATGGTCGGCCTTTTGCCCTTCATACCTTCCTTCTTCAAGGCCTGCACGAATCTCACGACGCGCTCCTCCTCAAGCGACTCACGCTTCAAGGGCAATGAGTATTACTCCATCAATTCCAACAAGCAGCGCAAGGGCCCCGATGACCAACTTGAAGTTGAAATGATCTCACTTGAGCAACAACTCAAAGAAGATGCGTCATCCTCTCTCAGTTTTGACAGGAATAATGGAGGGAAGTTAGCTAAGCCCGCAAGTTTCTCCTGATTTTCGACTTTCTTTCTTTGCTTTGCTTCTCTTATTTCTCTCCACAGTTACGTACAGTCACGCTAGATGAAATATAAATATGCTTTACTGTATCCAATAGTTACAATACTGGGCTTTTTTGGTGCTTTGTCATCGTAGAAAGCATTCATTCCAATAATTCCTGTTTTTCTCATCAAATTATTACCACGCTAACGTGGAATTCAAGCCAATTAGGACGGTGATCACACGACGAAAATCCTTCGGCCCCCAACATTCAAATATAACCCCTGTTTCGAAAAACAACCCATGTCAAACGTAGATAGAAGCCCTAGTGTCGTCTCATCAGGTTGCAGGTGGCATACAATAGCGCGTTTTTAATAAAGGGGTTCTGGGCTTGGCTGAGGGTGGCCCCCAAATCCAAGAGCATTGTTCCAAAAGAACCATGCCATAACTGTATAAGCGAGCAGCTAAGAATATGGGTTGAGGTTTATGGCCGAAGTACTTCGTGCTGCCTGCAAGTGCTACCCCTTAAGAAGTGGTGGTTTCCTTTGAGTGAAAGCAAAATTAATTCCAACATACTCCGTATACCTCTCACCATTACTCTCAATGGACCGTGCAAACCTCACCAGTCGCGCCACTGAAATTGCTGAGGTTGTTCGTAGCCTAGTGGGCGATCTGTCTTCGCAGGGAATTCCCGAGCCTTCTTTCGAACATGGATTACCCGCCGTGCTGCAGGCCGATGCGCCGGATTCAAATGCCTTAGCCGCACGCATGAAGCTCCTCGGCTTATTAGATGAGCTACGTGATCTATTAACCGATCCAGCACTCTTGGGTAGCCCTGAATTGGTGAGTCAATGGGAATCGTACTTTTCAAACTGACTAACCTCTTTAGCGTAACCCTTCTTTGAGTATATTGGCATTGATTCGCCTGAAGATTTTCGAGAGTTTTCCAAGTGAGGGAACCACCATCGAAGATCTAGCACGGCGCGTTAATCGCAATGAGAATATTGTTCGCCGGTTGATGTCTCACGCCGCTACCTACCATGTCTTCTTCCAAGAAAAGCCTGATTTTTTCATCCACACAGCGGGCTCCCGTATTCTAACGGAGAATGAGGGTATGCGTTCTTGGATGCTCGTTGGACTTGGCGAGACCATGCCTGGTGCCCTTAAAGTATGCGATAAGTACACCAAGCTCACGTTCATACCAAGCTGATATCCCAGATTGCCGAAGCTGTATCGCAAAACAAAGACTCCGAAGAGCCACAACATAGTGTAAGAGTTCCTGTGACTAGTTATTTATAATGCAAGTTAGCTAATAGCAGCAGGGATGGAGTATACAAAATGGCACTGATCTCCCGGTCTTCCAAGCCCTCGCCAACATGCCTGAACGTGCGCAGATATTTGCCACAGCCATGAGTTGGCTCGCTCAGCTGCCTGGCTACTCTCCGCAGTATCTAATTGATCATTTCCCCTTTGGATCCGGAGATATCACGGTGGTCGATGTCGGCGGTGGTATCGGTCATATCGCCCGTGCACTCGCAGACCACTGCCCCACAGTTCAGTGCATTGTACAAGATCGCCCTGAGGTTATTTCTCAGGCTGAACAAGTTTTGCAGGCTAATCCGCAGGATCGTATCCGCTTCCAAACCCATGACTTTTTCCAAGACCAACCAGTACATGGCGCTGATGTTTATTTATTGCGTCATGTGCTACATGACTGGTCCAATAAATATGCGCGGAAGATCCTGCAGGCTTTAATACCAGCATTGAAGCCCGGGGCTAAGGTGGTACTAAATGATCGCATCATTCCTGGCTATGGAGAGGCACATTACTTGAAAGAGCGTGAAGCACGGTACGAGCTCAATATTTATTAGGGCTATGAGACTGAATACTGATAAAAAGAATCAGGGACTACGACATGTACATGCTTGGTTTGCAGAATGCTCAAGAGCGCACACCTGATGATTGGAAATCTCTTTTTAGAGATACAGACCCGCGATTTAAGGTTACGAAAATATCCCAGCCGTCTAAATCATATCTCTCCATTATGGAGGTGGTTTGGGAGGGCTGATATGCGAAGAGTTCAAGAATGCAGGTATCATTAGAGAATCTACGAAGTAAATTTCAAGAGGTCAATAAAGCAAGATGGACCCATCAAAATGAGGTCTATTGTAACCTTATGATATAAAAATAGGCAGAAATTAACTTGTCTCCATGATATCCTTAATACTCAACTGACACATGACAGTTGACAGGCCCCTCAAACTCCATTAGGTGGCCCCCCTATTGAAAAATTGCCACAGCAGTTCAGAATAACCTCACGAAACTCACCCGCCCGTAAAGCTGCATATATCTTGCCGATATGCGACCCAATTGATCTTTTGACAATTTTTTCGCCGGAGTCGTAGGTTGGATGATCCACCAGACCCCGATGCATGGCCACCCCAAGGCTTTGACGCACAAACCCATAGAGCTTCTGCGATGAATTACAGAGATACGGTGCGGCTGATTTGCCCTGGAAGAAAAGTTTTCGGTTTGCTTCGTACCTCGTCTCCAAAATATTGGCAACGTTACTCTTCCATTCTCGAAGTTCTTTCCCAACCACCTCGTCACCCAGAAGATCGAGGACGACACCCAAGGAATCAGTGGCTGTAACTTGACTTCTTTTGTGCAGATCACTAGTGCTATTTCTCTCCCAGTGGCTCATAAGTTCTTTCCAGATGGTTTCTTGGGTGTATGAGAGGTGGGAACCGGCATCGCTCGACTGAAATAGTTGCATATTTGCATTATCTACATCCTTGCGAGCTTGATACACAAACTCAAGATGCATAGCACGAAGATCTAAGGCCTGGCACAGAACGTATACGTATGTCGCAGACATTAACGCCAGGAGCTCGACAGTGTCGCCTGCATAACGAGCGGCAATGAAAGCCAGAGAGTTCAGGCTTTGATTGTGCATCTCTGCGGACTGTACATGGTTGCTGACCGGATGGTTAAGATATGCCAGTTCAGACATATATGAGGCCATGTTGATATCAACACCCTTGAACGCAAACGACAGGCTGGGGTCGTCAGCGCTGAGATTTGGTGGCAGTCCTTTATTAAGCATCGGGTTGAGAATCTCCGAGCACTGCGCGAAGATCATTTTACCAATCATCTGCATCGCACCCATGGTTTTTTCCATGGCTGATGTTAGCGCTGCTGCTTGGAAGTTTCCTCCGTGATGAACGCGCTCCTCGGCAAGGTCCAGGAGTGGGTTATCTGTGGTAGAATTTAGTTCCGTTTGGACTTGTTCAAGTGCGAGTGCGAGGTTCTCTAGCTGTGGACCGATCCACTGCGTCGATGTGCGTAGTGCATACCGGTCTTGTGCCAGGCCTTCCTCATCAGGATCCGCGCCACGCACCAGCTTGGAATCAGCTAAGCATTCGAAAATGAACGCGGCTGACTCTAGTTGGCCGGGGTGAGGTCGAGCCTCGGCAATAAACGGATGATAGTTGTATCGCGATCCCAGTAAAGCCTCTGTCCCCATCGCGGTGAGCAACTGCGACAAAATGACCAGCTGATTTGCTTCGAACAGAACTAGAGTGGCTGCACCACAACTGAATGCAGTTCCATTCAAAAGACCCAGGCCTTCCTTTGGTCCGAATTCAAGCGGGGTCAACCCTGCTTCCTGGAGAGCCTGACTGGCCGGAATGATTCGATGGTTCTGACCCTCCCCGCAATTCATCGCTATATCAGGGTTCCCCTCAATCGCCCCAGCGATGTACGCCAAAGGTGTAAGATCCCCACAAGCGGAAATACTGCCTCGCAGCGGTACCACTGGTGTCATATCATGAGCGAGGAGAGCAAGAATATTTCGAACAACCTGGATGCGAACGGCCGAATGTGCTCGCAGTAAGGAATTACAGCGAATTACCATAGCCGCCTTAACAATGGGAGTAGGCATTGCATGGCTTTTCAAACTTTCCAGTCGCGTTGAGCTTGCCCCGGATTCCCGGTCTCTAGGCAGAACCACAGCGGAATGGTGGTGCTGGATTAATGCCTGCTGGAGGGCGGCAAACTCGTTAGTGCGAGTGTCAGCGCTCCCTCCAAATCCAGTAGTCACTCCATATATCACTTCCCCCTTTTCAAGCTTTTCCGCGAGTAGATCTACACTGCGTTCCAATTGAGATAGCACAGTTTCGCTGTTAGTGACGCTGGTCGCAATTTTGTGTCTTAATTTGTTTGTTAATGTCCAGTCCAAATACCTGTCTCAAGGAAGAAGACGGTGCGAGGAATTCACATACAAGCTAATCGCAACAACTGAGCTTAAGTCCAGCGAATGCCCATCAAGTACGATTTTCTGGCCACAGCGGACAGTCTCGTCCAGCTGGGTACATGAATCCAGAACCGAGCTGATATACCCCGATCCTTTAGGATGGTTGTATCCATTCTGATACGGTGGGGACACTTCGCCCATGGTCGCAAGATATTCCAGGGGAAAATAATTCAGGAGTGGATTAAATCGAACATGAAATGAGGTAAATGGCAATCAAAGCGACCCAAAGCAACGCAGGCCGAGGGAGGGGCTTAAATTAAGAGTGTCCGCCCCTGCCTCTAGCAATTCGCTCTAGGTAGCGGCCGCATGCCCAGCCCCCAGGCATTTTGCTCGCCAGGTCACCAGGTCACCAGGTCGTGGTAATAACTGGTAAGCATTTACCAGTAATTACTGGTAGTTAGTAGTAAATAATAGGTATTCCCGAAGATGTCAATTTCATGTGATAATTTCGACAGATGTACCTTTTAGCTGACCAGGTCACCAGGTCATCCCTGGGTCCTTTCCCAGACTCTACGTCTAAAATTCCCTGGTTATTACTAGTAGCCCAGTAATTACTAGGAACTACTAGAAAATAGTGGAATCGTATTTTTTTTTCTAACCTGGTGAGCAGTTCACCAGGTCATCGCTAAGTTTACTATGAGTAATTACTAGTAAATAATATAGCAGTAGATTAGCTATTATACTAAGAATTATTTACTAGGGATTACTAGTAGTATATAGCTATATTAGGCTAATAGTGGCTATATCTAGTAATAGCCAATTACTAGAAACTATATATTACTAGATTAACTATTATAATAAGAGTTCAGACCTAATTCTTAGGTATTACTAGTAGTGCGTAGCTATATTGGGCTAGACTGCGACAACGCCCACCAAAGTGGAGACACTTTTAGCGTCGCCAAGACATATGCGGGCACTCTTGGCAAGGTGGATACTGCCAAGAACTAGTTATGTACATAAAATAGCCTAATAGGGTAATTTTTGCATTAGTTTTGCATAACGGTGGGCGATGGGCGTCAAGTTTCAAAAGGCCCACGGGCCGTGGACACTTTCTAGTGCCCATGGACGGGCGATGTCGCAGTCTATATTGGGCTAATTACTAGAAACTGTATATTTTCAAATTGAATATTATAATAAGACCTAATTCTCAGGTATTAATAGTAGCACGTAGCTATATTAGACTGATACTAGCTATTTATAGTAACTATTAATTAAGATATATATTATATACGTAGATTAGAGATATATATATATCTATATTAGAGTGTAGATAAAAGCTCGCATATCCTAACTAATACTAGCACTACCTATATATACTCCTAGCAGTCCCTGATAATTAAATCTTAGTATAATAGTTAATCTAGTAATATATAGTTTCTAGCAATTAGCTATTACTAGATATAGCTACTATTCGCCTATTATAGCTATATACTGCTAGTAATCTCTCTCTAGTTATTGTTATCCTTTATAATTATCTCTTATTAACCTAGTATTATATAGGTATTACTATAGATAACTATAGATAACTAGTTATCTATTACTAGTTATTATTACTAATTTTATACTACTAGTAATAACTAGTAACTATTTTATACAGCTCCAGATGTAGCTTTCACTGGTAATTGATGATGATGATGATGATGATGATGATGTTCTCATTAACCCGATGTAGCTCGCTGTTACATACATGCTGCTATGCGGGGATAGCGTTCTAGAGCCTGCTCCTCGACGCCAAATGGCTGTGCATCCCCAGTATAACGAGTCCTGGCAACCTGAATTGTAAGGCCACAAACCGGCCGGCATGCAAACAAGACAAAAGAAATAAACGTAAAGAAAGTCAATTCATCCGTAGATGACCAGTCCTGCATTCCCCGCAGGCGCAGAGTGACCCCTTCTCTCTGCATTGCACTTTTCACTTCCCCCTTCCACTTCTCCTTTCGTATTGGCTCCCCCGAGTCACCGAGTCCCTGTATCACCAGGACCGCCAGGTTCGCATCGATCTCGCTTTATGCCGGCGGGTCGTATACAAACAGGTTCGGGTCGCGACGCCATGCTTCGTCGTCTTCACCATTGTCGTCAGCATCGGCTGATCGGAGTGTGCGTTGGTGTAAGGTGGTCTCGGTAGACCTGGTACCGGGCCACTGTGTTGTGCTTCCTGTTTCTCCCTTTCACTGGTAATAAGTGGGTCGACCAGGTCACCAGGTCACAAAAAGAAAATATGATTCCACTATTTTCTAGTAATTCCTAGTAATAACCAGGGGATTTTGGACGTAGAGTCTGGGAAAGGACTTAGGTATAACCTGGTGACCTAGTGAGAAGCTCACCAGGTCAGACAATTTTATCCCCCCCAAAACCCTCCTATGGTAACCCCCCAAAAAATACCAAAAACTACTACTAATTACTGGTAAATGCCTACCAGTTATTACCACGACCTGGCCAGCCCCCTATTCCCCAGCCCCCGGCTCACTACAGATACACAGCTAGACTGCGACATCGCCCGTCCATGGGCACTAGAAAGTGTCCACGGCCCGTGGGCCTTTTGAAACTTGACGCCCATCGCCCACCGTTATGCAAAACTAATGCAAAAATTACCCTATTAGGCTATTTTATGTACATAACTAGTTCTTGGCAGTATCCACCTTGCCAAGAGTGCCCGCATATGTCTTGGCGACGCTAAAAGTGTCTCCACTTTGGTGGGCGTTGTCGCAGTCTATACACAGCCACTAATCCGTACAGTATCCAGAACCTTTTTGTCACTCGAGCACTACTAGCATGATCCTGGGAATGATCGCTTCGGAAACTGTGAGATTTTGATTTAAATTTCATCCCAAAGTGGAAAGCAAAGTGGACATCTCTTCAGGTATTAGCGCCCTTCAATATGGGAGTATCTTGGTCGATTGCACACAATAGCACGTGGTACTATTTGTACGAGTACGAGGGTGGAGAAAGAAGCGCCACCATTTAAATGCATATGGCAATATATGCTGCAAAGAGAGAGTAGAATCCTTTGATTTCGAGCTTTTTATATGTTCTCTTCGAGGAGAGTCTTCAATTTTTGGGGTAAACAGGTCGAATAAAGAATATCAAAACCAAAGAGTTACGGCAAATACTGGTGGCCGAGTTCTTCTAAAAAATACTTTTGCTGCCAAGCTCCCAGCCAGCGTCAGTTAACTACTGTCACAGGACATCTGGGATTTTCCTTAAAATATACAAGCGCTTGATCCCCAAGCGGTCATCTGTCAATTTGAGTCCTGTATTCACGTACTACGTGAATTTTAGTTCTGAACCATGCAGACGCCTTTGTTCTGTTCCTAATCTAAGGATACCAGGGGGCTTTTTTTTATCATAAGTTCTTTTAATACAGATTTAACTTTGGACCAATCGAGTAACATAGATTTTTCTTCCTTAAGGGACCCTTAGCAATCAAGAATTGCTAGCCAGACTTTATCTCTGCCTTTATATCAACGTGGCTAATTTCCTGTTTTCCTGTTTTTCATCATCTCCTGTCTTTTCGTCTCCGCCTGCCTTAGGACCATCAAAGACTTTAAACAAGGAAGTTAGCGAGATGTACGGCGTATTGATTGAAGGCTGGGAAGAGTTCTTACTGTGTGAAATATCCTCAAGGGTTGGCCCCTTAGTCTCGGGATACAGGAAGAAGATGATGCTCGTCTCGATAACCAGCCAGACCTGCCACAAGTTAAATTTAGTAATCCTTGGGGATATCAATGCTAGGCATACTTACCACATAAACCAGATAGAACTTCCATCCAAGATCATCCATACCAATAGGGTTCACGAATGAATTAAATGTAGTGCTTCCACGTGTAAAGAACTGCAAGATAGCAATCCCTTTGGCACGGTGTACAAAGGGGAATATTTCAGTGACATAGATATAGGTCAATGGCTGCATAATGCTGTACATCGCATTATAGACAAAAATCAGGCAACAACGGTTATAGCTTCAGAGTGTGTCCCGTGCTGAGCATAGGCAGCGCTGACACCAGTCCAAATCGAGAAGATGATAGTCATACCGGCAAAGGCAGTCAAAAATTGGACACGGCGGGGCATAAAAGCGGCCAAAAAGGCGCACCCGGTGGCACACAACCACATCTAGCACTATTTTGGGGGGGGAGGGGAATGGATTAGTTTCAATATATATTGTCAAGAAAACACACCTTTTTGGGGGTAAGCTTACGGAGAGAGATAGGTTGATAATGTTCTGGGTCTTCTTATCTGTAACACCAACCGTTGCCAGGACCTTGGCAAGATAGTAGCTAAAAAGGATGAGCGTCAGTGATGCTCGTATATAGGGTATCCTACTCCGCGGTGAATATTTAAGGTTAGTAGACTCACGACACGAGACCATTGCCGGACCACTGAGTAAAGAGACCAACACATATAGCAATGAGCGTCCTCTTGCGATTCCCAGGAGACTGGATGAGTTCGATCCAGCGTGACTTTGAATTTTCAATTTCCATCTTGAGCTGTGCAGATATCTCGATAAACTCCGCATTAACGATGGCTGAGTTGCGGTTTCCTTCGCCATGGTATTTGACGAGTATATCAAAAGCTTCCTGACTACGGTCCTTGGATAAGAGCCATCTAGGGGATTCTGGAACAAACCAGATGAAGATAAGCTGGAGTGCTGCGGGAGCAGCCTGTAAGATTGACGGGATGCGCCAACCCCAGTCGTTGCTCATCGTATGTGTGCCCAAGGTTACAGAAGCAGCCATGATGGAGCCAATGAACCAAGACGTGTTGAAGAGGCCGGTAATGACGGCGCGTTCGCGAGGGTAGGTCAGTTCAGCCAAGAGCTGTGAGGCCCCTGACACAGCGAAGGGAATGCCGGTGCCGAGGATGAGCCGGGATGCAAGAAACATTCCAACTGCGGACGGAATCAGTATCAGCCTCATCCGACGGTATAAGACGCAATAATGAGGAAAACTGACTGTTTTGAGACGTAGACTGCAAAATGACGCCGACGATGAGGATAATAGAACCGAAAGTAATGCTATGCTTGCGGCCAAATTTGTCGTTGACATATGGGACAATTGGCAAAGTGATGAGACCCCCCAGGTTATACGATGCGTTGACTACACCGAGAAGAGCGCCTTTTGGGAACCCGAAGTCTGGCGCGTTTGTTGTTAGCTCTAGGCGCCTCTGGGGCTGGCAATTACGAGATTGACTTACATGTCTGCCAGGTGGCGACTGCCTGTAATCCATTGAGGACAGAGCCATTGTAACCAGTGGTCATCTCGACACCGAGCGCTGCTGGAATGAGGCAGAAATAAAGGAACCGGAGGTTGGGCTTCTTATACCATGGCACTGTATCGGTCGCGAGGAGGCGAATGACTTCAGACTGGTCTGCAAGCTGCCTTGAGTCGACTTTAGGATCCATAATGAGTGCTCCGTTGATTACTGCTGCCAGGTGCTCAGGTTCTCATGGATTATTGTCAGATGCTGGCTGGATGAAAAGTTGTAATACACAAGAATTGTTCGAGAGCAGGGAGACGCACAGCACTTAAATACTAGAGCATGCGGTGCATCTGCTGATGCCACTTTGCACAACTCAAAGCCAATTCAATTGAGGCGTACTTAGTCTTGCGCGAGAGTGGCCGAGCTCTCCACTGGGCTAGGAGGTGAATGGGAGGATCTGAGCCTTGAAGTTGAGGGAAAAATACACCCATCCTTAACAAATCCTCATATTTCCGGGGTACTAATCTGGGGTAATGGGGAAGAATGAGCCCGATGTTGTGGAGCTAACCATTCCCAGAGAGGAAACCTCTAAGGTAACCATATCCTTGCTTGAGAAACTTCCGAAACTTCCAAATCCTCCAAATCCTCCAAGACCTCTAAGACCTTCAAGATCCCCAAAATGCTCAAAACCTCCGAAACTTCCGAAACATAGTTTGGGCATACGCCACAATAATCACCCCGCACCGGGGAATTTAGCCGTTAGACGGAGAAATAAACCCACAGCTACCAACTCGGAAGAAACAAGAATATTTCTCTATCTTCTCCATTCCAATAACCGCCCACCGTAGGTACTAATTCTGTGCGGTATCTTCAGAACCATTCATGCCGCCCCATGACTCGGCCCCAGAGACATATCCCCATAGGGCCTGTGATCGCTGCCGGCGGAAAAAATCCAAAGTGAGTTAAGCCATCCCCACAAACTAGTAGCATCATGCTAATGCAGCTGGATCATCCAAGTGCGACTCACTAGACTACTCATGCACAGGGTGCAGTGTAGCCGGTCATGCTTGCACTTTTGACATCCCCCCTGGCCAGCGAGGACCCAAAGGAAGGCCTAGGCGCCGCAATATTGTCAGTGTCCCAGATGGCACCGTCCAACATCATCACGGTCCCCTCAATACGTCCTCGTCATCCTATGTTACATCTACCGTGCATACCGTCGAAACATCTCCCCATCCTCCAGCTGCAATATCCTCACGATATCCTCGTCATCCGACAACCCTTGAGCGATACGCACTTCTCGCCGGTGCTGTCGCCCATGCTTCTTCTTCCTTGACATCGCTCGAAGCTGTAGCCCGAGAGTGTGCCGACCTCTTCTTCGGGTACATTGTTCCCTCCAACATGTCGGTGCACGAACCGAGTTTCCGCCACTCACTAAACCAGGCTTTCGGAACTTCGCCGCCTGGAGTCTCATTGACCCAGTACGCATTCACCCTGATTACTGCATTATGTGCCAAGGTTTGTTTCTTTGTGCCCTCGGACCTGTTTCCGATTGGGCGATGTCTTGCCGATACGTTCCTCGAGGCCTCGCGCAGTTGCCTTGCTAGTTTTACCGATGCCGACTATGAGAATCCCTGTGCAGACTCTATTACCATTCGTTACCTCCACTCTAACTGCCTACACACCTGCGCAAGGCCGATGGTCTCATGGAATGTGTTTGGCGAGGCCGTTCGACTCGTTCAGCGAATGCGCCTCCATGATGAAGATTCGTATGCCTCGCTCCCTACGCTTGAGGCAGACAAGCGTCGAAATGCCTTTTGGCAGGTATACATAGGGGACAAGTCATTGGCTGTGCTCCGATCTATGCCAATAACGATATATGACTACTCTTTCGAGGAGGGTATAACGACAACCTATCCATTGAGCGGCCAAAACGAGTGCGTCGCCCCTGGAGAGTGGGAGCTCCCTTGGACTAATGTGAATTATAGGTTGACTGTAGGCTCAAATGCTGGTATACGACTTTGGCGATACGCTACAGACTTGTTGCTGCGAATGAGACTAATCAAAAAGGACCAGACTGTTGATCCGAACCTGCAGCATCAGCCTTTGACACCAACCAATCATACCACCCTGGGCGAGCTTTACGTTCGCTTTGCAACCTGTATTGACGACCTACCGCCACATATCCTGCCAAACAGCGAGGCCTTTTCTGGAAGCCATGGCAATACCACACGCAAAGCGTTTACGGCCCAGATAGCAGATCTACAGGTAACCTACCACTGTTTAAAGATGCATCTTACCCAGAAACTCGAGGAAATCGGATATTTTTCTTTCACCGGAGAGTGCAGGGATATGCTTGTACTCAAAAAAACTGAGATTGCGGGAGACATGATTCGTCTCTTGCAAAGTATACCGTTTTGGTCCTTACATGTCAACGGGGAGCCTTGTGTGCGTGGGCATGCAACCCCCGGAACTTTTATAACAGGGTCGAGGGCTCACATTTACTTTTTAAATTTAGGCTGAAAAGATTCGTTTGGTTGGCGCGAGCTTACTTGCCATAAGTCAGGAGGATTCGTCTTTAGCAACAAGAGCTCGCCGCGACTTCAAAGTACTCCTCGATATTTTATCCCAACTTGACTCTAAAGCGTCGGATACCTTACGCCGAGAATACCCTTAGTGTGAATATATGCTGAGCTTGAATTTTGAAACTATCTAATTCTATGGTGGGCTTTTACACCTGGTCCTTCCTGCGCTTCTGGAATGTCTCTTGGAGGTAGTAGGCCGAGTTTTTTGGGGTTCTTTTCAATGTGCCATAATCCACATGCACAATTCCATAACGTGGGCCGTAGCCAGAGGACCATTCTAGAATGCGAACCAGTCAGCGCTGAAACTTGCAGTACAAGCACCTTAGGGGGGAATGGGTATACTTACCGAAGTTATCCATCAGGGACCAGGCATAGTAGCCCTCAACCTTGACGCCATCTTCGTAGATAGCCTGAGAAATAGAGTCTAGATATAGACCTAAGTATCTTTGGCGGAATTGATCATCCACTGCAACCTCGAGATCGATTTCTCCAGGGCATGGGCAACCATTCTCTGTCACCAAGATAGGGAGGTGATAACGGTCCCAAACCCAGTTGAGCAACTTTCTAAATCCGCCCGGCGCAACCCGCAACCATGGCATGCTTGATGCCGGCCCAATCTCCTCGCCCTTACTATTCACAGACGACTCCTCAATATTCCTTGTCCAGTCATCTTCATCTGCGGGGGTCGTGAGCTGGCGAGCTAATTTGGTTGAATAGTGATTCATGCCATAAAAGGCATTCTTGGAGCAAGCGGATTTCAAAAGCTCAAGGTCATTGAATGTGAAACTTGGCAGCCGCGCACCAAGATATTGTTTCATTGACGCGGGGTAATCCTTACCCAGAAAGATTGAGTCACCAAACCAGCCTATATAGAACTCGAGCCGGATCCGAGCAGCATCGATATCTGCCTGCTTGGCCGCGTCGTGAGGCTCGTAGAAGTGACCATTGAGGACTATAGAGATCTTGCCATTCTGCGATGGCTGGAACTCATCAGCGTACATCTGAACGACCGAGGCATGCGATAGGATGATGGTGTGTCCGACCCGCCAGGGTTCCATCATGGTATTGTTTCCAGCCTCGGCGCAGTGCCCTGGGGCAAGGCTGCCATTGAGGTGTCCGAAAATGGAAATGATGTAAGGTTCGTTGAAGGTAACCCAAGATTTCACGCGGTCACCGAAGCGGGCAAAGCACAAGCGCGCATATCTTGTGTAATCCACCCTGAACTCATTCGTGCTGAGGAACGCTCCGTATCGATCGTACAAAGCTTGAGGCGCATCCCAGTGGTAAAGAGTGACTGAAGGTGTGATATCATGCGCCAGGAGGGCATCAATGAGGCGGTTATAGAATGCAATGCCTGCCTCGTTGATTGGATCATCGTGGCCAGCAAGAGGAATCACACGAGACCAGGCAATCGAAAAGCGATAAGTTTCCATGCCAAGAGACTTCATGAGTTTGACGTCTTCGTCGATGCGGTTGTAGTGGTCGCACGTAACGTCCGCGTTCTCGCCATTGGTGCGCGAGGGCACGGAATGGGAGTATGTATCCCAGATGGACTTGCCTTTACCATCCTGGCTAGCAGCCCCTTCGACTTGATAGGCTGCTGTGGCAGCACCCCAGATAAAGTCCGCGGGGAGCTTGAGGTTCCTGACCGCGACGTCAGACCCCGTGAGCTGGTAAAAGGTGGTCTGCTCGGCCTGAGCCCACATTTTTGCCTCTTCCGACATTGTAGCAGGTTGATTCTGAGAATCCCTGAGTGGTGGAGTAGAAAGTAAATTTGAGGAGATTTAGAACGGTGAACTGGTAGAACGAATGAGAACAGACTGAGGTTTGCAACACTTGCTCCCATTTAACAGGAATCAAAGCTTTCTTTGAACAAACAGTAGTGAATTAATAGACGAGAAGCCTGCAACATAGTTGGCGGCTTTAAGTAGGGAAAGTACAAAATTATCAGGCCGGATCGCCGACCGGGACTGCCTGGTCCATTTTCTTGTTAGAATCATTTGCCATGCTATTTTAGCAGCTAACCTCCAAACATAAACTTCCGCTTCAGGTCTTTGAGATAAAGGGAGTTTTTATTCTTCATTGGAAGTTCTGACTCATAGAAACCTCCGCGGAAGTTTTATATTCTTCTCCTTTTTAATCTACCACAACAGCAGGTGCAAAGTATAAAAGGTCATGCGACGAAGTGGTGGGCCTAGCTACCCTAAAATCTCGAGCGATTGACCTTAAAAATTCAAACCTTTAGGTATATATGCTGTTATGTAAGTTCGAAGCGATTAACCTTAGTCGCTTCGTATACAAACAAATCCTCCATTGGCTGATTCCGCATTAGAGCACACACAATTTAGCAAGACCGGTCAATGTTGCGAGATGATGTCTATGTTTAATCTGTCTCATCAGGCTAAATATCGGGTGAGTCTAATATCCCCGCATCGGTATCCCCGCATCGGTCTTCTGCATTACGATCTCGTCACTGACAGATCCATCTTCCTGACTCGGCCATCTAGTATCAGACGAAGAAATCAACATTACCGAGTTAGCAACCTTGAGACCTAAATTGGGCATAAGACAGTATTACAAGCTAAGCCGAGGCAAAACAACGAAAAATATGTTGCGCACAGAGCAGGATAGCTAATCTATAAATCCATCATGATACCCGGGTCTTTTTTGTCCTCGATCCAGCGCTTCTACTGCTTTTACTCTTTCCAACCGTCCTCGATTCTTTGGTCACCATGACCCGGTTTACCTTAGTCAGTACTATATTGCTGGTTGCAGCTATTGCCTCTGCCTCAATAGGTGTACCGCCTCCCGAGTCTGAGCCCATCGAGGTTGTCGAGCTGCCTCTGCCTCCCGTCTCGGCTGACTCCGCTTCAGGTTCATGTAACTCCACCATCAACCCACATGGCACCGGCTGCGTGGCCCAGATAGGTGGTGGTTCTACCACCGAGACCATCGGTATCCTAGCACAGGGCAACTTCCTCCCCGATGGCAAGCATGTGATCGCCATGGTCACCTTCGTGGGAGCCCCTGAAGCTCCTGACCCTGCAAGTATCTATGCCGGGGAGCAGATCATTATCGTTAAGACAGATAACTCAACTTTTCCTAACGGCGATCCCTGGAAGTGCCTCACTTGCGGTATTCCCGTCCTCAACGCCGCCAGTAGAACGGACCTCCTCGACTACCCGCAGGCCTTCAGCGACGGCAAGCGTATCCTCGCTGGCGACAATGTTATCGACTGCGGTGATCACAAGCTCACTAGCCCCGAGTGCACCCCTGACACCATTTTCATGTTTCCTATCCGCTGGGAAACATCTGCCGATGGCAAAGGCGAGGGCGGCGCTATCCGCGAGCTCCGTCTCCACCCCGACAGTGTCCACCTCGGATTCAGCTCCTTCTATAGCAACAACGGAAAGATGGGCCAGTCTGCCTATTTTTCCCGGCTCCAATTCAACCCCGCGCCCTTAACAGGCTTGCCATTGGCCCCCCGTTACGACCTCGTCAACGTGACTCGCCTGGCTGATATCAATAGCATGCAGCCTCTCTCAGTCGATGGCGATGAGCTGCGCGTGAACTTCAGCGCCATCACTGTTGGTGAGCTCCGCGGATTCTCCGGCAGGGGTCACGAGGCCATCTACATCGGTTTCCCCTGGGAGTCTTCCAACATTGACGCCTTTGCTATTCACCTGCAGACCGGAAAAATCCGCCGTCTAACCAATCACCCGGAGTATGTCGACCCTATCCACTTCTCACCCGATGACGAGTGGTTTGTTATCGAGGATACACGCGGTTCTGGCCGCCAGATGTTCATGGTTGGCATGCGCGGTATTCCACCTCTCACCGATTTAGTGAGTACCAGCGTGACCACCGCAACGCGCAACAACGGCCCTCGTCTCTTCTTTCAGCCCTTCCTCCTCGACCACTATGGTGACCGTGGTGACTACTTTGGCCAGAAGCTCAATGGACCTGGTCGAGGCGTTCCAGGAAGTGGGGATGTCAACGATCCTGAGTGGAACGCAATGGCCGAGCCCAGATGGAGTCCTGATGGGACTCAAATTGTATATTGGCAGGCACAAACCATCTCTCCTCAATATGATGGTCGCAATCCCCTGCCATGCTACCCATCTACTGCACCTGGAGGCAGGACATACCGTCTAATGAAGGCCAAGCTCGCCAGCCGGACGCCTAAGAATCTCCCACCTGTTGAAGAAGCATGTGATGTGATCCCGTGGGGGGACCCCTACGTTCCAGGAAGTCTCCAACGGGGCCCTGACAAGCCTGGCACGGGCGATTATACCCTCAAGGGTGAAGTCGCGGGCTATGCCAACGTGAGCCTCGTCAACCAAGAGGGAAACACTTCTACTTCGATTGATACTGTTGCAGTGATCTACCATAATTACTCAGATGATGGAATAACCTTCATCAATGGTTGGGAGAACGTGACTTCTCGTTCTCTGTCACCTACTATAAACCATGTTGACTGGTACTCGGACCTGGTGCAGACAGGTGAGGATGAGTACCTTGCTACCAAGAAGACTAGCCCTGATGGTTTCCACCTGGAGCTAGACGTGCTGAGAAACCTTTTCAATGCAAATGGCACACTTACCACAACCATCAGTGGAGAGGTCTATGAGCAGCCCTTGAACAATACTTAACCCTCAAGGTCACCTCGCTGGCGGCCCAGCGCACTCTAAGCTTATGAAAATTATCAACTCCAATTATGATTAATCTTGTTCCTTGATTGTAACAGGAATCCATCCCGTAGTCTCAGATTCATTCGAACTCCTAACATCGACTTAGTACCCTATATCTTGGTGGGGTTTCTCGATGCAATTGCGTTCTCTGGAATTTATAGAGGCTCTCTTGGTTAAACTACACATTCATGCATCCCGTACATGTACTCTGGATCTCACCGTTGTGGCGAATGACTATGTCGTCGACATCGTCGGGGTTTAAGACATCGCTTTGATCATCCTCGCTATAGAATTATCCGCTATTCATGCCTCAGAAAACACGCCTTTAAAAATAGAGAAAAGAAAAGTACGTTTTAAGTTCCGCGTTTTTCAGGTGGTGGTTTGTTACGGGATAGATCAAGGGTGAGCACTAGTTCAGGGTAAGTGCAATTTATTGAATATGTAGTGATATTACACGAATATTGGAAATAAGCAGGGCGAGGGACTACGGGAATTGGCAATGAGAGGAGAGAAGAACGAGACAAGATGTGAAAATTTAGACTGGGATATTGGAGAGATAATCGACAAGATCACGGATCGACTGTGAAAATCCAGGGGTTGCTCTCTGTAAATTAAATCGGATATAGAAAAGATGAAATAGTGGTGTGACAACAATCAATCCTTGCCCTGTTGCCCCATTTGGTACCATAATCGAAGCATACTAGCCAAATAAATGAAGATGACACTAAGGAGACCGACGTAACAAAATCCTGCAACCTAAAGAAATCTCAGTATCCTAGAAGTGACTGAGACGGAATTCATAATACAGACCACTTGATCGGATCTTTGCTGATCCGGCTTTGTGACTTTAGTCATATCCCAAACAAAAGCGATATATCCGCCTAGCCAGAAGTATATACTACACTCAAGCAGACCTACTGCAGTCTGCCACAGAATAACTTGATGGCAGTAGGGGATTCTTCTTCTTGTGGGAGACACAAAGCTAAGGATCTCGAGTAGTGATATGTCTGAGTTAGAGAGACACCCTACCCGCACAAGGAAAACACTCTGTTGCATACCGACCGCAACAGCTCCGATAGCTAGTACTAGACTATTAAACCAGGCTATCCGAATCATAGTAAGAGGTACAGTCGCTGCCGTTGAGAGTGAATCCCATGAAAAAGACCCCACAACAGCAGCACTCATCACCGCACCCTAGTAAAATAATAGTTAACTGTGGTACCACGACTTAGGGCCATATTTTGAACGAGCTCTCACTCTAACTTACAATTAATCCAACATGAGATAACTGGGTCAATGTGGAATCTCGCCATTTTGCGATCAATTCTCTCCGTTTCTGAAGATCTGTAGAATTTACCATTTCATGCATAGAGGTATATGCAACTCGATAGGCAGCAGCGTGAAAGAGAAAAGCTCTTTCAAAGAATTTCATTGTCGAGAGGCTTTTGGGGGTCGCAACTAGATTCTGCCTTTTGAAGTATTGAAGCTTCTGGATTTGAGATCTAGTGATTAGATGAATGATCTTCTCGGGGCTGCTGAGGGTTTCATGTGTTATGGGTGGATCTTGTCTCTTGTACGGAAGGCAATAAAGAACTTGAACGGAAGGGAAAGGATACCTAGGTACATTGATTTTGCGAACCAAGGATTCAGCCTCGTCCATTTGCAAATACGCCGTGTGACCGGGTTAACCGGTTCGTAACAGGGCGCAGCACTTCGTATGCTGCAGCCCAAATAGAAATATGATCACAGTCATCCGCAGTATGCTCGGATCTATAATCTCATTGGGTGATTCTCGAGCTGCAGTGCCCAGTCAACCCCTCACGCGTATGCAATCAACCTGCCTAGACATCAGCCAGTTCCTTTTACCAAGCACTAGTAGAAGTTATAAATTGGTGGTATATCCTTGTGGTGAAACCAAGAGACAATTAATCTTTAGGAATTTTCACTGTTTACCACCCCATCAAGGATTCTGTTGCTTGGTATTTTCTTTTTGAACGATTTCCATTTCCAATCGGCAGCCCTGGAAGCAACTTAATCTCAAATTTCTGAGCATTATTTTTCCTGGGCTATGTTTTGTTCACCTTGTGACGGGAACTCCATCGATATCTGAAGGTTGTAAAAATATCACATTCCACCAATCTCGATTAAGTTTCGTGGCAAGAGGCACATTGATTCCTATTGTCAGGCGTCAATTCAATCTTTCGTATTTCCAGTATGGAATACTCCGGCAGAAAGGTTTCTGATTCTTCATCTTCTCCTGCTGGTGTGCCTTCGTCGGCTCCACCGGTAGCGCGAAGTGCCTACGCAGCTGCTGGGAATCTCATTACTTTTCCCGGGAGAGAGAAGCTCGATGTCAGGGCACCATACATGTACCAACGCGATATCTCGGCTCGGGGCAAACCCCATATAAAAACCGGACATTTCGCGAAACTATCAAACCTCCAGCGGTTTCAAAACGGATATCATGCCATTTCATTCAGTAAGATCATCAACGGCAAGGAATACCACATGCAGCCTGATAGTACCTTCCAACGACAGGCTTGGAGGGTCGGTATTGCATATAATGAATTTAATATAGTCCGTGGGTCAAAGTTCGCACCCGTCCGTGAAAAGATTTCCCACTGGGGAGTATACATCCGGCCCCTCCGGCATAACAGTGAGGTCTGTCACAACTACTAGTACAAAACATACATTTCTAGCACTTGAATCGCGATATTAATTCGAAAAATAGACTGCCCCGAACCGGATATTTGGCATGAACTGGGAACAAAATTATGGCAGTCACCTTATTCTGGAAGATGTCTGGGGGGTCCAGGAGAAGGCAAGAGTGGGCGTTGGAAAAAGGAGCTCGCAGATACCGAGTTCCAAAAAATCACCGATCCGAATTTCCAAGAAGTGACGATGTATTTCAGCCTTGAAGAATTTGTTCTTGAAGGTACTTCAAGCTGCACACTGTTCCGGATTTCAAGACTATAGCCTCTCACTAACGCGATTTCTATTTTGGCAGCTCAGTGGCTTCTTCGACAATTCACAGGGCGAAGCATCGGTCCACTTAATGAAATCATCTCTCCCAACCCTGGCGCAGCTTATTCCCTCGCCTTTGCGAACTGTCAAGACTTCGCTAAGCTTGTCATAACGAGTCTGAAAAAATACAACTGGACTGACGCTCGTAGACTGAACCAGCAATTTTCTCTTTCTTTACTAGAGAAGAAGATGCTAGGCGAGCTTGAAAAGGAGGCAGAGGGCAGGGGTGAACATAATTATCGGCGAGCCGGCCCACTACTGGCTGATGAGCGATAGAGTGCTTTGTGGGACAACAAGTGCCATGCATACTACATAGTATGATTGCCATATTGAAGCTGAGGGGGGAGGTGGAGGGGGTGGGGGGGGATCTTTACGGTTATGAAGCTCTAATAAATATAAGTCATACTAAGTGTTATATTTTCTCAATCATTTAGTGTTACTAATGTAGTTATTCTCTAGCCATAGCGCTTGTTTCGTAATGACTTTTATTGTTAACTTGAGGATATAAGTAGACTCAAATGATACGATATGGGGAACGTGAAAGATACTACATAATATTAGTCCGAGTTCTAGGTTTCTATGGAAGGACTAAAACTACTACTAGTACACTAGTGTAGTAGTACAATAGGGTAAACTCTACAATAGGTTAGTGGATGACTCGGAGGGATAGCAGAAATGTACCAATGAAAATTTATTCTTGGGCTCAGGTGCCCATTTTCCAAGAATGAGAAAAGTCATCGAGTATCTCGTTGTTAACTAAGAGTTGCCCATCCTTCGAGACCAGCCCTGGAGATGCCCGCAAGGAACTCAGAATAACTAGGGCACAATATTGAAGTGCATACCATGATTATCCTGAGGTCTACCTACAGCAACGTCTCCGGGCCAGAGATTCTTCTTCGAATACATTCCTAAGTGTCCGAATGGATCAACCATTATTACAAGTCGAAGCAGGGAAGTTGCATTAAGACTAGTTCATCATCAGAACATTGTTGAAGTGTAGCCGATGGAAACGTCAGAAGAGCTAGATCTTCTTTGAAAAAAGCTCAGAAAGCCAGGAGTCAGCTAAGAAGATCAACAATTAGTAGATGTCCTAGAGTATCTGCAGCTTGCGATCGTACAGGCATCCACCTATATCCGAACTCAAGCGCCTCGTTCTTCGGTAGGACAATATGTAGAATATTTCCAAAAGAATGATTTAGAGGCAACAAAAGTTCTGAATAAAGAGTCAGGCCAATTTTACCGGAACTGGAAATCGAAGGATCCAAATATTGTGATTTGACAAATATCATTTGATTATCTTCGCTGAGCTAAGCCATCTGCAGCAGAGTTGCTTCCTCTTATGAGCCTTTTTCAATGGTTTTAAGGACCGGAGTCACGTCTCCATTGCCCTGTGCTTAGTCCTGTTCGACAGACATCCATCGATAACTCGATAACTCAAATAGGGACAACAGGCCCTTCAGGAATGCCGTTGTAAGCGCAGGATTCTTTTCCACAGGACTTAACCTTCCTAGTCTCTTTGACTTTCAACCCAGAACTTTCCGTTTTGAAGACCTCAATAAGTTCACAGCTATCAGGAAGCACCTCAACCTCAGCCGACGCATTGTTCATAGGGAGGGCAAAAGATCCGTGCCTGAAACCAGAGGAAGAGCCAAGTTAGGGAGATCCAAAACCATGTCATCGGTGACGCACATTATGAGGTAGACCTTGCTGGTGTTTTCTCTTGATGGAGATAAGGAGTTTGGGGAGACGTATTGCAAAGAGAAGTAAGGTGATATTTATCAAAAATATTCGAAGAGATGATACCCTATTTAAGAGCGGGACTACCTGAACACAGAGAATTATAGGGGCATCTACTTCATTTCCCCGACATGGTATTTCTGACCCAAAGGCAGGAGCCAAAGAAGCTGCGACATATATGCGGGGCTTGCCACCACGTCGTCTTCACGCGGCATCTCATTATTGGTTCTTGGTCATCACAGCGGACGACCACCTGGGCAGGTGGATCCTGCCGCCCCACAACAAACTGAGTGTATATCGATCCTTGAGGGTCATAGCAATTTAGTTCGGTCAATTACTCAGTCGTGGGATGGAAATCAACTGGCATCAGCGTCATTTGATAACACAGTCAGGATTTGGGATCTAACGACTGGACAATGCAAATCAACCCTCAAGGGGCACAGTGATCAGGTCTGGTTGGTTATCTGGTCGCAGGATAGACACCGGCTCGCATCTGGGTCTGATGATAACACAGTCAGGATCTGGGACCCGACTACCATACAGTGTCTATCAACCCTTGAAGGGCATAGCTATTCAATTTGGTGCATCGCCTGCTCGCAAGATGGAAGCCGAATAGCATCAGGCTCATTTGATAACACAGTCAGAATTTGGGACCCGGCTACTGGATCTTGTATATTTATACTTGAAGGACATCGTGGCTCAGTCACTTCAATTGCTTGGTCCCTGGTTGGAAGGCAACTATCATCAGGGTCATTTGATAACACGGCCAGAATCTGGGACCTAGCCACTGGACAGTGTATATCAACCCTCAAGGGGCATAGTGATTCAGTCACTTCAGTAGCCTGGTCACAAGATGGAGGCCGACTCGCAACTGGATCAAAGGATTATAAAGTCAGAATATAGGACGCAGCCACTCAACGGTGTATATCAACCCTTATGAGGTGTAGCAATTGGGTCTGGTCAATTGCCTGGTCTCAGGATGGAAGTCGACTCGCATGTGGGTCACACGATAAGACAGTCAGCGTCTGGGATATAGCTACCTGGAAATGCACATTGACGCTTGATATAGCTTCTCCTGGTATTCTTCGATTTGACAAAGCCAAACTGCACCATCTGCATACTAGTGTCGGCATATTCAACATGGAGCCTGCTCTCTCGATCACAGCTTGTTCTGAAGCTCCGGCTCCTTCGCAACAACAAGTAGGGTATGGCTTAAGCAATGACCGCACCTGGATAACCTATGGAGGAGAAAATATTCTATGGCTGCCCTCTGAGCACAGACCGGCAAGCTTATCTTCATTGGCTATATCTGCAACAACCGTGGCAATCGGCTGTTCGTCTGGTCGTGTCTTAATATTGACACTCTCAAAAGACAGTCCGATCTCATGAAACACTGGCATTTACGTTATGTAGCATCTTCAAGTTGTCTCAAATCTCTCATGTTGTTTTCTTCCTCCTTTTCAGCATTCTGTATGGCGATTTTGCTTCCTACGAATAGTAACATGAAGATGAGGCTCAAACTATGGTTTGATCGCTCCAGCGGCTGGACCCCCTATTGGTCAAACAAAACATCAATTGCGGTATAGCGAACAAGGTCGGTGGGAGGAGGCGCAAAAAGCTCTTTTTGCAGGTGATGGAGATTCGCAAGACTAAGCTCAGCACGGTCTATCCTGATACGCTAATAAACATGAAAAACCTCACGTTGACGCTGCCCAGATGGACTCGGCGCGAAAAGGCTGAGGGTTGTTGAGGTGTCTGACCACGCCATCAGACATCCAAGTTGAGCCAGAACAATCGTTTCAAGCGGAGCCCGTGATTCCTCGATCTAGAGATATACTTTGACTCTGATATTACATATGTACCGCTTCCAGAGCCTGTTGCTGCTACAGGGGATTTCGAAAACAGATTACCCCCAGACACACACGCTTTCTTTCCCAGCACCCCACTAATGTTACGCTAAGCTAACTATGGCTAGATAAGGCCCTTCCCCGAGGTGTAACGCCATATCATTTGCTGCAGGAGAATCTAGAACCCGGGCGATCCGGACCAAGCGCTGAAGTGGGTCTCTGGGAGAGTAATCGTGTGTCTGGGAGGTAATCTGTTTTCGAAATCCACTGTACCGGAACCATCCCAAGATAGATCAATAAAATGGAAGTCTAGTTGTTTCTTGCTGATCGAGGCCGGGGACTATATAGCTGTCCTGGATATAGCAATCCGGCGAGGGGCTGAATGTAAAACATGGGGTATCGTTATACTATCCTAGAGTTGGGCATGTTGCAAATCTTTGTCTGAGAGATTGCTTGACTGGGCTTGAGAATCATCGCGGTAACAGAGCGAGTCGTTTGTCATGGTAAACAGCTTCTGATCATTCAAAAATCAGTACATTGAAATTCCAGATTCAACAGGCGAAGATTTCAGTAAGGAGCGCAAGGTTTCAACAGGGCGGATATTAAACAAGCTGTTGAAATAATATCCCACCAATATCTTTTCTTCTCTCTTCTTTCTTCTTGTGCGTATATCTTCTTTCACTCAACAGCCAGGGTCTAAAGGAGGTGGAGAGTTGAGTGAAGACAGCAGTGCAAGTTACAGACGTGGCCACTTAACTGCCTACATTGTTTGGTTCATTTGCATGTGATTGAGTCTAGACACCAGAAAGCCCATACGAAAGAATACAATGACTATTCTTATTCGTTTATTTACAATAGCAATAGAATACTGCTAAATACTGGGTCAGGGGTAATCTAACTACAATTGGTATAGTGTCATGCAGGATGAAGTTCAACAAAGTTTTGAAGATAATTAACAGATGAAGCTGATTTCGAGGATAAACCAGAGGAGTGTTCTCGGCGGCGTTGTGGTTGTTACTACCCTCGATATAAACTGTTGTGTGTACCGAGCGGGAGCTAACCCCGGCCCGATGGCGGACCCACCTGCGGGAGGGCCCGAACCCCCTCCCACAACCTTACACCCAAGAAAACATCACCAATTTCTCAGTTGAGGACTTCCAGCCTCGAGGATCGAAGCAGCCCAGATCATAGGGAAAAGAACGAGAAATGGCGAAGTCTACACGCCCACCGAAGGCACAGGCCGGATCACCACCAGAGAGGTGTGGAAGCTTATCGACAGCCTCAAGGACATTATTCACCGCCAAACCACCCTCATCGAATCTGCCAAAGCCGACCTAGAGGAGGTCAAGCACGACCAGAATGTCCTTCGAGAGCAGAATGACAGACTCCATGAAGAAGTTAAGGCCTTACGAATGAACCGGCCAATTGACATCTGAGGCGATGAGCCTGTAGGCCGGTGTCGCGGACGAGGGGAATCGGCTGTCTCATCTCGAGCGTAATGGTCGGAGCTGAGGAAAATACGGCCGGACAAGGAAGGTTAGCGCAGATTGCCGTCGCGGGATCGCAGAAGAGCCGACGAGTCACATGGGTTAAAGGGGGTAGCGGGGCTCAGGAGCTCGGTGATCCGGATCAATAGCAAAAATGCCTCACCTGTGAGGCCTAGGGAGAAGGAAGGCGAAAAAGAAAATATGGGCTGTTGGGTGGAAGAGGGGACAGGGGGACTACCTAGGTATATACAACCACGCACGGGGACGCATAAGGACAAAGAGCGCTAAATTAGAAGTGGAGAAACTAAACTACAAAGCGTAATTCCTTGTACCCGTCCGATATGGTGTAGTGGCTAACATCGCCGTCTCTCACACGGCAGCCGGGGGTTCGATTCCCCCTATCGGAGTTTCTTTTTTCTTGTTTTTTCCAACAGGCTGTTAGCATGTATTTGATAGAAAAGGACTTTTGTTTTTCTATTTTAGAAGGGTACATAATGTATTCCGTATGTTTTATTGTTTTCATACAACCAAAGCTTTTGATTAGGGTCTTGGCCCCTTTCAAAATTAGAACAAGCGAAGAAGAGTGTTCGAACGATTTTTGCCAGTACTCACTCGGTGCAAGCCGTCATACTGCCGCACATTCCGAATTTTCAATTCAAGATTGTGAGCAACTCCATTCCCAATTATTCAAGGTCTTTTCTCGGGATAGCGGCAGGAGTTGGTATAGAGTTGCAAGCTTCCTTTGCTACATGCTTGGTTGAACTATTTTTGTCTCTTAACATGAATGCCTCGGGGATTGGGTCGTCCCCTTCCAATAAGATTTATATCGAGCAGATCTATATTTCATTTTGTATGAAATCAAATCCATTATGAGGTACACGCTCTGTGGTCTTCGTTATAATGTGGTCAATATGAATGAATATAGCTTTGAAACTACATATAACGTCTACGTAACGTGCCATGCAGTGGGACTAAATACTCTCATATTGGAACTTCATTGGGGTAATCAATCATTGGTAACTGGCGATGTATATACCTGGGTCACTGAAGGACCCTTTGGTTTGGTGTAGCCCTCTTTCCTGTGGTACATATATCCAGACTGCGCAATGGTCTGTTTTACCATAGTAGGATATGTATATATATATATATATATATAACTATATGTTCTGGCCTGTATATATGCTAGATTCTTTATGGAAACTCCGCTCCATGGAACTAGCAAAAGCCGACAAATTATGTGTGGTACTGAGGTGAAATGCATTGATTGTATTCACTCGTATGTCCTGATTATCCCCTAGCTCATCTTACCGGCCACTGAGTTCAACACTTCAAACTCGACAGAACCGTTGCGGGTAGACAAATACCCAATAACATATTGCTCTGGTGAGCTAAACCAGAATGATGAGTCTGGGTTTGACCCTGCAACCCATCTCACATCGTATTTCCCACTCTCGGTCCTCTGAACAGGAACCCGGGTAATCAATGGATGATCTTCTGGGGACCACCATCGAATAGCGGGCAATGTATTCGTAACAGTGTTAATCAAGAGTTGTGGTGCTGAAGGATGCCAAACAATCTGTCGAACGGACTGCTCGTGAACCAGAGCCGATGCAAGTTGTGGAGTACCTTCTAGTGACCAAATCCAAACGACATTCTGACGTGTAGTGTCAACAGTCGCAAGGAAGCGACCGTCTGGACTGAAGGTCATTGTCAAGACGCCTCGTGGTGGCCCTGTCGACTCCGGGCTCATGCTCAATGCAGATGAGCAGGAAGCCTGGGCATATTCGGCGTCCCCTACGGCACTAGTGTATCGCTCGCGCCAAATATTGGTACATTGTTGGTCTGTTTGGAAGATATGTGAGAATGTTGTTGCGGAAGAGAACTACCAGAAGGGGATTAGCAAACAATGCCGTCCATCTCTACAAGACAACACACCGTGCGAGTTCGGAGCAAGTCAATATTCCCATTGACTTTTCCCACGGCCAATATATCAGAAATTCCCTGGTGAGAAGCAGGGCTCCATTCAATCTGTTTCACTCCGAGATCGAAGGAATCATCCACCCCAGATGGTCCGGAATATGTTCTGAAAAGTTGACCGTCCGCTGTAAATATGAGCACCTTCGTGCCTGCACTGGCAATGTCCCAGATGGCAATCCATTTCCCATCCGGGCTCCATTTCAGCCCTTGTGCATCAATGGTTGGAAGCACAGTTTTGTTGACGAGCTCGTAAGACCGGGGCTCATGGACAGTCAGTAGATCTGAAGTCTCTGGCTTCAACAGGATAGCGAGATGCCTGGTTTTTGAGCGATAACCATACCCAAAATGATGGGCAAACTTTGGTGTTTTAATGACTGAGCTGCGCCCGGTCTCTAATGAGTGGACACTGAGTTTAGTATTCCAGGCGTGAAACACAAGAACCTCATTCTCATCAGCGCCAAAATCGACCGCTAATGCCCCCGGTTCAATGCTTTCAATCTCGGCGAATATTTCAAGTGGAGTGAGCTGCCAGACTGTCATTCGGCTGTCGTTTGCGGACAGGAGTCGCCGCCGAGAGGCGATCTCGTCGTCTGATGCACCACAAAAGCTTGTTGTGTTGAAGTATTTGAGTGTTTTGAGTGGAATTTCTTTCAGTCTTGCGATCTGTACTTCCTTGCTGTCCGAAGCTACATTTGAGTGAACAACCAGTCCCTTTCCACTCACGTGGGCAGCATACAGTCCATCTTCACACAAGCTGAGATTAAAAGGGGCTCAGAGAAAGTCAGACTTGAATAGATAAAAGGCTGTGTGGAGTGTGGACTTACCTCCTGGCCCTGTTGACGCGTCCATTGTTGGCAGTCGAGATATGATAGTAGTGGGGGTTCAAGAAAGAAGTATGTCAAATTCCAGATATCAACAGTGTAGCATCACAATATCAATCCGTTGTTATACAGGATTGTATCTATCCATCAGAATATGTATTTTTTTCGAGCCCCGATTTTTTTGGAACACTTCAGGGCTTGCTTGGTCGGTCCTTTGGCTGGGCGTTCATATCAGATTATGTAATCAAACCCGCACGTCCACTTTGGAAGGGGTCATCTAGGCATTTGAGGCTGATCGCATTGCTCTTGAGGTATTGAAAAGATAAGGGATATGTCAAGGCAACCTTGGAACCTGAGATGTAGAGTCAAGCTCAACGCGTTTGCAGCTTCCGATCCCCCGCGACGATAAGATAAGCCGGAAGATAGAAAATCCGGCTGAGATAACAGTGCTTTTCGCAAAAGTTGTTTCTTCATTGTGTTGCGACTAGAGGCGATTATTGACCGTAACCACGCTCTTGTCTTCCAGGCGCCAACATAGGTATCTTAGCGCATTTCAGCCCTCTTCTGGGCCGACTCTCTCGACACTTTTCCCGGTCTCGTCTCTCAAAAATGGCCTCCGAAACAAGCCTATCGAAGAGCATCGAGGAGACCTCCGCGGCTGCGCCTCAGCCCAAGGAGAAGCTCTTTGGAAGAAAGTTTTACGAAAGCATTGGCAGCCCGAAATATGTTGTTGCTCCAATGGTCGATAGATCCGAGTTTGTGAGTTCGCTGTCCGAGTAGCAACATCTGGAGACCAAGGTTAATGTTTCTCAAAGGCGTGGCGCATGCTCACTCGATCCTTCATGCCGCCAAACGACCCCAAGCCCTTACTCGCATACACCCCAATGTTTCACGCACGTCTATTCAGCGAACAAGAGAATGTCCGGGCCAAACATTTCCAACCTACCCGCAGAACCATTGGAGAGAGCAAGGATGAATTATTTCTCGACGGAAATCCCGCGATTGACCGCCCCCTTTTCGTTCAATTTTGCACGAATAACCCGGATGAGTTCTTAGAGGCTGCCCGTCATGTGGTACCTCATTGCGACGCTGTGGACCTGAACCTTGGCTGTCCGCAGGGTATCGCGAAAAAGGGCCACTACGGAGCTTTCCTCCAAGAAGATTGGGACTTGATCTATAAGCTTGTGAATCGGTTGCACACCGAGCTCTCAATTCCTGTCACGGTGAAGTTCCGTATTCAGGAGACCAAGGAGAAGACCTTGGAGTACGCTAAAATGATTCTATCCGCTGGGGCTAGCATCATCACTGTGCATGGACGCAGACGGGAGCAGAAAGGGCATAATACTGGAGTCGCAGACTGGAGCTACATCCGCTATCTACGAGACAATTTACCACCTGACACGGTGATTTTCGCCAATGGAAACATTCTTAACTACGGTGACATCGAAACTTGTCTCGAGGCTACCGGGGCCGACGCAGTGATGAGCGCAGAAGGAAATTTATCAGACCCGTCTATATTCAGCAAGCCTCCTGCACCCGGTACCGAAGGAAGAGAATACTGGCGCGGGCGAGATGGAAAGGGCGGTTATCGAGTTGATGCCGTGCTACGACGATACCTTGATATTATCTATAAATACGTTCTTGAACAGCCAGTTCCAGAAAGGAAGCCGCTTTATCTTCCATCTGATCCAGTTGATGAATTTGCAGAAACCAATGATGCTGACGAGAATGACCGCGAGGAGGGCCCACTGAAAAAGAAGCAAAAGCGGAGCAAGGCCGAGAAGGGCAAGAAATGTCACTCTTCCAGCCTTGGTTTTATGCAGGGCCATCTCTTCCAAGTCTTGCGGCCAATGGTTGCAACCCATACCAACGTTCGAGATGCCCTTGCAACATCAAAGCCAGGTGACATGGCCGCGTTTGAGCACACTCTTGTTCTTCTTGAGGATGCCATCAAAGCCGGACTTCAGGAGTATGAGGCCTCTCCCGAGAAGTTTGAAACCAAGCCCGATGAGACCCTGAAGGGATCTAAAGCAGTGATTGCGGAGTATGGAAGGCCTTGGTGGATCTGCCAGCCTTATGTTCGTCCTCTCCCCGAAGAAGCATTTGAAAGTGGAGCGATGCGTGAAAAGGGCACAAAACCTCCTGGAAAGAACGAGAAAGAAGAGAAGACTACTCCCAAGGAGGTTGATACCCCTTCTGAGGAGACTGTTACGCCAGGGGATGGTGCTGCTATTACTGCCACTAATATTACGCCTGATCCTCTCGTGAGTGGATAGGAATGTGAATATTTGATGTATTGACTCTCTTTGTCTTTCTCTGCCTTCAGCTGCCGTTGGCCAGTGTAAATATATAGAATTTCAAGGCTGGATACAGAGCCTTGTCTGCATAGCGTGCTTAAAGAATTCATATCAGGGTCTTTGGCTTTAAGTTCAAACCGATAACATAATTGGAAGATTACTGTAGCGATTTCTAAGCATATGAACATTATGTGTTGAGGTGACTGTCAACAAGAATAATCGGCCGCTCATCCAGCCTCTGTCCTCGACAACGTAGGTATATTTGGCACTTTATATGTCAGAACACTCCGATTTGTTGTTAGACGTCTTTTGAACTGCCTTTTTAGCTGTATCCCTAGTAAAATTATGGATTGTGTAGGCGAGTTTCTCTGTATAGCCTTTTATTTTCCGTCCGAGGAAAGTGCTCATAGCGCGAATGCCACAAGGTCATGTCGTAGATCTTACTTTCCCTCGTTGTTTTCCACCTTCCTTCTCTTTCATCCATCTTTTCTCTTCACAGTCTGTGATCGAAAACCTTATTCTGCAACCCACTCAGTTTTATAACGCTGTTCTCAACCTCACCAACCAATCCCTCCAGCAAATATTTACAAGAAAAATGGAATCTTCAGACCTTGTCGGTAAGTTTGCGTCGCATTTGCCATTATGATTCTCTAATCTAACACAATTACCAGCGTGGCCGATGGCGGATGCGGCGTTGACAGAGGAACTCCTGAACTTGTTGCAACAAGCCATGCATCACAGCCAGCTCAAAAAAGGCGCAAATGAAGGTATCTCTTCTCACTATCTTTTAAGCTGACCATGGAGCTAATATCTGTCTAGTCACGAAGTCCGTTACCCGAAGCTTGTCCGAACTCGTCGTTCTCGCTGGTGACACTGTTCCTCTCGGAATAGTGATGCATCTTCCGTTGCTTTGTGAAGAGAAAAGCACCCCTTATGTGTTTTTGCCAAACAAGCTAGCCATTGGTCGAGCATGCGGTGTGACACGGCCAATTATCGCAGCCACGATCATCTCCGATGATACTAGTACCCTGGCTCAACGAATTGAGAATTTGAGGGCCAAGGTGGAGCGACTTGCAATCTAATGGATTGTTGTAAAAGGATAAAGAACAATGAACCATTGACTGCCGGTCTGAGATGGCTAAGATCCCAGCTGCTTGGGTGGTCCGTGATTTCCTTTTCTTGATCGTTACCTTTCCAAAGGCATGACTTTATTTCAATCAAATTTTTCCACAATTACCAATGGTAAATCCTTCTAGAGATCAACCGTAAAGTCTAGCTATCGTGATATAATAGACAGAGTGAACAGAGACAAACCAGTATCACTCCCCTCAAAACAAATCGTCATGCAAGATACTAGATACTATATGGCCATGGCATTCTGGCCGGACATATACTCCATAGAGAACGACCTGGGCAGTTATTTGAATCGTTAAATACTAAAATACTATGTGGGTCTGGGAGCGGGAGACCTCGGGAGGAGTGGAGACTATCCAGCCTCGTGTGTGGGTCTCACGGATTGTTCACGTTGTACCTAGGTATGTTGTATGTACATCGTAAAGAATCGTACAGTGACATAAGGTCAATTTAAATGGCAAAGAAGCATCCCGATTTCTTGGGGATATAGCAGGGGCTAGGCAGCAAAGCAGAGCTGCAGACCTACGAAAATGAGTGGAGGGGAAATAAAAGAAGAAGAAAGATGGTTCTAGTCGACTGCTCGTTTCATCTCGATGAACCCAACTCGCACAGTGTTACCTCATATTCCTGTAATTTACCTTGCCTTAACTCACCAAGCTTATTCAATGCCTAAAAAAAGGTGTAGCTTTAGCCTCTCATACCGCTGCTGGAAGTTCGAGGTCTACAAGCCATGGTGGTTGTATCAAGAAATCCTGAGAGCCCTCAAATGCGGCGTTGATGAAAAGTGTTTCAGAGCCCTGTTTTAGCGTACTGGTGTTACCAGAGCAATGGCTTGCACTAGCGCACCCTGTGGGATTCCCTTTTTCTTTGATGGTGGATAGTGTGGATATGAGAACAAAATGTTCATTATCAATATCAGTGAAGTGAGAAGGCTCTAGATTGATTTTCTCGCGCCATCGGATGAGCTTAGCACCCCATCCTTCGTGGATGTGACCAAAACAATGCATCAAGGGTCGATGATGAGCTTGAGCTATAGCCTTGAAAAGATGTTGGCACCCAGCGCGCTGACCGGAGTATTTGTAGTCCATGATATCCTTTGGCGGCCCATGCGTCATTACGATATCAGCGTTCTCAATTCAAAAGTCGTGCCCGCGGTCTCGTTGATACTGAAAGCCCCAATCGCCACAAGATGGGGTGTATGGGCTAGGGTAAACATTAAATAGAGCACCGTTTTGCAAGTGGAAAGAGTGGACACCTTCATCTAGGAAAGTGATACCCACTTCCTTCTCGCTAAATAACCCTCGAGCTTCTCCGTAGTCGCCATATCAACCTGTTGAACCAATTGAAAATTCAAGGGTTGGGCTTCTGCAACTTTTCTCTGGAAGATTGGGAGGTCCATAGTGAAGTCATGGTTTCCGGCAATCACAAGTTTAAGAGGATTATTCGCGGCTTGGAGAAAACGGATGGAGGATTTTAACTCGTTGATCTTTGACTCTGTGGTGAGATCTCCGCAATGAATTGCGACATCTGCATATTGGCGTGAGACAAAGTTTGGTGAACTATCAAGCCCGTGTGTGTCAGAAAAAACCAGGAATTAAGTTTTGACATTAGCAGCAGCTGTAGTCTCTAGCATCTTGACAAACTCAGCTGATATAAGGTATTTTTGCTTCGTAGTGAAGTAGATGCGAAGTGGACGTGAAGGTGAGAGGGTAATCTAGGGAACCTAGAACCTCATGATGGTCCGAAGTTTATTTCATAGTGACCACATCCTTTGAAGTCATCGACCTTGTGCCAGATAGGAAGGAAGTATTCAGGATAGTTATGGTATCTCCTTCCTATTATATTGGCTACCATTCTAGAAAAACTGGGCGAGAGGAATTCTTATGTAAAATGGGATGATATTTAGAGGCATCAATAAAAAAACAGTCGACTATGTTAATCCTCGTCTTTTGATTTTGCCTTATCCTCAACGGAAAAGAAATTCTCCTTAGTAACATAATATGGAGAGCTTTAGTGGGTTTCTGTGAAGACAGTGCAATTTAAAAAGCGCTTGCAATAACAGAGGGCCAATGCTAAGCTGCAAATGAGCGATTTTCATAAGTTTGAAATATACTACTATCAACTGGCGTGTCAAAACATGCGCCAAAGGATCCGTTTCCCTCAAAATCAGGCTCTAGGGCTCCTAGTGGGTCGGGGCGGTCCACTTTAGCTGTTCAACCTGCAACCTATTTTGTACGTTATACTTCCTTCAAAAAGATCCGATTCTATAGTATTCACACCCATTTTCCCAGCCACGTAGGCAATGTCCGGAGTTTTGGACTTGGCCCAAGTACCCGCGCGCTCTGTGCAACGGCATCAATCAGCGCATTCGCAAAGCCTTGGCGAGCAGCATCACCAGTTGACTCTGATCTCAGACTATATGCTTCAGATAAGACTCGATGAACCTCCCATCTTGCATCCTCTTGTCCTTCAGCAGACTCAACAACTTCTTCCTTCTGTAGCTCCCAGCCTGCCTTTTGCGCTAGCGCACAAATAATCTGTGGGGATATAATGGACTGAATATTATCATCCTGGTCCAAGGCATTGCTTCTAGAGTTGAACTCGGCTTGTGAGATTGCCGCTAGCAAATGTGGGAGAGCAGCAATATCGCCGCAGATATCAAGGGAGTACTCCGCAATGAGAAGGTGCTTCGTTCTTCCATGGAGAGCTGCTAGCATCGGTTGCAACGCGTCGGCAGATGGCAGGTACCAAACTGAATGCACAAATATGGCATAGTCGTAGACTTGCTCCGAAGCGCTGGAATCGAGGAACTCTTGAAGATTTGATTGGTAGAATGTCATTCGGTCGCCGATCTGACCCTGCTTTAGTTTGTCCTGTGCTTGTCCTAGGGTCATAGGTGCGCCTAGTTGGATTATTAACTCGATCCTTATATTGTTGGTTAAAATCAAACAAACCGTAGTCTAATGGTGCCGGGTCAATTGCTGTGACGTGACCCTGGTCCCCCACCATGTAGGCCGCCACCAAGGTGAAATCTCCTTGTCCGCAGCCAATTTCAAGGATTTTTGAGCCTGGAAGAAGATTCCACTTCTTCAAAACGTCGATCCTGTGTTGGATTTGATGTTCGGATGACCCGCCATCGGAGAGCTTCGCGATGTTGATCACGTCTGGAGACATGGCTGTTGGTGTTGTACGAGAGTTTGATGGGATAAGTATTTATATATGTGTACCTAGCCGCTCAAATCTCACCTTCCACTGTAGTTTACAGTGTGAGACGATTTCCAACAAATGAGTCACATCTTAAATTATTGCTCCTTAGGGTAATATTTAAGCCACCTCAATTCTTACTAGGTCAGGTAGCAGACCTCGGCAGTATATGTATATGTTAGCCCATGTATATGCCAGCACGAGTGAGTCAGATAGCGAGCTAAAGTAGAATAACGAGCTCCATGCCATATCCGTCTTAGTTTGATAGGCCCGGAGACGAGAATGCCGCGTTTTCTACTCCATATATACTCTGAATTATGCCTCACAATTTTTACCGATGCCTAAATTCGGTATGGGTTTTTCAAGCCAAGTTAATGTTACCGAACGAGTTATAGTGAAAGATAGCCCCCTACTAGGATAATTGTGCTACGATTTTGTTATTATTTGCTCTGGCACCAACACCTCCATTGTGTATGGTTTCTCTCCCCGAGGCGAAATATTTAGCCAGGGGTGGTTCAGGACTCAGGAGTATCCGGTCGGTCAAGCAGGAGGGCTGCGTGAAAGCAGATCGCATGGCATATCGCTGAAAATCCGTGGCTGGAAGATTGTTACAAATCATATCTGTGGCGACCGGAAAAAAGCTTGCAACACCAGGTTCGCCGGGAAGCACCGGCCTCGGTGGCTCCATCAAACAGGGATGGTGCCCAGGTTTGGGATGGTCAGGATGCTGCGTCCCCTCATCCCTAAAACGAATTGAAAATTAGGCTGCCATCTGATCAAGCTGCAGTTTTCCAAGGATAAGGGCTACTACTGATAAGGCAAGCTTTTGCTGTCGAGCAGTCCCTATCTACTGTACCAGGCGGGTGGTCTATAATGAATCAACTCTAAGATTAAAGAAGTTATGTATCCTGGAAGTAGGAGCTGATCCTACTCTAAGATTAATGGCAGGACTATATACAGCGGAAGGAATTTCGTGAAATATCCGTGCAATTCTTCGCGCTTTGCTTTTGTAAAGCGCTGTCCTTCTTCATTTGTAACATTGACATCCTCATTCCGTTTCTGGGACGATAAAAATACCGTTAGACCCTGGGAGCTAATTTGGAGACTTCATTGTTGCTGATTTCGATGGCTTTGGCTATTTCCATGAACAAAGGAATTGCCTGACATGGGATTTTAATTGCACACGCTGTCCATTGATCTTGAATTGCGTACTCGTTCATCAAGGCCTCCAGTCTAGCAAGGCTGTCGGCAGTTCTCATCAATTCAAAGGTTGGCATACCTGGACCCTCTCAGTTGCACGGCGATGAGCTATCGCCATTTTTTTTTCTTGGAGAAGATTCTTGGCTAAGAGAGACTCACAAATGGTTTAAAACTGAGATATGAAAATTACGGCACATTTTGAAAATTGATAATTACAAAAGGGGGGTAGATCTGGGGGCCAATCTGAGGAGTAACCCGCTCTAGAACGCTGTGGGAATTACAAAAGTTCCAAGGTTAACTTGAGCCTCGCAACGGACCTCCGTCGGAGAACTCTGTTAGCTCCGATGCACGTAGCCTAGGAAGAATAATATTAGTGCATTTCGTTATCTTAGACACATCCCTGCACGCTGTAATTTATTCTCCCAAGGCCTTATTTTTTCAGCACTACCCTTCTCGGGCAACTTGATAGAAACGCCTCTCGTAAGAGGCCGACGGGAAATTCAAATCAAGAGCAGCACCCACCGATACCTGCGATGCCGACGCGAAAACCATCAGCAGCGTTGACTCACCCGCCGGAAGAGCCCGACGAGCGGGTACCCCTGTTAGGGGGGCACGAGACTGACCATGGCGACCATCCCAAGATTACCTCCTTTCCCCGTCGTCGTCTCCTGCTCCTTGTATGCCTTACTGTTGTCGCCGCTGACTTCGGCAACTATCTTGGCTATGCTCCTCATATCGAAATTCTTGAGTCAATTATTTGCCGTCGGGCTCGAGGAAGCAACTTGCTTGGGGTGGATGACAACTGCAAGTCGCCTGAAGTGCAAGGAGAATTGGCTCTGATAAATGGATGGAAAGACACATTTGACCAGCTGCCAGGAATCTTCCTTGCACTACCTTATGGGTTTGCTGCCGATAGCATAGGGCGTAAGCCCATCCTGGCACTCAGCTTGGCTGGACTCATTCTTGAAGAAATCGCCATACGATTAATATTTTTCTTCAATTCCGCCCTCCCACTGCGGATGATTTGGACGACACCCGCTTTTCAAATCATAGGCGGTGGACCCCAGATAGCGACCGCCATGGCCTATGCTATGGTTACCGATATGGTGCCAAGTCACCAAAGGTAGTGATAATCCCTTCTCCATATTGATTATGAATTGGCTGATGATGATGAGGTATGTTTAGAGCATCTGTTTTCTTCATCCTTTCTGCTGCAACTCTACTAGGCGAAATTGTTGCTACTCCAGTTGCTGCATTTCTAATGTCATGGAGCCCATGGATTCCTTCCATATTGGGGTTGTTCTTTGAGTGTTTGTCGCTCTTCGGAGCCCTCTTTATTTCCGATACTCCTTTCAACCCAGCGCGATACGCCGACCAACAGGGTTTAGAGGAGGGACAAGAAGAAGATGAAGGTGAAGACGAAAACGAAGACGAAGAAGAGCACCACTTGGTGCACGGTCCACTATATCTACGTTGGAAAAATGCCATAAGACAGCAGTGGAGTCACATTCAGAAGGATTATGCAGCATTATGGAGCGCTAATCTTTTCTATACTGTCGGTGCATTTTTACTTGCAAGTATCGGTCGCCAAGCGCTACAACTTATTGTTCAATATGCCTCAAACCGCTTTTCTTGGAGCATTGCCCGCGCCAGTTCGCTCATCACACTGAAGGGCATTATCAATCTCGTCACTTTGTTGCTTATTCTCCCTTGGCTTTCCAACTGGCTGAATAAAAATTTGCTTCTGTCGTCTGCGGCCAAGGACCTTCGTATTGTCCAAGGCAGCGTATGGCTCTTAACTCTGGGTTCAGCCATCATGGCTGTTTCCACTCATCCTGCTGTGTTCATAGTTGGCGTCAGCTTACTTGCATTTGGATGGGGCTTTTACTCAGCCCTACGAAGTCTGGCCATGGAATTGGTATCGCCATCGCAGGTGGGTATTGTGAACACGGCGATTGGCTTTGCTCAAAGTATTGGTTCTTTGCTCTCAGGGCCTATTTTAGCTGCTGCATTCCGTCGAGGCCTACGGGAAGATGGGTTTTTGGTGGGACTACCCTACATGGTTGCGGCTGGTCTATTCTTTCTATCTGGTTGCTTAACAGGTTGTGTTCGGATTCCGCGGGGAATGAGTGGCGCCTGAATATCGGCCGAGGACTCTATAATTAAAAACTCAAACAGATGCCACATAAAGATCCTTATGTCCCAGGCATCTAATTGACAGCTCGTTGTTTCCTCGTTGCTACCGAGGCAATCGTAAAATTTTGGTTGGTTGCAGGCTCAGCTTCCAAGTATTGTGGGATTTATTGGCGACAATTCAGACCTTTGAGGCATCTCTGAGGTATTGATACTTGGTGATAATACTGAATCTCGACAGATAATATATCACCAAAGTGTAACGGGTATTTATCTTTGCTGGCTCTTTCCCAGACACCCAGTCCGATGCTGTTGTACCTACCAATGAAATTGCAATGAGCGACGTAGCTAGGTGCGTCACATGCAATTCAGATTGCTAGCACATTTACTAGACACATATGAGAGTGTCTTCTGCCAAGGATGGGTATATTCAACGCCATGGTTTATCCGGACATACCACTGTGGCTCTCAGGAATAGATAAGACTTTTTTGTTAAGAATTTATGAAGAAATAAACATTAACTCTGATCCTTACCCCAAAAGCATTGAGTATGCCAAGATTTCTGCAAAGATTTCAGGCATAAGGAACTAATTCAGATCATACTATATCACACTATGTCACACTATTCTACAAACATGCTCGCTATATACAGTTCGCTATACAGAGGCAACGAAGAACACAAACAGCCGAAACCGCATCATGCGTTGTTCGAAAGGAAGTAGGTCGCCGCTACGGGGTTGCCGGCCGCCTTGACGATAGGGACCATGGAGAAGTTAAAGCGCGCATTGGTGGTCTGGTCGTAGTAGAGGCCATCAGCAGCGGCGGCAGGCAGCTTGTAGTGCCTGGGTTGCTCAAACAGATAGAAGGCGTAGGTGTGGTTGGTGGAGTCACGGGGACGGGGTCCCGTGTAGGGAGAGACAGCCTCAGACTCGCTGACGAAGACGCCCTTTCTGTTAAGGGTGAAGTTTCCGCCCCACCAGTGCAAACGATTGGTCGTGTTAACAGCGAGACCCGGGACAAGTGAGGGGTACTGGTCAGGGCTCGCCATGTCGCTGGCAGGAATCATCCAGTCGATCATGAAGATCATGTAGCTGATACAGTCGGAATTGTGGTTGGTATCGTACACAACTGGCTGGCTGGAGACATCTGAATTAAAAAGAAAAATTAGCTGGATTTCCTTGTCTTGTCTATGCGGTCAATACCTTGACTACTAATCCAGAGGTTGGGGGTGACGTTGAGATCTCCGTAGCTAACGCCAAGGTGCTTGTGCGTGGTGGGCCAGGAGTGGGCGGGAGTCTGGGCCAGTGCCGAGGCGCAGAACAGAGATAGGCCAACGAGTGACTTGAACATGGTGAAGGAGAAGGTAGAATAAGATACAAAAATATAGAATACAGAACAAAGAAATTGTTGACCGGACTGATCCGGTGCTATTTAAACATTCAAGGAGGTCAAACGATGCGGCCATTCGAGCCCACGGGTACCATAAACGTACGTACTCGGACTAACGTAGTGTCTTCTAAAGATACACTAATCCCGGCTAAGATATTATCTCCGTTTACGCGAGATTAATGCTGAATTCTCACGAATCATCCCGAGGAATAGAGAGTGAGCTACACTAATGCTAGTCACCGGAAAAAGAATGAAAATATTCCGTAGCTAGTACCAGAATTAGCAGCCCGCTTTGCCACGAAGCGAAATTGCTAGTGAAAAAAAAAAGTCTATCCCTTTTCAGCTATCAACATGGAGTACGAATTGAAGCACGGAGTACTAATAACAGAATAAGCGCGAATGGATCCACCTGTCATGCGCATTAAAGGGGTAGACTACATCGTCAGAATACCGCGAGAGATGACATGGTAGGAAAAAGATTAAGGATAGAGAGATATCGGAAATATGCGGATATAGAATAGTACGGAGTATAAAAATGAAAATCTTACGAGCTCCGCCTCTCCTCCGCGAAGATTTGTGGAGAAGAGTGCAGGATCTGCCGATCGCTGGCCCAGTCGTCGTTTCTGAACTGGGAACGGTTGGTCCCGTTGCGCAGATCAGCTAATTCCCTATCCATAATATATGTCTGGCTCTTCCCCGTGCGTGTAATTGCGGTGCCTGTATGCGACAGCGGCCCCGAGCGGTATCCCGAACCTGCTTTGATATGAAACATGTAGAAGAGCAGCGCCTCGAAGCGCGCCTTAAGCGCTGGCAGCGATGCTGCAAATATGCCAGTCGCTATTTCCGCTGTGTACCACACCGTTAAGTTAATCGTGTCCCACGTCGGGTCACCACCCAACAGCAGCTGCCGCAGCTCGACCGTCTTGACGATACCGCAACCCGTGGCAAGCAGGCCAAGGCAGAAGACACCTCGCAGCGCCCACCGGTGATACCGAGACACTTTGATCTTCGACAAGTATACCAGCGGGCCAATAGTGAAGACCAGGTCTGATAGTATGTTGCCGGCCGACTGCACGTACCAGGTCACTGTCTTGACCTCATTTGACCAACAATTTCCGGGTATCCCCATGTTCCACGCTCGCTCCATCGGCCTGCACTGGCCCAGGATCGCGATCAGCGCGCACAGATTGCACAGCAGTGCAATCGCCACTGTGACGTAGATGCCCCATGTTATTCTCTCGCCCAGTCGCAGCCGCACAAAGCTCATCCCTAAGCTCACTTTGAGCGCCATCATCGCGAACATGTTGGTTGCCTCGGACACAATCTGGTACTTGAGCGCCACGGCCGGATCGGGGCCTGTTACTAGCAGCGTCGCGACGTGCCTCCCGTAGCCATACCGTACAGCTAGCAGGTTGAAGGCGAGAGTCAAAATCACCCCAGTCTATTTAAGTAAAATTAACATTGAAATCAAAGACTCCACATCCTATGAATCGTACCACAGCAACCACCAAGAACCCGTCATCCCAGCTGAAGGACTTGGAATAGAAGATTCGCGTTTGGAAGCGCAGCCCCGACGAGAACACTGCCAGCACAGTCAATGCGATACCTGAAATAACGATGATGTTGCCTTGGTTCGCATAGTTGAGCGGCGCCGTCGGATCAGGTCTTTGCATTGGTATTGGATCGGGGTGGACTCGTCTGAAAGGTGAGGGGTGGACAGCTAAAGATTGAAATTCATTAGATACGTTCTCTGCCCTTTCTTTGGCTGCTTCGACTGCAGTGTTTCACTCGGGATGCGGGGAGGAGGAAATTCCGCACAATACTCGCATAGAAACTCCCCCTACAGCAGCACAGAAAACACTATGGAAATGCCGGTACACCTGCTTCCAGCCAAGGCTGTGCACCCCTGTCTTTCTCGAGGTGGCGTTCATTACAGCTGCAGTAGTAAAACACACGGCAAATCCGCCTAGGGCGTTATTACGCCCGCATGGAACGGGACCCTGCTTTCAGATCCCAGGTACATGATCTACAACATAAGCTGCTCGTAGATTTGAATGGCCATTGCGCGGTCCACAATCTCAGTAGAATAATGGTCCGAGTGCCTAGAACAACTGGGAAATCATAATAATAATTAGGGACACATTGGCCCTTTGAGTCAAGTAGCCCTGAAGGATGCGCCTATGAATGAGCCAAAGGGTCCGTGCCACAACTAGTGCCACGCGGCGTTAGGGTAATGCCGAGCTCGGCCCGGTATACCAACCTTGGAAGGATAGATTAGACCTACTTCACTTTGTACAAGGACAACTCAGGACACAAAACGGACCCCACCCTTAGAAGAATTAACGGCTGAGTTCCACCAATTGAATGCAGGACTAGGAGATCACTAGTGCTTGAGAAGAATTGTATTCAATCTTGAAAATGTTTCTGTTTGGATTTAGTCTTTTTTCAATCTTCGGCTACATGCAACTTGCAAGTAAAGTACTAGGACAATGATCAACATTCTTCAACTGTAGAGTAGTGTTAGAGAAATTGATTTACTATAAAAAGGTAAAACTATAGTCTACTCTTGATAGTAATATATATCGAGACTGGGTTCAAATAATATAAAACGGAGACATTCAGCTTTCCAAGGGTTGAAAGCTCACGTAGCTGCGCTAAACCGAAAGGGATCCCATATTCCCGTAGTGCTGGCTCGCGTAACACGATAACGGGCACTTACCTACGGAGTACTCCGTACACCATATATGTATGTACCTAGGTGGATATCGAAGTGTTAAATAGTCTAGAGTTTGACATTCTCAACTCTTCAAGCCTCAGTCTCACATTTCCACCACACGCCTAGACGTTTCTGTAGACCCCCTATAAGCCCCAGGACCTTTATATAACATGGCGCAGGTGTCCCGCGGTGATTGAGCTGGGGCATAAGGGGCTCATTCAGAACTTATGTATTTCACCATCTAGATATGATTAGAAACGCGAGGTGAATCTCAGTTTGAACTAATCCAAAATCACCTTCGCCTAGATATATTTGGGATAGTATGGCAAACCTCGCTTATCGTGGAAGCTATGCCAGGGACCCAGCTGATATTGCTCTGTCTTGCAAGACCCTGTGCGAAAGCTCTAGAGACTCTAGGTAGAAAGTCCGTGCCCAGCGTTAAAGAAGATATAATATATAGTGGAGTGGCAGTCCTTAACGTAAGCTGAGGTTTATAACTGCCAGTGCCTCGTGCTACTACTTAAGCTATCCAATTCCTAGCTAGGAGCAGTTCGCTTGAAAAGAAAGGGCTCGGACGCGTAAAAAAGAAAATAATTTTGCCGAATCGAAATCATTTGGTATCATATAAGCAACTTCGCATGTACCTAGCCGAATGCTTGGCTCAGTCAGCCAGCTTAGGGCATCCATGTTTGAAAAAGCAAACTTAAACGGGATTCGTAATTAGGGCCAGAACCTGATGTCTCGGAAACATAATCTGTTTCAACTAGAGCATCCTGTTTTCCATCTTTTTTTCCATCTGATGAATCCGCCTCCATAGTAACCAAAGCTTGAAGGCTATTAGCTTGCTTCTGAGACTGAGTTACAAAGAGCATACCTCAATTCGCTGCCCCAGAGAAGCGATCGCGACTGTAAGCACACTAAAATATAAGATTGTGGTAGTCAAGTCAGCGTCCATTTTGATGGTGAAGGTAGGGCAGAGAAAAACAGAATGTCGTAGCTGGAGCCTAGATACAGAGACAAAAATGTGTAGTTGAGCGAACAGAAGATGATGAGGAGGATGTTGAACAGAAATTTACGAGAGGTCCGGAAGGTTTAATTATTCAGAGCACCAGTAGGTACATAATGTAGCTATGATTCAATAATTACGGATATTCTAAATGACGGGCCCAATTAGTTTTGGTCTCACAAAAACATACTATAAGAGTAGCCGCCGACTCGACCATTGTAATTTTATAAACTCCCTTTACTTGGGATCAGTCCTTTAGTTCACTGTATCCATATATTTCGGAAGTAGTCACCCGTTACCTCCACTATTTCCGGGTCAGGGAGCTTGTTGGGAAGCGGCGTCTTTTCATTGATACCGACGGCGTCGCGGAACAGCCAGAAGGATCCACGTCCTGGCGCAACGATGCCCATATCAATATTGTGATGACATTGTTCAAGGCATTGTATGCGAAGACATGCCCGGGCCGGTCGCATCAGTCCCGCCGACATGATGTTGATCTGCCCCTACAAGGAGCAGGTGAAAGGAGTCATTGAGCGCTTCGCCAACGAGGGGGTGGAATACGGCCGTTGTGTGACGGTGGATGGCTCTCAAGGCCAAGAGTAGAATGTGATGATTTTTATATTCACCAAACCGCGCACCGCGGAGCTCACTGGACTGGGCTTCTTGTCTAGTTACTAGCGGTTGAACGTGGCCATGACGCGCGCCAACAAGCTGATGATCGCGATCGTCAATATGGGCATCTGGAACGAGAGGTTTGTCGCGATTGCAAAGTCGCGCAACACCAGATTCTTGGCCAGCCTGCTCCAGCATGCGGTCGATAAGCGCGACATTTTGAGGTGGGAAGGCCCGTCAACCGTCCACAGGCCCTTCGAATCTGCCGCCCCAAGCGGCTTTGGCAGCGATCGCGGCAGAGGAGGAGGAAGAGGAGTAGGATGTGGACTGCGGGGAGCAGTAGGCAGAAGAGAGATAATCTCCCCAATAGGGCTTTCTAGGTTTTAACATGAATTGAAGCATTGGGTGTCAGTTTCCTCGTTATTGTTTGTAGAGAGAAACGCTATTTTATCTACTTCGACCCAGATGAAAAACCGAACCCGCGGTTCATACCTGAAGCAAACAAGGTACAGTTTTTGTCTTTGCTTTTTCTTGTGTTGCAATGTTAGTGACATATTGGGTGTGCCAATTGCCAAGGAAAAGGGAAAGAACATTTGAATGCAGTTTCCCTTCTTAGTTAAGCTAAGTACGGTGTATTGTGACGTACTTTTACTTCCAACCTTGGAACAGGAGTAGTTGACCTAGGATGTCGATGGTGATTGACCTCATAGCTGCATTCCCTTCCCTCAACATCCTCGCCCGCAACGATAGACCCAACTGGATCTTCAAACTCACCATTTGACTTTGTGATCTTGCCTCATCGTTCTTTGGCCGAGTCTTTCTTCTCCTTGACGATCTCAATCCCTGGTTGCCGCCCGTTCTTACTTGGGTGGTAGAAGTCGAAAAGTAAGTAAAATCCCGATGTGGCTAGTGCTATGTTAGAATTTGGGTATTTCCAAGGTAGCCCTGGAGTTAGATACCTATGTAATGTAATCAATCTCAGTTATTTTTGGTTCTAAAGAGAGATAATCGCTCTGAGCTAAGGTATGTACGATAAAAAGATTAAAGAAGCTTTTGTGTGGTGTTTTAGTTATATAAGTTAGATTTGTAGATAATTATTCTGAGAGAGCGTAGAGTAACTGTACTTGTATATATGGAGGCTAACTATAGGCTAGCTAATTAATATCTGAGGTGATAAGTTTGTAGCTTAGTGCCGTAGACCTGTCTTATCCTAAGTGTAAGGGTTAACTACATGTAGGTAGAGCTTAGGAAATTATAGTTAGATAAGGACCCGACAGTATAGATTGCTATTGTGGGATCGTAGAAGAGCTGCAGAGTTACACGGGGAAAAGGGATTGCGGAGCTTGGGAGCTTAGTGATCTGGATTAATAGTAAAAATACCTTATAAATTCAGCCTTAGGGGGACAGATAATTGTATGAAACTACGGATATATAAGGGGGGTAGAGAGGTTTTATAGAACCACGCACGGGAGGCATATGGACAAAGAGCGCGAGTGCTAGACGATAAATATGAAAGTGGAACAGAAATCTTCATCCAATATCCGATATGGTGTAGTGGCTAACATCGCCGTCTCTCACACGGCAGCCGGGGGTTCGATTCCCCCTATCGGAGTTCCTTTTTTATTTTTTTAATTTTCATATTCTTTGATAATTTTTCAAGTACAACATAACGAGAATATCTCCTTATTATTGCCATTTCATTAAAGTTGGTAGCTCCCGTTGGAATCCATGAGTCACAACCCACGGCTTCTTTCCCATGCCAAGCGACGATCGTATTCTGAGTCATTGGCATATTTTGTTTGGCCTATCGCTACAAATTAGACACTACCACTCTCTATTGTACCCCGTATTATTTTATGACTGAACGTGAATCATCCAGGTTACATCACATCTCCAGCCGCGAAGAGGCTGAGGCTCGCAAAAAATGAAATCTGGATGTAAAAAAAAATGTGTGCGGCTTATTCCATTAGATTGATATATATTTGTACATGTCGCTCCAATTTCCAGGTTGGGTAATAAAAACCAGCTTAAAGATCGTGAAATTCTTGAATTGTTAAAGACTATGGCTTCGAATACTCCGAATGAAAAAGATGCCAATGCGATTACGGGGAAAGAGACACCTCCCTTCGCATTAAAGTCAACAGCCTTGCCTCAAAAGCGGGATCAGCGAAGTGCTTCGCCCGAATATGACCCCAAGGCCGGTGAAAACAGACTACGCCCAGCCGGAGGTAAATAGTTAGGTTGAAACATATGTATATATTACCAAGTCTGACAACTTATAGACATTATTAACCGCATCACTTGGGATTCGGCGTTTGAACGCAGCAACTATGTCATTGGATTCGTGGACCGATTTGAAGGACAATTGGAAATCACCATGGACAGTTGGAAGAAGGAAACCACCGATGAGGAATTCATTCCACAGCACCGGGTGCTATATATCAGACACATCAATGGGGAGATTGTTTGGGATCGAAGGAGACGTATTGACAAAATCTTTTTGAGTGGAAACTCGGGGTTCAGCGAATTGGCCTTTCTTGCATGAAAGTTGCACCTTCCCAGAATTCTCTTTTGTTTACTTTTCTATCCCCTTCCGATTTTGGAAGGTACACCTGAGAATTTGTCCCGACCTTGAGAGGTCCACGGGTCCCTTCCAACACTTCAAACACTGGAAGATTTCTTGTTTTCTCTGTCATCTTATTGCTTTCTCACCTCATACTCAAAATCCAATTGACACTATGGACTCCTGTAAGAAGAAACCGTCTTTGCCTCGTTTGACCACCAACATCCCCCTACTACAGAAACCCTCTAATGCATCGTGCAATACTTTACCATCAAAACCTATCCCAGATGCCAGCGCACCCCCGGTCATCATGCCCGAGAGACCAACGAGAACTTCATCACTGTTCAAGGAGGAAAAGCACGATGAGGAGAACATTGTGCCTGTGACACGTTTTGTGTCAGAGAGCATGCCTATCTATGTTTCCCAGAAAAGTGTGGACGATTCCCCGTTAACAAAGGTCAAGAAGTTGTACTACGAAGACGCATTTACGGCACGTGGATCGCACAACTCCCCCAAAGACCGCGTCACTCATGAATCTGTTGTTGTTGTTGAGCTTAAGACCAACACAAAAGTTTGTAACGCGCTGACATCTGCTCGATAATCCTTATCTGCTAACTCACTAACTAGGCGAAAGATGACGCACCCAAGTTACTGTCGGATTTTGCCCACTTCCTTGCCCAGGTCTACCAGCGACCGGAGACGTCAATGCTAGTCACTATCGACCAGAACGCTGACTTGATTTTTGGAAATATTTCTGGCTCGGCGTACCTGTTGAAGATTACTGCTCTCTCGAGTTTGATCGGACCGCTTACCAACATCCGCAACACAGGCCTAATCCAATCAACTATCCAAGAAATGTTTGGCATTGCGCCTGATCAAGGTGTGGTGATATACACCCCAACGAACGAAGACAATCTTGCAACCAATGGAACGACTGCCAGGAGTGAGATCGACCGCCTCGAACGAATGGAATCCAGTAATAGCCCCTCGATATTCAAGTCTATCTCGCGGTCCATGAGTCGTCGGATCAAATCGAGCAGCGGCAACAGTGTTCCAATTTCCCTCACTTCAGTCATGAGCCCTGATGTTGTAACCCCTACTTCAACTTCCCCCGTTACTTCAGGCCAGGTCCCTCCGCCGAGGCCACATCAAGCAGAAGACAAAAAGCCGATAGAGTCCCCAAAGGGCGAACCAATTCACCATGCCCCATTCAAGGACGAAAAACCCGAACGCATCCTCAAGAAGAGAGAGAGCTTGAAGAGTTTTGTCAACAGGCGTTTGGGTGAATTGGGCGAGCTGACCACAATGAAGCCATTCACAGCCACAAAGGGAAAGAAGGACTGACTTTTGTTTGGGAATCGAAAATGAGATGCGAGTGTAATGGATGGTGTGTTGGGTTGTGTTGAGTATCTTCTTAGCAAGGCTTTAGCATATGTATGTGTATGCCTTCGCTGTATCGAAACATTATAGGATTATAATACAATGCAGCCTTGGCCATACTGCATCAGGTCTTCCTCTTAGAACAAAATGGAGTGAAGTAGGCTCCTGGCAATATAAAATGCAGTTTTCCTTTCTAATATAGTTACCTACACCTTCTTTGAAATTATTAATAAATATGCATTACTTTGCGAGCTGCACGTGAGACAGTGATAGTTGAGACGAAAAAACATCAAAACATTGCCCCATCATTCTCCTTTAGAATCTTTCCCCTCTACTGCCCTCACTTTCTCAACTCTTCATTGGGAGCATGATTACATTCCCGTCGCGTTGTTTGATTTCTCCGTCCACAACACAATATCATGTCTGACACAGGTGACGATCAGGTTGCAGCGATGGACCGCACCGACAGCGATGATTCGTTAGTCTTGATGACCTCGTCATTGCCTGCTGCGGTCGACTTTGTCCAGGAGACTCCTGGGGACCTGTTTGATGCCCCCAATGGTGCTGCTCTAATCCGTGAGAATTTCTTATTTAGCGACCCTTGATTTTACTCAAAGTCCCTGCTAATCTAGTCAATTTAGATGCATGCAACTGCAAGGGTGCGTGGGGTGCAGGAATTGCCCGTGCATTTCGTGAGCGGGTTAGTCAATCAATAATAAATCACGCACTTGATGCGACAACCTAGAGCTAATAACACGGTATTTCATAGTATCCTGCCGCTTACGAGATCTATCGCCAACACTGCCTCATGTACCAGGAACAACCAGTCACGAACACTATCACTGACCTACGCGACGAGGACCCACAGCCCACTCTCGTTGTTCACCGTCCCCTCGGCACCGCACTCATTATTCCGCCCCAGCAGAGCGACTTCTCCCTACACCGCCGTCGCCATTGGATAATCTGTCTCTTTACATCGGTGCATTATGGCAGCCGCAGGGATTCGGAGGATATGATTGTCAATAGCACTTTTGCTGCGCTACAACACCTGAGTGGACAGCTACACGGTCTTTCCCTGCAGACTTCCGATACCGGTAATGAGCGACCCCACAGCCTCTACTCCAGCCGCTTCTGCACTGGTTTGTTCAATGTTCCCTGGGATCGCATTCGTAAATTGATCGAGACTGTCGGTCTGCATATCACTGTGTACCACCCCTTTGAGGGAAGCAGCCGCCGTGCTCGTCCCATTCGCATGTCTCGTGCCAGTAAGACGAGCCAGGACTGAGATGATGAAGTCATCTAGTTATTTCCTCCCCATCAGCGAGGTTTTGGCTCATAGGTTTTTACCTGGTGTGTTGAGGAGGAGCGGGTTAATAATCCACTCTGATTTTATGATGATAATTGAGGCCAATAACCATGGAAAGCATGTACCTAGTTTTGATACACGAAGAGAATGAAAAAAAGGATGAAAGTAAAAAAAGGAATCAGACAATTAGAAGTAGGGCCTCTCTCATCACCTGACAGCGTGTATCGTAGATCGCGTCCGCGCGTTCCAAGGTTAGGCGATTTCCCCGATATCTCCAATCACCAATCTCACCATTCCTAACTATTTGTGATTCCCACCATATTACCCATCATATACTCCGTACATTCTGCATTTATCCAGGATACCAGTATGCCCGGTGAACCTCAGCCAGCTCAAAAGCGCCCACGTCTCCCTTTCAAACCTCCCAGTCGCACGACTAGCGCGGGACCATCCAGCTCCGCGCCAAAGGCTAAAGGAAAAGCGAAACAAACCAGCACAAAAGCCTCCGCATCCACAACCGCGCCCAAAACAACAAAAAGCAAACCTACGGCCCAAAACAAGTCCACAGCTCAGAGCAAATCTACAACCATTGGCAAACGCCCCCGACCCGAGTCTCCGGCAGTCAATGCCGCCTCCGAATCCGAATCCGAGTCCGACTCCAATGGATTGAGCCGCAGTCGTTCGCGCTCACTCTCCCAGGAACCCGACTATATCCTTGCTGAGATAACGACTACACACCAAGAAGAGGATGTAACGTCCAGCGACCCCAAAATACCTTCAAAACTGCTTACTCGTCTGCTGCACCAGCATTTCCAGAATGAGAAGACTAAGGTTGCAAAAGATGCCAACAACATTGTTGCTAAATATGTTGATGTCTTTGTGAGGGAAGCAATCGCCCGAGCTGCTTATGAGAGGGCCGAGTCAGATGGAAATACTGGGGGCAGGGGTCTTGGGGACGGGTTCCTTGAGGTAAGTCTTGATTCTTTTATTCTTTAATTTGCTATACATGGGTATTCTGATTGATAATATAGGTTGAAGATCTTGAGAAAATGGCGCCGCAGCTCACGATGGATTTCTAATATCTTCGTCTCTCGTACGAGGAGTCACGGCGTTAGGTTCAAATTCATGTATTAGGGCTTATTGTTTATTGTTCGAGATACCACAGCATCAGCAGAGCGCACGCAGCGATTTTACATAATTCGAACACCTTCAAAGGCAAGAGGCCTGGAAGAGTGAAATATCCCTAGGGTTCATATACTTAGGTGGCTTTCCAACGGTATGATCCTCAACAAAAGGCGGCACTGCCCCGAAGCCGTTGGCGTTGTGAAACAAAGCAATATCCCTGTTAACCCTCTTTGATAACCAAGCATTCGCCACATAGGCCGTGTTCTTTCTGCTGAGATGAACGACAGCAACGGGGAGCTTGTTCTGCTCAGGCAGATGGCCGAGCTGGGCATCGTAGGCTGTGTGGCAGATGTCGAAGACGAAGAATACCCGCGTTCGCCACTTCTGAGCTGCCACCAACTTTGTTGCTGGTTGGACTTCTTGTGGGACATAGAGATGGCTTGCTTTGAGGAGGCGGATGGCTTTGGGTAGGAGGACTTCTGGGTTGTTCTGGGCCTTGGATATCTGTGAACTCCGGTGGGAGACGATGACTAGGACTCTGAGGGGCTTTCCTTGGGACATGGTGGGCTGAAGATGTGAGGAGTAGTTTATTTGGATGTTTGCCTGGATGAGTTCTTACCGAGATGGACGGGACAGAATGTTTGGGTTGTCTCTATCCCTTTTTTTCTTCTTTTTCTTTTTTTGCTAAAATGTTCACTGCTGCATACAAAGATTTCTCAGAGTCCTCGAGCAGAGTTTAAATAATATTTTTTCCCCTACAGGTACGAGGCATATAGGGGCAAAGTTCGGTGTCTTACCTGGACTAGATGATAACCTTCCAATGGCCCGAGAGTCTGGTCGTTCAAACTGGAACATTTACCAGGGGATGGTCATCTGCCACATTGCACAAAGACTATATGTAATGCTGACAGCCATCCATGGATGTATTCAGCTGGAGATCAACGCTGCCGGGTACCTGGTGACTGGGTTAAGTCGGGATAGGACTCGTGTGTCAGTCTGATATCAAATTATGTACAACTTAGCAAACCCGCAGTATGCATCGGAGATGGTAAAATAAAAGCTAGAAGACCAAAAAACAAACTAGTATGATTTAAACGAAAGCTAGATGTCAAGAATGTTGTAAGTTGATAGTCGGAAGGCGGTGGCTAGTGGATTTTTCCCCGCGCGTGTTTTGCTTCTTCAACGCGTCAAACCCAGCCTCGAGAAGACCAATCTTTTCGCAATGGACGATGCGACGACCTCCTTGCTCACTGAGCACTTCAGTTACACACCATTGGTACGTTGATCGAGACCGATATGCATTGACTCGTGCTGCGCGCGACCTGCGACCTGCAACCTGCGACTCAAGACCCACTACTTGCTAGGAATATCGCTGACAGCTCCCTAGTCTCTCATAGATGATATTATCAACTCGATCAACAACCTGATATACCAAGCAATTTCGAGCTTGGAAGCTGGACTACTCAATACGCCGCCTGAACGACTCGGTTTCTCCCATGACAGCAGTGGTCCCAGCATCGCGGAAACAGATGAGGATGGCAATGTGATTTATCCAGAGGCAAAGCTAGAGATCGAGAATGGATTGCATCAGCTAGAGACGCTGCTAGAGGCCAATGTCGATAAGGCTTTCGACAAATTCGAGATCTATGTGCTGCGCAACATTCTCACGGTGCCTGCGGACTTGCTCTCTTGGGTGCGGTTGAAGCACTACGAGGTATGTGGAGTTACCCACGGATTTTTGGATCTGAAATTGCTTGCAGTTTTTTTTCAATAAGGGGTACGCTAATGCGCATTGTGCTAGGGTCTCGATTTCGGATCTTCGCCAGACACACCGACGCCAGAGACCATACATGCGCAACGCAAGAAATTGTTCGAAACGAAGAAACTGAACCGGTCGCTTAAAGAAGAACGCGCCCGAAACGATGCGGTTATTTCACAACTACAATCTATCCTATCGACAGTTGAGACAGCGAAGGCAGATGGTGTGTCTACGACGGCCGAAAATAAACCAGTTGATCTGTCCTTCTTAACCTCTAGCCCAGCTGCGCGCCAGCTTCGTGTTGGTGTCGATGCTGGACCGAATGCTAAACCCACGCCTCTTACAACCAATACCACTTTCATTCTTTCGCAGCTGCCCGCATTACAGATGACACTTGAGCAGCTCCGGCCAAAATTAGCAGCCCTTCCAAACGCAACGGTGCCAATGGAAACCAAAACCAAGAGAGATGAGAGAAAGGAATATATCGAGAGCAGGATTCGACTCCATCTCGAGCGAGCTGGCCAGCTCGCTATGGGAGACGACGGCAATCCAGTGGTCGCAGGTCGCAGAATCGATATCAGAGAGGCCCATGCCCTTGAAAGCGTAGCAAACATGCTTACGCAAGACAAGTCAGTGTAAGAGGATGTTTATGTGAAAAACTTTTGGTTCTACGACTCTATTATTGGATATGTACTGGTCGCCTTATGACCAAGTGATGCTCCATGTCTCCTGGGTCTTTCTGAAGGGGACAACGTCAATCTTGTCTGACTGGAGTATCTCCAAGATCTTCTCGCCCTTTTTCTCGATCGTGATGAATTCCTTCTGCTCCTCCGGGAGGCCATAGAAGGCCCGTCCGAACTTACTCATGAAACCCTCGACAACCTCTGGCGTGATCTCATCCTCCTTGAGGACACCATTATCGCAGGCCTGCTCAAAGGCATCAATCACAACCTGAGTGGTGTATGGTTGGGTGAAAACGCCGGCAGCGATCTTCTCGCCACCACGCTTGGATGCAGCCGGGTGTGGGGCGCTGTCGGAGCCGAAGAAGAACTTCGGGTTCCCTGAGACAGCAGCACGGAGAAGGGCATCACGGTCGGCTGGGGTCTTAGCAACGGGCTTGCAGAAGCAGAATGGGTCACCGGCCCACGAGTCGATAATAATGGATAGATGATGAGCAGTGATGGTACCAGAAACCGTGGGACCGCACTTCTTTACGGCCTCCACAGCTGCAGCAGTGGTACAGTGCTCGAGAATGATGCGCAGCTTGGGGAACTTGGAGTGCAACTCAAAGAGCTTGGGAAGGAAACGCTCTTCCGCGGACAACACCGTCACATCGCCTCCGGAGGGGCTTTCTCCGTGCAGGTTCAGAATCATGTCTTGTCGCTCCATCTCCTCGAAGATGGGGTAGAACTGTGTGTAGTCCACCACGCCTGCAGAGGAATTGGTTGTCACACCGGCCGGGTAACTCTTGACACCAACGATGCCGCGCTTCTTAGCTTCAATGATGGTCTCTGGTGTCACGGTCTCGTGGAGGTAAAGCGACATAAGGAAGTTGACATTCGGCTCGAGGGCTTGTAGGCGCTTCTGGTATTCCAGAGCACGGTCGACGGTCGTGATAGGTGGCACAAGGTTAGGCTACCGAGTGTATTAGATATAGCTCAAAAGACAGGATTTGTTCCCATTCCCATTCTAATAGATAAACCCGCTTACCATAACGAAAACGGTGTTCACACCTCCATTTCGGATGGTGGGAGTCACCAAGTCCATCATTGGACCCTCGCGGAGATGGACTATCTTTGGTCAGCTCGTGCATCTATCAATCTTCAATCCCCAGAATTGCTTAGTACCATGGAAGTCGGCCGAGGCGGGGAGCTTTACTCCCTGTAGCTTGGGGAGAGGCATGATAAGTATCAGATTTAAATCAAGCTTAACCAATTGCAAAGCCTAGTTATGTCCCTAGTATGTTCAAGTTCAAGGCGCGAGAAAGTCGATCTTCACTTTTTGCCCCGCCATTTCTGAAAAAGTTCTGCCGACGGCGGTGGCAACCCCAGTTCCAGCCTTTTCCCGAGGGATCCATTCTTCCCCCAGTGTTGGATTGAGGTCTTAAAATCAAGTTAACATTGAAAGGGTCAAAGATAATATGTGTAACCAAACAAGAAGCGTTGATTTGAAATAGAAACATTCCAATCTTACCGCCAATCCATTTTCATCCAAAACCCCCCCAAACTAGGTACTCCGTACGGAGCACTATGCACAGCGGCACGTCTGGGGTAGTACTCGGGGAGAAATATTGATTTACAAAGACCAAGGCCTAGATTTATTCAGGGATCTATTCAGTGGATAAGAGAATTCCTAGTATAAGCAAGGCCAGGATGTGTACATATTCCGTGCCGCTGGTGGCTCTCGGGCATAATTCTCGGCGCTTCGCCGTCACCTATGACAGGTCACAATTACCAGCCTCGAGGAAATTGGATTCTCCAACAGACGAATGAAATCTGTTCCTCCACCACAAATTTGATGCAAACCCCGCTCAGAGCCTATATTTGGGTCTACTAGGCGCTTTGTTGGTGCTTATTGACCGATGCGTCCGCCAAGTCTGCACGCTGGCGCCCGCTCAGACAATTATGGCTCGGGGATGTACAAGTCCCAGTTGCAAGGCTGCTGTTTACAATTATCCGTAGTCCTGCGAATTTGACACAGAGCCCAAGGCGAATCACCGCGGTCGGTTACGCATTGAGGCGCTCTGCATGGCTTCATGCAGTAATACGGACTGAATATCGCCCTCAGGATACACGCTCATTCGATAATAATCTCTTTTGTGATAGCATAGCGCCCACTAAGTTAGTCCCTGAATCAATACTGGGATTATGTTTTCACGAATATACATATCCCAGCTGGTATCCGTGAATCGTTCGACCATAGGAAGTAGACATAGTACCTAACTTTGCTTTTTTTTTTTTTTTTCCTTCTTGTTTATCGTTGTCCCTAAGAGGTTCTTCGCTCTTTGATATCGATTCCTAGGAATATCCTTGCCGGCAAGGTGGTTATTGATAGTTACACACTCTTTTCCAAACCCCCTCTCTGTCGTCTCACCAAACCCAACGACACGCCTTCATCATGACCTCAAACTCATCCCTCTCCGGATCGGGCACTGCGTATTCTTCAGACATGGAAGAATCAAACTTTCTGAAACGCAATCGTATCATTCACTTTACACGACTTGGTCTATCTTTCTTGACTTTCGCCGTTGCTATTGCTGTTGTCGCTTGCGAAGCCCCACCCTTGCGGCACTATAAGAACACCTCCCAGTGGGCGAGTGTCGGTCTCGCACTGTGGCCTTTGAACTTCGACCTCCGTCCAACAACAGCCGCCATCGCGTGCGGCTGTGTAATCTCCGTCTTGAACTTGGTTTACATCGCCGTTGCCCTCCTACCATCTGTGAGCCTTACACCTCTCCCACTGCACTGTGTGACTGCATATGTACCTTTGATGCCATATACTAACTCCCACCCAGCCACATTCGCGTATTAAGCCACTCAACATCTATGCCTCGGCGTCAGCAGTCGCAGGCTTTGTAACCACCCTAGTTAGCATCCTATTCATAATCTACCTACCATCCTCGGATTACCCAGCAGGGTTCAGCAAGAACGAAACCCTCCACAGCTGGACCTGCAAGTGGAAAACCGGGACAGGCAGCACAACAGCACCTCGTCACTTTGATCGTGACTGCATCAATACTCGTGCTGGGTTTGTGCTGCTGTGTGTGCTTGTTGGAATGGAGGTTTTGATGGGATTCGTTGCTGCTGCTGGCACGTGGTTCCAGCGGGATGTTGCTCGTCGTCGCGCAGAGCAGTCCCAACTCGAAAAGTTGGAGATCGCTACTAAGCAGGCTTATCACAATTGATGAGTGGATGGCTTCGGGAGGACTTGGTGCTGTGCAAGCGTGGCGTTGGTTCAGATGTTTGTTGATCTGTATGTATGAATGTATTACTGTATTGACGGAATGTTCTCATGGTTATATATACTGGGCATTTATTTGTTGAGAAGTGAGGGCCCACTAGTCTGGCACATCGATAGCCTCTTTTTTTAGCTTAGATATTTATGTGGTGTTATGCTTTTCATGTTCTATAAGTTCGATAAAATAGCTTCAGTAACCATGTAGACTCGCTTGGGGCTTCGATAATCTCAAAATGCAGCTCCTAGTCCTAAAACAACCAGAGCCATCCAGCTACCGGCATCATTCGCAACTGCAGCTCCCTCCGATGGAATCGCCGACTTCTCATACCCAATGAATGATTTAGTGGGGCCGGCCGTAGTAGACGAGCCGCCACTAGAGGTTATTATACTGGCATCTGCGTTGGTTGGCTGAGCGGCATTCGACCCAGGCAAAGTCCACGAGGGTGCGACGGTGGTCTCTCCTTGGTCATATGCATTCGCGGTAGCGCAGTCATTTACGCTAAGTTGTCTGGCCGCAGAGGATTCCGGGTCATCCTCGGAGCAGTTTACGTAGCAGCTGTTAAAGTATGTTAGAGATGCGGGTTTGGAGATAGTTTTAATTGAAGAATTGGCAAGAGTCAGAGTCGGGGGCCAGGCAGCTGTCTACTCACTTTGAAATATTTGCAGCGCCTGAACACTTGCAGTCCCAATCAGCCGAGGAACATTTTGCGAGCCCACGCTTCATGATGGCGACGCATGAATCTACAACTCTGTTGATTATGAGAAAGGAATCCTAGGCAAGTCATGTATGTTTGGATGCTTACTTTTGAGAAGCGCAGTTCGAGTTTCCGTTTGTGCTCGGGGAAGTTGGCGTTGCATCTTGAGCGGCGATGAGAGTAGCCGATGCAGCAAGTAGAATGGAGAGATGGGTAGCAAGGAAATACATCTGGATATTGAAGAAAGGCAAATTAAAGAATACAACGTAAGATAATAATATGCGCGCTGATAGGTATAGGTCTTGAGGTAAAATCCAAGGAGATTCACTCGAGACGTTAAAACTGGGGATTTGAAAAGGTGGACTTCGAACGTTACATTCATATTAAAGGAAATGGAACTGTTCAGCCCTCTGATAAGGCCATATCTATTCCCGGCGTTGACAGGAGTCTGAAGCTCCCACGTGGAAAAAGTACTCCAGGGTCCACATTCTTGGCCAGGCACCATATCCTATTCTGCACATTTATGCTCAAGGAAGCTATGCAGATTGAAAAGTGAAAGAGAGTGACTTGAATCAATCATAGAAGCTTGTTTCTTATATTGGCGGGTTAGTATAACACCTAGACAACAAGTTCGCTTTGAAGATAAATATTGAACCAGAAGAAAACAATTTAGCCCAAAGCGGTGTTACTCTGGTACAACCATAATTGCAAGGTACCATGGAAGTTGATAATAAGGTGGTTCTTCGACATCATAACGTTCTCCAATGTCGCATTCCACCGATCGTGGTTACATTCTTCAATGCCATCGCTGGTGTTGGCCAATAATGAATGAGAATGATCAGAGCCGCATTGGGGATATCTGAGTCTCCACTCCAACTTGAATGATTTAAAATTCCTACACCTATAACTAGACTGATTCTGGGATGGGAATATACGTTTGTAGTTCCTCACATATCTCTCTCCGTACTACATAATGTAATAGAAAAAAAGCACACTGATTAATCCGTACCTTCCTATTATGGATATCACGAGGTCGATCCCAATGTATACCCTGGGTTGATAGTTTTACTGGAGGCATGGCTACCTTTCCTGTTTGGCTCTGATTCTTTCTTCTAGTCAGATAAATATGTCTCTTCTATTAGGTCGGTACATACAAGTATATAATCAAATCATAATCTCTTCGAAAACCGACGGCTTCGCCATCCAGTCCCTCAACGGTGCGCTGATAACCCAATTAAAAGTTGCCCTAAGTAGGTGTCCAGGAAAAGTAGATTCCTAATAATGCAATTTGTGTAAATATGTATCTTTGTTTATTTAGTTCGTCCTCGGTCTGTGATTGGCAAGAATGCACCTAGCCCTGGAGAGTGGTAGGAAGTGCATAATCAGAGTTGGAATCAGCCGACCTTGGATGGAGTCAAGAGCCGCCAATAGACGCCAATATGACAAGCCTTAGAGGGCATCATGACAACTGAGGAGCTTTCCTGGAAACTGGGAGTTCATCCATAAGCCTAGAGGGGAGCTTTAAACTTGAATCAAGAGACACTGAACTTTGAACCTTCCAAGTTTGGAAGGTGTATCTGTAAGGCGGCGTCCCTAAAACACATGGGCAGAAAGCGAAGCGCAAACAGTATAGGACAATGAAATTATAAGGGCGGTGCTCTAATTCATGGGATGTTATGATGGACAAACACCAGTCCATCCTCGTGCCTAACCTTCCGTTCCTTTTCTCCTGGAGATACAAATCTCCATCCTCCTTTGACGCTGTCGGGAATCCCCACATCGAGTAGCCTCGTGTGTTTCCTACTTTGTCTTTTCATCAAACAATGAACGAGCAGGGACGCCCTCCTCCTCCTCCTGGCCGCGATGGCAATCGGGATGGCAAACGTGACGGCGGAAACACCGCGCCGCGCCGCCGGAAGGAAGCCTGGCGCATGAAACGCCGCGTAAGCCTACTCCATTGATTGCTGTAATGTTTGGAGAGCAATACTGATATCACTCATAGCAAAATGCTGCCCACGCTGCTGCCGAGCATGACGCCCGCCTCGCTGAGCTAATGGCGCGCGCGATTCAACAACAGGTCGATGTAAGCGATATCTCCAATTACCTACTTTTCTTCCAGCCCCACCTCATGAGGCCCTATACTGATACCCCTTATAGCAAGAGCGCATCCAACCCTCCCCCGCTCGTGACGAACGAATCGCCGTGCTAACTTACCACGCGGTCAGAGCCCAATTGAATGTAAGATATTACCCATTTCCCCGTTTTCGACCTACCAAAACAATATCTCGGAAGGCAGCAGTGGTGATGATGTCTGACATACATGGCCTACATAGCAGGAGTTCAATGCACGCGGTGACTCGGCCCGTGGGCGTCGGGCCCGGAACTGGAGACTTGGCCGTGGTGATATCAGGGGCCGCAATGGCCGCAGTGATCGCAGTGATCGCAGTGGTCTTGGTGGTCTCGGCGGTCGTAGCCACCGTGGCAGTCGCGGCGGTGGTGCTGATGCTACTCAAGGAGGTGGTCGTGGTGGTCGTGGTGGTCGTGGTAGTCATGATGGACGTGAGCCTAGCAGTGGTCATGGCGCTGCCCACAGCGGCGCTGGAGCGGGTGATGCGAGCCAGCAAAACCTCCCCACCCAGCAACAAGTCCACGGGCCCTCCCAGGTTTATGGACCCCAGTATTGGACAAGACTTCACACTATCCAGGCGGATATGGCAGGTCAGAACAATTTCCTCCTATTACTCTACCCACTCCTATTAACCCCCAATGCTTTGCCAGCGATCCTGACCCCGGGGCCCCGGGGCCGTTCCTGGTCGATGGCCATTCCCCCATTCCCGTATTCTCATCATGCCTTGATCAATCTCGATACTGGAATTATACTAACCGTCACATGTATAGGCGCTAACTTTCCCACCGGAGGGGCTGGCTCTGCGCCGTAAAGGCATGTAATTTCACTAAGGTTTTGATGCGGCTGAATGTTGGCGACTTGCTCTTCGGAGTTTTGCCGATTTTGTTTCTGGCTGCAGCTCAAGAGGAATAGCCTGTCGGGCCCTCTGTTCTTTGGGCAGTTGCTGTCTATTTTAGCAAGGTCTTAATTCTCTTCTCTTTCTATCAAGAAATGAATTGTTATTGTTATCTCTTTCACTCATTATGGGCCATTCAATCATTTACTCATTCTCTCTCAAATTTATATGTCCACATAACGATAGTGGGAAAGGCTATTATTGCTGCCCCCGTCGTCAATCCTCTGCTCTGTTACCATGACGATCCAGTCCCATATGTCCCCCAAGGAGTTGCTGCTAGTAGCAGTATAGGAAGTCTCCAGAGATGAGAGGTGCGATTTGAGAGAGATCGTTAGAGCCTTAGGCCACCGTGGAACTTGACAAATGAGCTCATAGAGAAAATTTATTCGTTCGTTATGTCTGTCAAAGCTAGACATCTGCATACATGTTTTCAGATGTTGCTGTATGGTATAAAATAATAAAAAGCCAGGGGAAAAAGCCGGGTTGAATAGGTAGCGGAATGTATGTGCCATAATCGTGCCCAGCCCACCAACACCGGGTACGATGGTGGGCTTGGCACGATTACTAATTGATGTTCACGTCCACGGGTCCACCTGGGCACTCTGTGGAAATTATTATTGGAGATGACGATACATCACCGCGACACCGCCTTTGGCAGAAATTCGTCTATGTACATTGTTGCGGCTTGCACTTCTATCTTTTTGATAAACCCTGGCACGCCAAAAAAGACATTGACCATGACAGACCCTACTCTACCAACAAATCAGGGCCTTGATGAGGAGGCCTATGACTCCGCCGAGGATGAAGATTTCGAGCTAGACGTTGCACCGGACGACTCCGACTTATCTTCCGATGCCGATGAGGCCCCAGAACCCGCAAAAAAGAAGCGAAAGACAGACACCACAGCTCAAATCCCCAAGGATGCAGAACTCGACTCTGGAGATGAGGCTACAATCAGAAGGGCGAGGGAGAAGAAAGAGAAAAAGACCAAGGGGAAGAAGCCTAAGGGCAAACGTGCGCGTGATAGCGACGAGGATGATAGCGACATTGACATGGACGACGATGAAGGAGGAACTGGGGGATTTGTGCGAACACGCGCAATGAAACAACAAATGTGAGCTCTTAGTTCTACCGATGTTAATTGACTTAATGCCGGGTTCTAATACGCGTTTCCCGAGCAGACAAGAAGAACAGCGTAAGCCCCTGGCCAGGATTGATGGCGCGACTGTGGACGTGGACGCCCTATGGGAGCAGATGAATGCCCCCCAAGCCCAGAGCAGCTTGTCAACCCCGATTCAGCAAATAACCGAATCTGTTCCCGAACCGCAACCAAAAGGCGAAACGCAAGCACAGGACCAGGGTGCCAAAGATGCGGAACACAAAATGGGCCCTACCACGCACGCTGACCAGATGATCAAGATCAAGCGCACCTACAAGTTTGCCGGAGAATGGATCACCGAGGAGAAGGTCGTGCCCAAACACTCGGCGGAGGCTCAAGTGTTCCTGTCTAGTGGGGAGAATGTCGAATATACCGACGAGGATGCCGCAGCCACAACTGCTGCTCGTAACCTTCGCCGACCGCTTCGCAAGATCTCGCGATTCGACCCCAATCCGACCGGCACGATCAAGAAAAGCTGGGAGAAACAACTCGTTACCGATGACAAGGATGCGCGTGGACCCAAAATCAACACTGTGGAGAAGTCAAGACTCGATTGGGCCACGTACGTCGACTCAGCCGGTATTAAAGATGAGCTGCGCACGCATAGCAAAGCTAAGGAGGGTTATATCGGTCGCATGGATTTCTTGGGCCGTATGGAAGACAAGAGAGAGGAGGAACGGCGGACTGCACGGCTCAAGGGCATATGAAAGCAGCCCGCGTGTGCTTTCTACCCGAACCATTTCTGGTGTCAGAAAACTCCTCCTACCGCATGCTATAACAAGGATATGACTTCATATAGACTCATGTTATTGCGGAGTGCTCTACATGGCTTGTATTGCATGATGTAATCCTGCAGGTGGCTCTAATTTGAGCAATAGCTCACTCTATTCTGATTGAAAGTGTGAGCTTTTGGCCTTGAAGTCACTACATGTGCTCGATGTCCGCTGTAGGATACGGTAATGACAGGGATTAACTGACGAGAATGACTGACATCCTTGCCTCAAGCCTCAAGCCTGAATACGACCATACGATCAGTGCCCCTGCAGTGGAACCACTGGTCTACATCTATACCCAGTGAAACGTGATTGTCAATCAAATCGATCATCATATCAGATTAACGAGAATCCGAATTTGTACTATCAACATGTACTATATAGCAATCCAGAGATACCATTTCAGCGACACATTCAGTGTGAAAATCAACAAGAACAATCATCACCAAGATACCTGTGGACCTCAATCCCCGTAACCTTTCTACTTGGGCACGTACTTGATACCAGTCTTGGCACAGGTAGAAGTAGTGACTAAAAGGACCAAAACGTTAGCAAAGCAACTAACAAGCAAACGATAAAAACTTACGCGTATCAACAGCCTTGTATGTTCCGTCAATAGCATTACCCTGAATGTTATAGAAATACCAAACCTCGTTCAACTTGCCACTAGAGCAGCCGAGATAAGGCACCGCACCGTGCAGGGTAGTAAGAGCCTTCTGGATCGCAGCAAGGGTGTATGTCTTGGAAGTACTCGGGGTAATACCAGCAGCGGCGAGAGCCTGGCACACGCAGTCAGAAACGGACATCACACATATGTATCATGAAGAGCATAGGAGACTAGGGGACATACCTTGTACGTATCCAAGTTCTTGAACAAATCAACCGTCTTCTGGAGGTAATCACCAACTTCCTCCTGCGCGGTGTAGCCGGAATAGCAGCTCGGCTCGATGGTATTGATGCAAGTACCGTGCTTGTTCCACTCGTGCGACCAGAAGTCCTCATCATCCCCGCTGATATCAAGCCAGTAATCGTTCATATAATCAAGCAACTCATCGCGGCCCTGGTCCTGCAGGATCGCGGTGATGTTGGAGTATGAGCGCTTCGAGTCGCAAGTCTGCTCATATGTGCCGTCGCAGTTGTCGGGCCTAGGATATGATGTTATTTCATGATTTCGGGTAGTTATGAGGGGTATGTTTGTGTCTTATAGGTTGGATGTTAGGGTTACATACCATAGTCCGTGAATGGTCCATGAGTCGTCGGGACCGGTTGATGGGCTGGTATCCCAGAATTGAGTCTGGAGGAGGGCACCACCTGGGGAGTTGAAGCAGCAGCTTGCCTCTGCGGTCGAGCTGGCGCAGCTGAAGGCAGTGCTGCTGGAACAGGCTGCCAGGTTGGCAGTCGTGCCGGTGACTAGGCTCATGGCCGCCAGGGCGAACATGCCCTTTGAGGATTGGGATTGGAACATTTTTGTTAAGGTTTAATTGAGAAAGAATTGTTGAGCTGAGTGAAGAGATGTACACAAGAGGATCATTCAGCGGTTTTATATTCTCTACTCTACATCATACTCGGCATAAACATCATCAGGCACAAAATGTACATACGTATACAGGCAGCACATGGACCGATAAGAAGATGCTGATTTGTTGTCGGACGTCGCCGCTAAGCGTATCACCTCGGGGAAGAAGTAATATAAAGTACAGTAGTGCTGGTCGAAGAAGGAGACGATCACCGAGCGGGGCAAATCATGCAAGATACTTCTCTCCAATGAAGAGGCATAAATGCACAACGCACTAGAACACCAAGTCAGAGTCCGACGGTTTTCGTCTGAAGAAGACCGACGATCATCCGAAGAAGACTGAAGAAACGTCTTCTAAGGTTGCATCGTCCGCGCTGCTCCTTCGGATCTCCGATTATCAATTCAAGTTGATCCAACCCCGCAAGATTAAACCTGCTGATCGCCCCAACCGTCTGACGAACCAGAACACTTATCCTGGGATTTGGCAGACTCTGTTTTATCTTACTTCTGGTGTGGCTTCGCTTAGAGGACAATGGCATGTTGGGTATCTCCATGACGGAATTACCGCGAGGTAAAATCTACCGGAATGCCCGTCCGCGCCATGTCTGCAGCTAACAGTGGGTTCTCCACATGAAGGAGCCCGTGTCAAATCGCTTGGATATAATCAAATTGATGGGGGAAATATAGAAGCTACAATAACAAAGGCTCCTGCTCCTCATCATTGGCCCGCGGAGATGGTCCAATTCTAATGTGCCAAACTGCGATGACAGCAACAATGAAAAAGAGGGATGCTTGTAAGAAAGGCAGTCCCATCCAGGCAGGTCCAAGATGCATACCTAACCGGAAAAGGTTGGCAAATAATGGACCGGAAAGGAGAGTTCCCACTCCCTGTGCAATGGCAATTGCCGAATACAAAGTGCCAGCATGATCGGGTTGTACGAGCGAAGTAGCCAGGCTGCGTGTTGTGATCATGAATGATGAACCGATTGACAAGATGACCTGACCACCGATTAAGATAGCGGGTGTTGGGGCTATAAAGATAACGGCGAATCCGATGATTGAAAGCACGCCGCTGCCTTTACTCAGGAAATGGTCGCTACTTTTTCCGCGGAAGCCTAGGTGTTTGGCGGCTAAGAAGGCTAGGAATGGCATTATGACCAAATACGCCACGAGAGAAAATATGCCCCGCAACGAGATCAAGAGACTGGCCTATAGCATGGTTAGTTCTATATTATTCGAGTGACAGGATAGGCACATACCCGACTAATACTCCAGTTAAACTTCTTCGACACATATTGCAAAAGCAGATTCGTGCATTGCCGACTCATAACTGTCACAAACATCACAAATATCATTAAACAGATATTGGAATCAGCCCAGATGAAGCGCGTCGAGTGTATGAACTCGCGAACTTGTCGGGTGACCTCCTGCGACACTGTCCGCTTGCTCGGAGGCTGAGACTGCGCGTTATCGCTGTCCTGTTCTAGAGCTTCTCGGTTGACTCGCTTTCCTTTGGCGTTTTTGAGGGTTTCGGGCAGGAAAAAGCATGGAATGCTTCCCAAAACGATGATGACTAGTGAGAGCGCATATGGAAACATTGGACCGAAAGTCATCAGATAAGCACTGAGTGGAGTGGCTAGAATCTCTGCGACTTGGATACAAGATTGTAAACGGAACAGCGCGGTTGCTCTGTGTATGTGTTAGATTTATCCTAAAGAAAGATCGAGCGATTACAGTACCTCTCATCTTCAGAGAAGACATCAGCCACTATGACCATGGCAATGGCCGTGAGGACTTGATCGCCACCACCGATAATTTTAAACACAGCTGAAAGCCAGACCATCCGGAGGGGAATGACGCTTGACCACAGGCCTAAGATAAGATGTCAGTAAAACATCCACGAGAGAGTTGACCAACTTACAAACTATTCTAGCCCAGATCTCCGCGAGGAGAATGCCCGACATGCTAAGATACAAGAGAGGCTTTCGCCCCCAATGATCCGACAGCACGCCGTATGGCAACGAAAGTACAAGACCTGCAATTTTAAATCATTAGCATCCCAACATTAATGTCTCATAGAGGATTACACATACCAGGGATCACATCAAATGTATTTTGATACCCAATCACGAGTGCCAACTCCCCTTGTACAGCTTCTGATTTACACGGATTGGGCTCTGACGGACTCAAAGTTTCGTTTCCCGCCCCGTGAAGAGTGGCCTGGTAGTTTCGACAGATTATATCCTCATATACTGCCATTTGCGGCGCGGTGGACATAAAAAATCCGAAGTCGGCGGATAGCAAGAATATAGCACACACGATGCAGATCAGTAGTTTATGTGGATGCTGGGGTGGTGGTTTTGTCGCGTGTGAGTTCAATAGTGGCTCTGTCTCGCCTGTCATTGTGTCGGTGGTCATTGTGAATGGTATTTGTTAGTTTGTCTTTTTAAAAAGTGCAAGACACCCTAGGAATCAAGAAAGGATGTCCCTAGACACTAAGGGCTGGAATGTCAAGAAGGGAGATTTTTTTAAAGTGACACCATTCCATTTAAATTAGCTCTAAATTGCTGCCTCTCGTGCTTATGCATTGTCAGAGTCCAATGACAGACGACCGTTAGATAGTTGGCGTCGTATCCCCGTTCCTTCGTGACAGGGTACCTGCACTCCCCGCTATTTTCTTTTTCTTTGTCTCCAACATCTAACACTTTAACTGTTGAAATTTTTCTTGAAATCAACTTGATATTGTGTGCTAATTTCAAGCCAAATTTCACTTAGATGGTTCATGGAATTCCGTGTGCCCAACGATGAGGAATTCGCGTTATCGTGTCGGAGTTCGGAGTTCGGGCGCCTCAATCTGACGTGTCCCAAAAGGCCCGAGATAAGCTCCGCGTTTTTGTGGTGAATCGATCGCTTAACGCTTAAAGATTTTTTATTTCGATTTAACCGATGGCGATTTGGCGTTAAAAGAAACAGCGTGTCACAGTTCCCCTGGATTCATATCGACACTTGCTCTACGGCTTCAGGGGCCCTGTGAAACCACCAAACTTACCAGCATGAACGCTTCCGGGATGACCAAGAGGAACGTGGTCTCAGGTAGTGCAGTCGTCGTATGGTTGTGTGATCTGATTCTTGCTTTCAATGTCAGCGCAGTCCAACAGGCATCTTCCCAACAGGAACGCAACCAACCCCACCTTCATGCTGGTCTTTCCCATCGGCCTGGCCGAAAACCATGGCCCAGTTAGTCTTTCAACACACCGATGGTTGGGCTTTGCGACAAGCCAATACCCCCGGGTCCACCATAAAGCAGGAAGATGTTTGAGCGTGTCCGAAGCCTCGATTATATGCAGTGATATCTCACAAAGACGAAATTGCTGACCGCATTTTTCTTCAGCACCTAACCACGTAATCAACGCTGCAAGTTCCCGTCCACGGGTCTCGCCTTTGTCTTCTGCATGCGCCCGAAGCTGTACCTTGATGTTTCATATCTGACCGCGCCAACACTGCATGATTGTGGAGATGTTAAAAGTCCGGAGACCGGGGTTTTTTCTCGGAGGATTAAGCGATGGTTTTCCTTGCTTTTTTTCTTTCCCTTAGCCTGCTGTTTTCCGTTGCACGGCAGAAGCGGGAGTCGGGTGGCGCCCACATTGTGAAGTGCGACACGCTCGGTTCTGGGCTTGCATTTATCGGAGATGATATTCTTATTCGTCCCGGTGAGTTGGCGAGGTCCTTAGTTATTCAATTTCTCGGGCTTTATTGTCTGCTCGGGGATTGGTGATACGTGTGCATCCTGGTTGGTTATCTTTTGCATTACTGCTCGAATCTTGGCAATGTATGAAGTACTGATCTGATTCAGCCTTAGGCTAGACGGGCAGCTACTTGCTTATAACATGTGCATAGCTTGGCATTTGCCTATTATTATCTCTGTGGAATTTGTCTTGCATGTCATTTGAAACAGCATCAGTTCAAGGACATAGCCAAAAGATACTTTCGACAATGATAATTGCAAGAATTGCAAGAATCGTAACCTCTTAGCGTAAGAAAGCCGAATTAAAAAATCGCATCTTCCGTCCGTCCACTCATAAACAAAAGGGGTTTCCCTACTTGTCCAACCTCTCTCTTCAAACTTTCTCTTCCCTATCTCAAGTTAATATCAGGCCAGAAGGCCGCTCAATTTGATTCAAGAGACATTCTCTTCTTTTCAAAGCTTGAAGATATGTCGATCGGGCATCTGTACGTTGAATAAGACCATTTTAGAGAGTTATCATGCTCACAGTTCACAGGACGGCGCACTTGACTTCATCCTGGGAAAAGCCGATTTCAAGCACCTCCCGGCTGATGGCCAACATTTACCCATAGCCGTCGGCTTAAAGCACAAGATAATCATGAGATTTCATTAACGATCGCCACTTGGCAGTTCCTAAGCTGAATATATCCCATATCCAAAAGGGAGTTCGACGATGGCGCCATCTTCTACGCCTTCCTTCACACATGACTTTTTCCCCAAACATAGTAATGGAGCCCTAAACACATGGTTGCTAAACTACAGTAACGACTCGATATCTAAACATTAGTCATTTGAAAGATGAGTGCATGTCACTTTCTCCCTCTATGATGGCGGTCACGGTGCTGCTCAAGTGGATGATACCGGCCTGTCCGGGCTAAGACTTTCGTGAGCCTCATATTTCTGCTGAAGACTCCTCATGTACACTTTGAGCACCTGTTAACTGCGCCATAGACGGTTGTTTCTCAGTTTGGTGGCTATATGGGTTGCCCTTCAGGGTATGGTGCACTCTGTTGCAGGCCATGAACCACCCCTTCCATCTAGACCCAGGTAATCAAGTCATGCATCATCGAGGTAGGGGCAAGTTCTACTTACTCGGCCCGTATTACAACGCAAACGCAGGGTTCAGTACAGTTAGAGAAAACTCTCGATCCTTCTACTACATTTTATCCAACAACAAGTGTTTTTTTTAGAATCTAAGCAGAGTAGGCTCCTTAAATCGGGCTCTTCTTCACAGGACAAGATCAGAAGAAGGGCAGAACAATTACTAGGCGCCACTGTGAGCAGCCAGCCGTGGGATTTGTGATTCGTCTGTGATCAGTTGTGTCCAGTAATCAAAACTCAAGTCTAATATAAAAGTCAACGGTTCAAAGAATCGATATGCGTGGTTTAAGTATTGAGTAATGTGGGTGTTAAGCCGACTCACGTAAAAAAATCAAAAAAGTAACTAAGCTGAAATAGCCGCCAATATCGAGTGGCAGAAGGAATATTAAGAGACACTACTCTTTCTCTTGTATCCTATGAACATGTCTTCTGCCTATGGACAAGCGAATTACACACATGTTCAAAGTAGTTCTCAAAAGCAAACTACTATTTCCACTAGATAGTTTGACATGCTTTACTCCCATTATTTTGTTTGACAGTCTACATATCTAATAATCTCTTGGCTTTGCAGAGCTCAACTATCAGGTGTTCATGCGACTAGAACAGGCGTGCTTGTACGCAAACAGATAACTAATATATTCAATCGCGGGGAGACCAAGACATTGTTTTATTAGCTCCCATAGTGTCATCGGCCATAGAAAATATTTAGAAAATGCAACCCAAATACAACTGAATGTGGTCCTGATCTCAATCTACGATAAGAACGTTGGAATATTTAGCCACTCAGAGGGCCTTGTGATGCCTTATTGGTAGGCCTTTTGGATGTATGTTTATGATGTTTTCTCTCTTTCCTCAATTTTATAGGTAGACGATCTTTCCGTATATATGTTCTTCGATTTGTTCTCAACTGCTAAGTTCATCAGGAAGTATTCCACACGTCCGGTCTTTCATACACATTATAGATTTTCTAGCAACGAAATGAACTAGAATATCTACCAGTAAATTTTGCAAGGAAAATGTGACGTGAAAAATCATGAGAATAGCGATTCTTGCTAATAATCTCAGCACGACTACCTACATAGGGAATGTTTCCGATAACGACATAGACTGCAAGGAACTCTAGGTTGGAACGTTTAAAATGGATAAAGGGAATAAAGCTTTCGCTTGGGTACCTGATAAGGACAAGGGTTTAAGGATCTTTTCAGTCAAAAATGGTAAACGCTTTTTGTTGCCTCAAGCATGAAACAGAAGTTTTTGAAGTTGAAATGGAACACATCAGCCATCTTCATGATATCATCTTCACTATTGACGTCGCCAAGAACTCATTTCGGGCGGGAGTGTAGAGTAGGGAAACAGTGGGAAATGTTTACCCATATATTCTTCTCTGATCGTTTCGTGGGGCTGATTCGACGTCATAGCTGTCAATATTTTCAATATCACCGAGCTCTAGCCGGAAAGAAAGTTATGGACGCGGGCTTCCCCCCTATGGATAGCAGTGGATGTAGCAAGCTGTGTCTGGGGTAGGCCCGATGAAATAGGCCGGCAGATGAGAAGGCTTGACGCAGGTTGTAGGAGTAAGAGGAATGAAGTCAAGAAAAACGGTATGCCACATACAGCATGTATATCTAGCCATTCCATCTGGGGGTTAGATAGTTTCCTGCAGATGTCTCCGTCTAATGGTGAGACTTTGTTGCTACGTACATGGAAAAAAATGGTAAGAGCGGAGCCATCAGTCAAGCAACCGAGTGAAGCTGTCGTAAGTCAAAGACAACCATTGAAGCACTTAGGCCACAGAGGCTGAGGCTGGGCTCTAAGAAGTTCCACTCGGCCCTATTATAGGCGAGGAATATTGATATGATTGTTGAATAGGCATGGTCTGATGGAAGATCGGTGGCTATTTGTTTGATCGGGGATGGCGTGCCCAAAGCAGAACAGACCCATCAGCAGATTCGAGAAACGATATCCCCAAGGTTGCGTTCGTGGTGTCACATTTTCCAGCTCCTCGCATGTCGTCTTGGGGGTGGGCTATTGACATGTTTCCGAAGTGCCGAAGAATTAGTCTTTTTTTATTCTATTGCCCCTATTTTGAGTAGAACTGTCAGTCTGGTGTCGTAAGCTCATCCATGGATTACTATTATTACACTTACACTGATGCGGTTGGAGTTTGTAAGATTCAGGGAACCCTTGCGGTATTTCATAATCTCGTCTGCTCCAGCCCTGGCAAACGATGTGAGCATGGAGATGTCGCTAAGCCAGAGGAAAGGAACAAGTTACGAGGAAAGACAACGGAAGGCCCATCACCTATCTTCTCTTTCATGGTATCTCAGCGTTCACCCCCAAATCCCTCAACAATATTGAGTGAGGTGATCAAAGGTTGGACTAGCCATGATGGATGTATACGATGAGTGATGATTGTGGTTGGAGGAAGGGGGAGGGAAAAGTGGAGCCAGTCCTAGTAGTCATGTGATATCTGTTCATTTCATCGCTCATTCGGTTGCTATTATTATCTAAGTGTAGTTATTTGATAATAAAT